TATAGCATTTAATCTTGTAATAGTTTCAACAAATAACTTAGCTATATTATTCTATGGAGAATCGACATCTCTCATCCTATTTATCAATTCATCCTATTATTAATATAAAATCCTTAAAATAGAATAGATTAAAATAAAACTCTTTGTGCGAATGATTCTTCCTTAAACATGCTCTGTTTATCCATATTAGCAATATAGCTATTTATATTATAGAGGAATTGGAATTAGAAACTGTCGATTCTTTTGATTTCTAGTGGTTGAAATTAAATTCTAAACTTAGTCTTGAATTACTTCAAAGTGTTCTACTTTTTTATAATATTCAAATTATATGAAAATGGAAGAGATTTGGAAGCCTATAGTATTCTTCAATTTCAATATATGAGTAACAATCTTATCAATCTCTGTTATTGTTCAATTGATACTAGAAGAGATCAATGAATATATAATTTTGGAGTTAGTTTGAGTTTAGATTAGCTGTATATTTGTTTTGTTTTTTGTATAGTTTACTGATTATATTGTTTCGACGAATTATTCAGAGATACTCTCTTATTACGTATTAACACTTTTCTTTATACTATTACTTTATAATTATTCGTCTGCTTGCGTGTACTGATAATTTTCCAAATTCTTAACTTTATTAGTAACGAAAATTTTAAACATGCTCTGCTAATCCTTATTACTTATAAATATATTTATTATTTCGTGTCTTTCATTTAGTATGGTTTATTCTTTTTTGATGCCTCTAAAATTTTCGTCGCCATTAGAAAACTTTTCATGCAGACACTTGCATGTACCTTATTGTTTTTTCAAAATTGTAGCGAGATACCAAAGTAAAATAAATTTTGCAGGTACTCGTCCGAGGCATTAGCAAATCTTGTTATGTTTATTGATCTTCATCAATTACTACTGTTTTCTATTTTTAAAATTCCTATAACTTTACTATATTAGAAGTAATAATTATTATTCTTTAATTTTAAGAACTCGATGGAAATCTTATCATTCTTTGCTGTTTTTTAAACTAAAGTTAGTATGAAATAATAATTATATATTTTTAAGACGTATCAGGCTGTAAGTTATTTCTGCTGTTAGAATATACTTGTTACTTATCACTCTTAAAAATCGTTTAAATATAAATTAAAAGTTTCTTGTTATTTGGAACCGACACTTTTCGTATTAGTATGATTTTGTTAAGTATTCCTCTGAGTAAATATTTCTTGTATCAATAATCTTCGGTTCTTTTGATGAATAATGTTTTTATGTACATTAACCTTTATTTAACCTCTTATGCTAACTCGTAAACGTATTCGGTTATTTATCGATGATTTAAGAAATATTTATATGGTTTCGTTATATTATTTTTGTTTTGGGGGTATCTTTCACCAACTTTAGTTGTCATTGATAGATATTTTTAAGCTTTATTGGTAGTTTTAATTTCTTTTCTAATAAATTAAAAACTCCTAAAATAATATCTCAAAAATCTCGATTTTATAACTCCTGTATTTATTACTGAGTTCTAATATTTTTTTATAATGCTTTCGTTTCCTAACAGTATTTACTGGAATCTTACTATAATTTACTTTTCACTTTTGTTTTAATACGCAGTTCTAACAAGATGAATTGTTAAAATAACTGAGAGTATTATACAAAATGAATACCCTTTTTCATTTTCACTTCTTTACATATTTGTCTATTTACACATTTATGTGTGATTCGAGACTTAACTGAATAAACTTCACAGATTTCTCTACACATGACTTCTATTTCTTTACTTTTATCGATAATCTTTAAAAGGAACTACGCCTATTTTCTAAAGAATATTTTTTCAATGTCAATTTTCTTAAAACTTAACCCTGTTAAAATTTTTCCTCACATATATCAATAAAATCTCCACTGAGCTACTGAAAGTGACAAGTCTTCTTTTAAATTATAAATCTCTTGTCCCATTTTAGTCATAATATGTTGCCTTATGAAGGAGATCTTAAAGTTTTTGTATGTCGCGTGCATATGTCTAATGTGATATGTCATTGACGTGTGCATGGAATTGGGCCAGTGAGAAGCGAGGACGACTCCGAAATCAAAGGTCCTATATCACTTTCAAGTCATGTAAAAGTGGCACAATCGCGCCGTGAGCACGTGCGTTTATCGCTTCGAGAAAATTGCTTGGTATGCGCTTCGTATTTGACTTTCACTCTGTTGTTCAATACTTTTTGATTGGAAAATGAAACTGTACACTTGTTCTAAAATTCTCTACGAATACTTAATTATCTTGGAGTTTGAATTTTCAACTCTTTTGTTAATCAAAAGGTCTTTTTTATTTCACTATTCTTTAAAATCTCTTTCAATTTACAAATATGTCATATTTTTCACTATATCCATACTTATGTTTCCCTTCAACTTTATATATAATATTTTTATTACTTATCTAATTGATATGTATTTTACTAAAATATGAAAGTGTGTAAAAATTTATTTTTTCAATTGTTAGCATTGCTTTATTATCCTGATAATTTAAGTAATATAAGTGTTAATTCTTTTCCTTTACAAATGCCCTACTATTACTTAAAGGCTGAGACACCAATATTCACTTTCTTGTAATATTTTCTTAATTTTATTTCATTTATATTTATTATTTGTCAACTCTTATTTATCCTGTTATTTTTTTCAGTAAACTTCCGATCCGTTAGAAATGAAAAATCTTCTGTCTCATCATTTACATTGTATTCTCTATTTCTGTTACTATTTTTGTACATCTTGATTGTTTGAATTAGTGTTTATAAAAAATCTAAAATTGAAAAATACTATTTTGTTCTAATTAAAAATTTCATGTTACTTTGACCTCTACTAATTTTATTAAACTATAACAATAATTAAATTCTATCTAACAAACTGAATGAGGGAACTTATAAAAATTCTATTTAACAATTGATGTTATATCAACCCTATTGAATTCTTAATTACATTATTCTCGACAATTGTTTAAAAAATTTGTAGCATAAATGTGTTTTGGAATTTATTTTGTAAAAAGATTAAAATACATGAAACAGTATTTGGACCCGCGGAAAAATGTATTACAAAAAACAGCGACTATTCTCTAAGTTAATCGTTGATGTTGTCGTTTTCTATCGGTTTTGTTGTACTTTAATGTTCAGTACATTTCGCGCTCCTACTTATTGTGGCTATCTAAATCGTTGATTTCATGTCTAACTGGTTCTTGAAAAAAATAATGTATTTTTTATAATTTATTGAATTGCCGCAGTTTTATGCACTACACATTAAATTTGAAAGTGTTATAATGTTTCACACTCTTTTATACGGAACATAGTAGAATAACGTTTATGCTGCAAATTTCAAAAGTCTGTAAAGAGATCTGAAATGACAAAATGAAAACAAGTAATTCTACCTCACATTTTTATTTAAAAGAAGTTTACTGTAAAAAATAGTTAATTCGTGGATAACTTTAAGTAGTGCTATTGTCAAAATTTCATAGGTACGGCAGCGGTCGGAGAAAGTATGCCGAAGGCTTGCTACTATCATATATAATCATATAAAAAGATAATTTCTATTTAGTTACCGACTATATATAACTTCAATATTTAATTACAATTTGCTCTGAATATTTCGGCTAAAACTAAATTATTAAACTGATTCTTTTGTATAAAATCTTTTATCTAAATAAGTTATTCTATGAAATGCTAACTAGAAACATGCGTAATGACTTATTTAGTAAGATTCTTTGGCGCCGATGTAAAGTGGTATTAATTGATATTTAAATCAGGCTTCAATACATATGAATATTTTGAAAATATGAAGAGAAGCTTTTTAAGTTTGCTGTTAATTATTAAAATAATAATTTTAATTATATTATTATTTATATCATTATGTGGTATTCTACCATTTTTAGGATTCTTTATAAAATTAACTAATATACAATAATTAATTTACTTTAAAATGAAATTCATACACGTAAAAATTTTGGATGTTGAATACATTTGCAGCACAATTTATATTTCATGATATTAATTACACATTCTAAAAATATAAGAAACTGTGATTAAATCAACAAACAATGAAACATATTACAAAAAATTAATAACATTAAAAAAAAGCTAATGTTGTAGATTATTGTCATCTATCGGCTTCAGTGTACTTCTTTAAGTACATTTCGCGTTCCTACTTTGTGGCTAATTAAATTGTTGATTTCACCTAGCTAATCGTTGATATAAAATGATGCAGCTGTTCCTCGTCATTAAAATTGTTGCAATTTTATGCAATATATACATTGTTTGTACACAAAAATATTTCTTATAAACGTAGAATGATTTGAAATTATTATAATGACGTTTTTATGCAGTAAATATTTCAATCCAACAATTAGCAAATAAAAAATTTATTTATGAGATTTAACAATTTAATATTTTTGAAAAAAATATATTTGTAGTAAAGAATTTTAATCATTCAACAAATTAATCACATTCTTAGACTTCTAGAGCTAAACATGCCCAACTAATAGGTTTATTTGTGTATTCATAAGTGTTTTATAGATAGCTGATGATAATTGTCTCAAATCAATTTTTTTAGCTACGTATTTAAATGCGTAATAGTTTTCTAGAATTTATGAAGTGATTATATAATGTTATTTATCAGGCATTAATCTCATGATTTTTCCTACTTCAATATGAATATTTTTTTATTCTTGCTTACATAAATATGGTCCTCGAATCTAGTCTCTTTGGTCACGTCCGTCTTATAAACTTTATTAAAGCAATTTTTCAAGAAGTTCTAGTAAATTTTTTTATCGTTACTATAAAATACTAATATCTAAATAAACATTTATTATACTGTCATTTTCATTCGGCTTTTCCTTTATTTCTTGAAATTTCTTTTTTTTTTATTTTCAGTTTAAATTATTTATTTTGATATATCTATATTACTTTCATATTTATCATTTAAATTTTAAACGCGAAATAAAAAAAAAAACATGTTTCGTCTTTTGTTTGTAGGACAAGACACCAATGGCAATGACTCGGCAAACTCTAAAGAAGAAAAGTTCCTCATGGAACACAGAAATTCGATTGAAGAGGTTGACTGGCTTCAAGTCGTGAGTATATGAAAGTCGTAACCATCAAAATGATTTCATTCACGTGTGCTTCATTAAAATTGCAAATTCATGCGACTAAGCGAAGTAATAAACATGTGTTTTCAATACATCAAATTATTGCTAGATTCACTCTTGTTTTCGGCGAACTCTATCTTGCATAACAATAAAGCATCTCAGCTACGAGTATGTCTGCCTAAGGTCAAACAGATATCGGAGCCTGGAATTTCGAGTATGATTTTTTAGAATAGGCTCAAGGACAGTCTTCAGATTACGATTTATTGCATCGGTTGTACTATTTACTTATTGCTCTTGACTTTTTGCAGTTGCACATTTCGAAACACTCAATAATCAGCTCTAATTTTTTTTTTTTGTTCACTTTGTTCGACATAACTATTCCACTATTTTTGTCGTCTGTTACTTGCTACTGATTTACTCATTTCCCTGAGACTATATTCCGCTGAATGGTTTTAAATCTTTTTCAATCCTGATTCGTTTTGCGTAATTCCACATTGCATATTTCCTCAGCTGTTTTATATAAGATTCTCGTATTTTTAAGATTTTTATAGAGTTTTTTTTATGCCTGAGTGTTTGTAAACATTCTTTTTTTCCTTTCAACTTTTTTGCGCTCATCCCGTTAATTAGAAGTTTCAATATTTTTTACTGGAAGACCCGCCTATTCATAAGGTTTTTTTCAGCATCAGTTATTGCCTTTCAAAACTTGATCAATATTTTCCAATAATACCACGTAAACGTCGACTGCACGTTCATTCTTTTTCAGTATCACTATACTTCTCATGTCGTTTTAACATTCATGAAAATGTGCACTGTGAATGTAAATTGCTAAACATTTATTGCACATTAATTTGTGTGTTTTTTACACAGAAACGGCCTAGTGATGTGGGGTGTGACTGGCTGACAAGCAGTGCCCCTTCAGAACACGTGAAAGTAAGTTCGTAAACGTTAGTCTCGTCTAAGTTAATGTGCAGGTTATAGAATTATAAAAATTAGAAAGTTTAATGAACACAGAAGCACCTTAAAAAATACAACCCTAGAATTTCAAGCGATGCAGCCAAATTATATACGAAAATCAAGCTCCCAAAACTGATGCATTATAGCAGCAAATGAGTTATTAATCATTAATAATACACAGAATCATACAGTGTGAAATTAATATTTTGAAATTTATAAAGTTAAAGAGTTGATCGACAGTAAAAAATGGAAAGGTTAAATATATTTACATTTGTAAAAACTTTGCAATGCCAATGAGTCGTAATAATAATTACAAAGTTCAGAAGTATGTGTATTTCTAGCCTCTTGCCACATAAAAAGTGTATCACGAGAAACTATCAACTACGAACAAAGTTAATAGTACAGATTGTTTGCTATCGGTTCGTTGGTACTTATATGTTAAGTACGTCTCGCGTTCCTACTTTGTGGCTATCTAAACTGTTGATTTCATCCCTAGCTAATCGTTGATTCAATATCATTCACTTGTCCCTAGTCAATTTAATTGTTGACATTTCTTGTGATACATAATTCATGGACGTTTCAACTAAAATTCTCATAAATATGAATGTTACGTAATTACAATTATGACTCTCGTAACACTGCAAATTTCTTATTACACGCAAAAAGATATGGTTGGAATTGTGTTTATTATTTTGTCGATAAAGTTTTTAACCATTAAAACATTTCTTACGCTATCTTTACGTACATTTAATATATGAATGTTATTGAAACGTCAATACATAATGATTGGACAAAAAATATTAAGTGCAAAGAGCTGAATGAAAAAAAGTATAAGCCACTCGAAACATTCCATTCGTCAATGCTGCTTATGTGAGTACTTTCACGAATATTCCATTGCAATTATCAGAAGCAGTAAAAATTGTCTAAAAAAGAATTCTTTTCCGATCATGCTGCAGTGCCCAACTATTCTATATAATAAGAAAATCCTATCCATGCAGGTGCTACTGGTATTCCCACAAGACGATCGGCAGTCCGAGTTATTGAGTTTAGCATGCGATCAACTGGGATGGCGAGTGTCGGGCGCGCGAGATGCCGAACGAGCACTCGATCTTTTCCAAGCTCATTACCACGAAGTCGTTGTTGTCGACCGAAGGGGCTTACACTGTCAGCCAGCAGACGATATATGCAGGTAAAAAAACTACTGCTCTCGAACAAATCTATCTGGATCTTATTCTGCATTGGATATTCGTAAAAATCAATTGAAATGAAAATCTGACGATTTTACTTTAAGTACTTTTTCGGATAAGGAATTTTATTTCTTTAAATTTATTTATATAACAAAAATAATTTTGTCGTATAAATTTATCAGTCTTCTAATAATACGATATCCTCTTAGTTCCATAGAAAATTTATTTATATCTCGTTTTGCTCTCTGATTACTATTACTCATACGGAAATATATTTTAATGCTATTTCTCTCATACACAGGTGTCTTTTAAAATTCTTTCCTCTCATCACTATACGTGAGATCTTTTTTTTCAGACTTTCAAATAATATTCAAAACTGATATCGACTTGCTCATTTGTTTGTCAATATTTTCGTGGTATCGTTCATCAATTTTCCTTTATTACTTTCGACATATTGAGTCTTTTCGTATATTTACTTCATTCCTATAATAACAAACAAACCATTTTATTGATTCCACTCAATACTATCTCTTGTGTTTATTATTGGGTATCTATCCTATTTATAAACGTCTTTTTAATTATCTTTAAGATCATTTATCCAAGTGTTACAATTCTTTACTCGCGCTGCAATATACTTCGACGTTCTTGCTTATCTGAGAAACTTAAGTTTATGATAATTTCCTCCGATCTCTTTACCTATTATTTTAATGGCTTACTCTTATTCCATTATTTTTCTGCCGTGACCATCACGCTAAATTTCAACAAGCCACTTTTCTCTGATTATACTCTTGATACTGGACTGTTTAGCGATACATCCATGACTTCACTAAGAATTGATTCTCGTTTTATTAATCAAACTTTTCGTTTCTACTGTCAGAGCTCTCAACAATGTTCATCACAGACGCGCTACGACCATCTTAGCTCTCGTCAAATGCTCGTAAGTGCCACTCTCCAAAGTCTATCTCGTTATCGTTTACACCTCCTGTCAGTCTACTTTTTTTTTCTTGTCTGTTCCCAAAGATTCTTCGTGTCGCCCGAGCAACACGGCCAGGCTACTCTGCGAATACTCGACGCCGGGTACAACCGGGTAAGAACCTCATCGTTTCTCCCTCAAGCTCTCGCCGTCTCGCGGCACGAATCTAACCGAAAGAACACTTTCAAGGCGCTCGTGGAATCGTCGAGTAAAGAGATCCTGACGAACGAGCTGATCGGGATCTATGCGAACGAGGTACAACCGAAGCAGCAGCTCGCGGTGGCTCATTCTCTCTACTTGGCTGTGCACCGGTGCCGTGATATGGTGCACGTGACCAACGACAGACATTCGATCCAGGTATGCGATACGCGTGCGTGTACGTCCGAGTGACAATTAAGAAAACAAGCAGCAGTCGTGCGACTGACAAATTCGCTGTGCACTCAGTAGCGAAATAGGAGCAAGGTGATCCCGAAGTGCAAGAAAATTATCGACGGAATGGATATTGGCGAACGATCGCCGTAAGAAAACTGTGTTTACTAAGAAGGCTACGTAATGATGAAAAAACTATCGGATTATAGTCGTAGATCGCGCTCCTGCTTCATTGTACTTTTTTTTTTTTTCTTACATCTAATAATAGTTTCGTCGCTGTTCCTATCGTGATTTTAGCAAAGTTTTCAGGCGACGATCGTTCGCTTCATCGACTCGACAGTTTTGCTCGCACTTCCGAGGCACGCTTTGTTCTCATCGCGCCACGCCAGCCGCAACGAATTTGCATTTGTGCAACGGCGAGCCTGTGTGCCAAGCGCGTGCGTGCGGGTACGATGCAATAGAAAAGAAAATACTTCGGCAAAGAGCAGATAAACAAATGCGTACGTGCTGATTAGTTTGCAAACGAAGTGAGCGAGAAATTGCTGGACTACAAGTTGGACGAGCTGCTGAATAGGAATATCACGGAGATCGTTACGTGCGACAATTTCACGCTGATGAATCAACAGTTGCAGAAGGGTCACGAGTTTCACGGGAACATGAATTGCAAGAGGAAGAGCAACGGGACCATCACGATCAGCTCGAAGATTATTCCGTTTTGCGCTTACGGCAAGTAAGTGCTGTACCGAATCTCGACCCGGACTGCTCGTTACGTTCCTATTGTGTTTTACTCTTCAGGAGAGTGACGCATCACGTCTATATCTACGACACGACCTACCTATTGGAAAATTTCGAAGTCAGTCACGCGCATCAACCTCATCCCATGGCACACCTACATCCTAGGGGCAGCTCGCACTCTTTGCGATCTTTCGACGTGGCCTCTATCAACAGCGACCGTAAGGCGTTATGATTTGCTCGCGCGTGGTCGAAAAATTTTACCGAGAAACAGGTGCAATTATGGTTACGAAATTCCAGTGCAAAGGAGATCTAGCGTGGCAAAACTACACAATCTACCTCTGGAAGCTCCAATTACGAAGGTCATAACGCTCCTCCATACGGCAATGACAGACACAGTCAATCCCGACGTCGCGACGCAAATTGACAAAGTAGGTCGAAGAGCATTTTACGATTTTTGCTCGAGCGGCAAAATAGAGAGGCACTGAAAAATCGAATTTCATTGAACGAACAAAAAAAATATGTTACCAAAATAACGGAACTCGTTGCGTACGCTAATAACGTAATTGTGGTACAGCACACGTAGGTCGCGAAAGAAATTGAGCATTCGCTTGAGAAAAGTCGATTGGCGCATCAAATCGAGGGATCAGGAGGGTGAACACTTTGTGGGAAACAGTGGACGCTATCTATCGGACAATCGCTGCTCACTTTTCGCGATCCTATCTGTGTTCTAACTCTTATGCAAACAACAATTCAGACATAGAAAGCACGACTATACGTATACGCTTTGGGAATTCTGGGCAGGTGTGTTGAATCAGCTTAATGCCCCAAAGAACTTTCTCGCGACAAGATTTATTTCTCCGCGCCAGTGCTGTGTCATCTGTTACGTTACAATGCGTATGCACGACTGTGACTCATGTCACCGAGATTAGAGGGTATTAAAACTGCAATCGTATATGGAAAAAGAAAACAGTTTCGACGATTTCAAGTATTCGCGCGAGTGTAGATTTGCCAACATTTTTTTTCAAGATTCAAGCGAAACGAGACTTTCTTCAATGTCTAGTTCTAGGCGATCGAGATACTGAAGACCACGGAACTTTATGCGCCTTACGTTCGCGAAGATGATGAACTGTTCAACGATCCTGTCGCTTCTGACCTCATAGGAGCACTTATTTCGGTAAGGCCCGTTGTTACTGAATGAACCATTATATTTCCTGTCGAATCTTAGCTGTACCTTGGTTAGGAAAACGTTTCATTGACAGTTTTTTTTTCAAATTGCCGATCGTGCTATTGGAAATGTGTAGACTACTACACTTATTGTGCTATTTTCATTAGGTACGGGTTCAATTTAGAAAGTATAAATACGATGTCGGGAAAAACTGGACATTCACTTTGCCAAATTGTATAATCTAATAAATATTGTACTTGCCTTGAGCCCTTGTATCTGCTACGCTTGCCATTAGTTGCACCCAATCTTCAGATATATTTTTCTATACATTTTTTAAATGGGATTGATCAGTCATCGCCTGTGTCTTTTAAGAAAAATGTACAAAAACCCACCCATCGCACATTTAAAAAAACAATCTTTCGCATATTTACCAAAACCTATACATCTCATTTGATCTGCCATATCTAAGGCGCCGCAGTACGCAAGGGATTCGCGCAGATCTTCAAATGATTCATCAGGGCGTATATCCCAAGTTCAAAGAATACTTCATCAACAGCCTTCGAAACTTACGTCTAAAAGTCTCAGAGTCCCACGCGATATTGAAGTCTTATTAGAAACTTGCTGGGACTGGAGTTTTGATATATTCAAACTGGAATTGCTATCTGGCAGAAGGTGAATTTTGAGAGATATTTCCTAAAGGTGCAATGCAATTCAAGCACTTTTTGTAATTTTTACAGGCCACTCTATTATCTAGGAATGCACGTGATGAACGCGTTCGAAGCGCCATCACACTTGAACTGCAGTGAAAGGACATTGCAAAATTGGCTGACGGTCGTAGAAGTGAACTATAATGCGAACAACAGTTACCATAACTCGACTCATGCGGCCGATGTTCTACAAGCGATTGCTCGGTTTATGCGTTCGGAAAAGCTGAAGGTACTTTTAGATCCGTTGGATGAAATTGCAGCTCTGATCGCTGCCGCCGCGCACGACATCGATCATCCCGGAAAATCCAGGTAATTTCGCGCAAAGTATTCAAGAATTGACAATTTGTCGTTCAAGTAATTTGACAATCAAGCGCTTTACTTCAAATCGACAGTGAATTTCAAAGTTTCATTGCCAATACTTGAAAGTAATGCGACAAAAACTACTCTCTATTTCCAGTCAATTCCTTTGCAATTCCGCGAACAAGTTAGCTATCCTCTATAATGATCTTTCCGTACTCGAGTCTCATCATGCTGCATTAACGTTCAAATTGACTTTGTCAGATGACGACGTTAATATTTTCAAGGTGAATAAAAAAATTTTTTTTTCTTCAAGTTAAACGTCACTGCCGCATTGTAAGCATTTTAATTTCAATATTCTTAGAATTTAGACACGGAAACATACAAGATCCTAAGACAAAATATCATAGATATGATTTTGGCTACCGAGATGACCAAGCATTTCGAACATTTGGCTAAGTTTGTCAATGTTTGCAGTATAAGAACTAATGAATCACCCTCCGAGGTAAAATTCGAATATATTATAACAATTGATACAAATAAGCAGCAATAAACATTAATAAATTTATATTGTAGCCTTTTTCAGATCAAGCGGATTCTACGGTACTTATGCTTCCAGATAACGTGTCTCTCGTGAAAAGAATGATGATAAAATGTGCGGACGTTTCTAATCCTACGAGGCCGCTAAGATATTGCATCGAATGGACGAAACGAATTGCGGAGGAATATTTTAGACAAGTAAATTTGATTTTGGCATAAATATCATGAAAATGCATTAAGCGAAAGATTTAAACGAAATCTGACAACAATTGCAGACTGACGAAGAAAAAAGAAAAAATCTGCCCGTCGTCATGCCGATGTTTGACAGAGCTACCTGTTCTATTCCAAAATCGCAAATTGGTTTCGTTGATTTCATCATCAATGACATGATGGAAGCTTGGAATGGTAATTTATCGCATAAAACTCATTTAGTTTCTTTCTTATTATAAGATATTTATCTTATTCATTCTTACTTGTTTCTAGCCTTTATAGATTTACCAGAAATCATTGATTATATGAAACAAAATTATGAAAGTTGGAAAGAATATAATGTACGTCAATTTCATTAAACATTACTTAAGAGTATGGATAAATAATAATTATAAATTTGATACTTTTCCGTAGGAACGTGGAATCTCGACTCTGCAAGACGTAGAAAAGCTGCAACAGTCACCGGATCTACAAATACCTCAATCTACCTGATAGTGCCTTCTCGTCTTCATACGTTTATAGATTATTGAATGTCATCAAAAAATAACTTGATGTAATTTTAATCAATAGAAAAATGTTAAAAAATGTTTATTATTGTAAAAAATAAAACTACTGTTGTTGAAACTTGCAAATAGAAGTATAATAGTATGAAATGATTACCTTTCGTTTCTTCTTCTTCGATATTGTAAACAAAATCATGTAAAAGTTAATTATTAGGAGAAAGTTTGAAATAAAAAAGGAATGTAACTTTTACTTTTAATTAGTAAGCTTGTGGTTAAAAAGTAATGAGAATTTAACAGTGAAAGTCGTTATTTTCTTTGTTGGATTCATCTTTATTATCTTTACCTTTTCTGAATAAACAGTTCTACAAAACTCTTGTCTCATTTCTTTGTTTTTTTTTGTTTTATTTTTTCTTTTTCGTTTGTTTGTTTATTATTTTTTTTTTTTTTTTATTGTTTTACATTTATTTTTTTTATTGTTTCACATGTAATTGATACCAATTTATTATGGATCATAGCCTCATAAATCGTAAATAAGGGTTTCTGAATGTATAATTTTATTGTTCTTTGCGATCTTTTGAATGTGTCAAATACAGATCTAATATCAATTTGCAGGTCTACAGAGATCTTTTACATGTTGCCCGCGTAAACGCTTTAGCTTAATAATTTTCCAACACATTAGACTCCTCCCTCTTGATCAATTAAGCGATTAACCGACTGTAATTAATCACTACCATAGGAATGCACATGCAGTGATGAAGATTAAGTTTAAGAGACATCAAACGTGTGAATATTTTTCTTATTTTTTTTAAAGTGCTTAATTCAGCAGATTACCAAGTTACAGACCCTTTGATCGATTGTTACATCTTAACTGTTGGAACCAAGTTCCTTATTTATGAGTTTTCTTTTACTTCTCTGACGTGGTTTCTATTTTGGATATAAGAATCGCTGACTCACTGCTCTCGATACATTGTAAGAGATTGTAATGCGTTTGCAGATACATTGAACATTTACAAAAATGCTTGATATAAAGACTCGTGTTTTCTCATCTGAGACGGTCATCGCGGTGTAGCACTCAATGTTTAAACACTCGATACAAAGTTGTTACGTCTTGCTTTTTTAATTATGGTGATAGTTAATTACGCAAACTCGCATGCCTTACATAATATAATGCCACTGCGTTTAAGCATACATAGATCATTCCTATCAAATGTACCACAAACACTAACGATAAGCTTTATTTGTAAGATGCGTTACTTAACTTTCTACCCCTAACTGCCTCAATCATGCGTAATAATCTTGTAATGCTGGAACGACAAATAGATATCAAGTTTTTATAGATATCGAGATACAATTTTTCACGTATAGCTCGTTAAACCAATGCTACGGCTGCTGATGCAATTACTTATCGTTTTTTACTCTTTGTTATCGCCTAAGTTAATATCGATTAACTCATGCTTAATCATCTAACTCGGACTTCTAGTTTTAAGAATAGATTTGTAGAGTATTAAGAAATAATTATACAATATTGTCTCGTTAAATAAAATAGCGAACAATTAAATCAAGTTTAAAGTCGAGTAGATGAAGCACGTTATATATAAAAATACGAAAATTGGAAGCCAAACACGAACATTTTTATAGTAAGCCAAGAAAAAAAAATTAAGGATGGAAGTGATAAAGATTGTTTAATAACACTGCCCTTAATTAAGAAGGTAGTAACATTCGTGCTTGAGTGATTTCACGATTAAGAAGATTATATAGAAATTAAAAATATGAAATTCGAATTATTGCTTCGTGAGAAAGTGTTTTTGTGTAGTTGGTGTTTACATTAGGTAACATCATGGGTGCCTTTTCTATTCACCATTTATTTTAATGAATCATCATAATTACTATAAATTTTTTTTCTTTATAGAATTATTCATCAGTAGTTATTTCAGTGGGGGTATATATGCAAGTGTAACCTTTAGCTGTAGTACTTTTCATATATTTCACGTTTTTATATGCGTTAATTATTTTCATAGATATCATTATGTTATTAAAAACACGCTTAGTAATTTATTATTTGATGTAAGCATTGTCTGGTTTTCGTCACGCATTATGACTTACTTATTATCCTCACTTATTGTTTTTGTAATAACTATAAGCACACATTAATATTTAAAAACAACTTATCAATTAAAAAATCAATATTTGTTGTGATTTTCTAAGTATATTCATAATTATTAAAAATCAATATTTGTGATTAAATGTATTATTGTTACTCCGTGGCATAGCAATCAAAGACATAAGCTTATTAAGACTATTAAATGAATGCGAGCTACTACATATCGTCGAGTTTAGTAGTTACCCTATGCTTGGGTTTTTGATCCCATTCACCCTATTATCGATATTATTACAAGTTAGGGACAAACATTCATTTTCCATTTTATTTGCTTAAAGAATTACGTCTTTCGTGTAGTTGTTTTCAAATCCATATTTTATACGCGAACCGTAAAACTCTCGTCCTAACTTTAAGTTTTTATCTTACCATATCATTTTTTTTTATGGTCCTTACATTTAACCTAAGCTGCTACTTAATATCTTAAGATTGGCATTTTTATTATGCATTGTAATCTTAGTTATTTATAAGATTAATTTGATAATTAAACGTTATATTTAACTTTGAGTTACTATGAATAATAGCAATTCTCCTAATCTTAAGACTAACAAAGAATGTTAAGCTGGCGTTATAAATGCAGTTGTTTTACTAGTTTAAATGTAATTATCAACTACAGATTGTGCGTATGCAGAAAAGATTTAATAATATTAAGAAATACATTTAGAGTGATTCATATTTTTAATAAGTTATCAACTGAATCGTCAACATTTGAATATTATTTTTAATTAGCAGAATATTTGATGATTTTTTTAAATTTAGCAATTTAAAACGTACGTAGTATTCATTTTAATCTTGATCGAACATAATCTTACAGTCTAGTAAAATTACATCTAATCCTGACTCATAATGAATATTTATTAACGACTATCTTAACTCTTCAACCTTACAAAAAGCATAATTTGGAAAGTTGTTTTAATCTTATAGTCAATTGTTTTTAATATGTTAGGTTAAAGAACTAAGGTCTACGTTGGTGGGGTTCCGAATTCGTGCAATCTAATACAGCTTATTGTTCTAAAGTGATATTGAATTATGTGTCGAAAAAAAGAAACATAAAAATGTATGCAAAAAGAACGCCAAACGTACAATTTAAAGAAGTCAAAGAATTTTAGTAGAATAATATATTGTGACAAGCAAAAGTTCACTCGAGTGCAATATAAAAATTATTCATAATGCAATATCAATGTAACGTCCATTATTAGTGAAATACATATTCGTTAATAATAACACTTTCTTATTGTAAGATGTTAATGATGTGCGATAGTTTTTTGTTTGTTTTGCTACACCATTAAAGGCCGGCTTTAAGCTTAGACATTTACTTATTTTATTTGTAAAATGGTCTTCTATACTCTCTTTAAACTTCGAGCAGCAATGCGTGCCTTTACTAATAACCTCCGCATATTCAATTGTTTCAATATAATATCTCACTCAGTGGATTTTTCACGTTCAAGAAAATCTTTGAATATCGAAAGCAATCGTTAAGACTGAACACGTGCTCGAAATGTTCTTTTATTAGATTCAATGGAAGTTATTATAGCAAAGGATGGCTATCGCGATGGACTCTCGCTTTTCTCGGAAGATTCAAACATTACATCGTTATGACGCGTAAGCTAGAATGTCTCCATGGAATATAAAGTATAGCCGAATAACGTGAAAATTATTCAACTTTACTTTATATTCCACGGAGACGACCCTAAACAAGTTAAGACTTAATACGAATTGTTTTTAAATTACTAGACCAAGGAAAAGAAGCTACCATGAATAACCGAAGCTTCTGTATTACGCGATCAGAATATCTCAGAAAAAGTAACTACAAAGAATTAATTAAGAAACGTCTAACAAACTGTTCTTACGTGAAAAACGTTTATTAGTGACGTATTATTAAATATAGTTAGTAGACTTTATGTCAAGTTGGAAGATGGCATAAGTTTAAATTTCTTTGTATACTGATATTATGATTTTTTTTCAAAATTGCAAACTCGATTTTAAGATCAACTTCTTATTTTCGCATTACATTCTCTTTGTATTTCTTGTAATTATTTATTAGTTGAAAATCATGAAACCTTTATAAAATAGTGTGAATTATATCTAATAAAGAAATCTTACAAAGACGGCGACTATCCCATGACTTTTACCGCAGTAAAAGTCATGGGATAGTCGCAATCTTCAAAGTGCCCCTCTTTTATGAAAAAATCAAACAATGAAAAAATATTGGACGACGTAAACTTATGGAAATAAATTAATGACTATAGGATTTTTTACAAAAAGTATTCGATGAGAAAATTAGCAGTTGTCTGTAATAAATATTTAAATTGATAAATAGTTTCTAGTAAAAGATGATTTAATTAAATAGACTACACCAGCAGGTATTAATATTTATTCAGTTTTTCGGGTCGATCTTTGTTCTCGTGTAACTTGGTAATTTATCGAATAGGCTAATGCTTAATTGTTTAGATATAGATCTATATAGCAAGTACGACAAGGTGTTAATTACATACTTTTTTAATCTTCGCAAAGTGACTCAAAGATGCGCAAAATTTGTTTCGAGTATAAAAAAATGACTTCGAAAGAACAGTAATTAAATGGTTATATTGATAAAGTGTTGTATATCCTGTTTAATATAAGGCTCCTAATCACACATTTAAAGGACTTTTGAAATATTCGGTGTTACAAGCACTATGACCGTATATTTCTAAGAGGAATCACAGCTCGACGATCGCTGCTTCGATCAAAAATTTAAAACGTTTGCGCACTCTTACAAAGAGAATTATCTCGTACTATATATGACTCTGCATTACCCAATAAATGGTTTTTAATCTTTCTCTCGCATCCTCTCGTATAATCGTAAGAAAGAAGAAATCAGGATCTTGTAGGTGCCTACCTCAGTCTTAGTAGGGGCTAAGTTTCAATGCAAAATTACGATGGAAAATTTTGCTGTGCTCTCGAATTATCAAAGTATATAACGCCAATAAACTACATCAGTTGACAATATCGGGTTTATTCTCGCCCGAGGCGCCCCCGCCCCCTCTAGGGGCGCCTTTCTTCGTGACCGTTAGAAAGCTTAGATAGATTTGTGTATATCTTCTTTAAAAAATATATATATGTAAGACGTAACAATCGCGAATTATAATACTAAATTTTACTTTTAAATACAATCAAAGAACAATTTACTCAGTAAATTGCGTGCAATTGAACGTGAGTGTTTTCTGTTTCAATTTTTATACGAATTAGAGACTTTGTCACTAGCGCTCGTATGCAAGAATGACTTACATAGGCCAAAACCTAACGCGCGATTTTGAAGGTTTTCAAAAATCAAGGTACTCAATGAAATAATAAAATTAATCTTTGTGTGACCCACTTGTATGTACGTAAGTCTCTTTGCAGAAACAGGTCTCACACAAGCAGGCACGCCTAGGAACTACATCTTTTACCGGCTTTCACTTCATGCGCAAACAAGAAAATTCAAAACCTCTCACTTACATTCAAATAGAATTGGAAGAAAGCCTCTGAAGTACTGGCTTGAATGACGCTCAATTCGCTTACGTCTGTTGAAAAGTGCTTTTGAACGTACAAAAAAGCCTTACATCAAAACGACTACCAGAATACGATAATCGATATAAGCTGAGAAACTTTTGATATATAGTGTGGATGTTCGACGATAAATATCAAGCGAAACCTTAATCTACGTAACGCTTCTGTCTACAGCCTACCAATCAAGCCTTAATTTTTTTATTTCTCGCTCCTGGCATCCTAAGCAAGCGCACCCTGACGACGTGGCGTTCTCTATTGTGCTGGGTGAGATTTGCTCAAATCATGCTTTGTTCGAAAAATTTTGACTGCTAATCCTCAGGTCTCCTCGACAAAACCGAGGCGTCCGAGGACGCCTGGCACGAGTCGTTATTTTTCGTAGATGTCAAATAGCCCAAGGCTCGCTTACCATTTACTTCAATTAGCAGATTTTATCAACCACCATATATGGACCCACTCCTCTCATAACTAATTTACGACTGACTTTTTTTTTCGTTTGTCTTTTTTATAGGATCCTTCTAATATAGCGTGGCGCGGTAGAATGTTAAAACTTGCTTTTCCAAGATGACTAATTAATGCAATGCTAAATCAGAAACAGAGAAAATATGGTTTCAAGTATTGGTCAACTTAAAAATTAATTTTCTTAAATAGTAATTTTTAAGTCTACGAAGTATTAATAATTTTTAGTGGCTTAAATTATTAACAGTTGCAATTGCTTATTTAAACTAAAATACGAGGATTTTCTTTTATTTTGAACTTTTTGCGTACTTTGCACTAGCAACGTCCAAATAAAATTTTTGCTCAAAATTTTAATTGGTCGAGACAACAAAGAAATGAAAAACTAACGTTACGCAAAAATTTCATCGATATCCTCGTCACTTGAAAATCTTTTTGTATCTTTAACTTCTTTGACAATTTCCTTATGGTCTAGAAAAAAATTTGTTTGCGAACCAATGCCACGCTTACCTATTATATTGGATTGTCGATTGTGTGGGATCCTAACCAAAGACTTTACTTCAAAGGTGCTCAATGATCAAAGATATAGTACCATAACCCCGTAGGGTGTTCTGAAAATACAAAAAATTGCGTTGCGAAATCTTCTAAATTTTCAAAATCATCTACACTGAACGTCAAATACATCATTTACACTCATTCGTGGGTTAGTAAACTCACAGCCTAACATTAACAATATTGTTTCAAGTAAATATCTTAGTAGTTAACGAATTATCGGATTTGAAACTTCCAATAACTATGTGAACAAATTACAAATACTTATTGTGTTAGAATGATCCATTATAAAATTTTTCAACAAAATTTATAAATCAACACTTTTGAAATAATTTACTCGAGTATTCTCACAATAAAGTTAGAGTTGATTGTATTGCAATTCTTTTCGAATGATTGGCTAAAGAAAAAAAATTAAATAAATAGTACATACTCCCAAGCGTTGTTAATTGTTCCAATAGTTCAAGTCAACGGAAAAAAACTCACGAGTCTCACAAAAATAAGATCAGAGAAAGAACGCGTCGTCGTTCGGTCAAGGTCAGCCGACAACTGCGCAGTAACACATCGTCCGATATAGCTATATATACACGTACACTTAGGCGTAATATGCGAAGAGATACGTGAAACAGAGAGGAATAAGAGTGGCAATACTCACGGTAATGCTGCACGCCCCACAGCCGGGCTGTCCTCAGTCTACATTGCTTCGTCCTTGTGATGGGTCAGCTGCGGACAAGAAAAATAACGTCGTCGACACGACGATGAAGAGTGGAGGAGGGGGGTGTCGTTGGCTCTGCGATGTGATCTCTCCGTTGGCGTGTTGCGAATGCGCCGCGGCAGCCGCGCCGTCTGGCTTTTATAGCCTGTGGCAGGGCGGCGCGTCGCGCGCCGCCAAACCTTCTAGAAACTTCTGGAGCAACGGCCTCTCTGTTTACGTGCCAAGTTGCAGGTTCGCCGAATCCGCGTTGAAAAACGCCTCTTTTTCGCGTAAATCTCACGCCCGGCCGCCTAAAAAACATCGGCCGATCCGTTCTCAAGGCAATTCGCGAGTATCGAGGTATACTTTGGCGCTAAATCCTGGGTTTTCCGCAGTTTGAAAGCCACGACGCAAAAGCCGAGTTATTGATCGGTGGCGCGGCGCAGCGGCGGAGAGCCCGGCTGAACCTTCTCGAAAGGTCTACGTGATTCGCGGCATGGAGCGCCGGGGCAAGAGATGCAGGAGGAGACGACGGACAAAAGCGACGGCAATGTCAGACCAACTGCCGGCCCTTATGTCACCGCCGGCCAGATGGAGACGCCAGCTCTACGTGCCGGACAGGGAGATCATTGTTATGGCGCTGTTGCCATTCATCGTCAGTGCAAGCGTCGCTGCAGGGAACCTGCTAATTTGTTACGTTCTCTCGGCGTAGCCACCACTGCCGCCTTCGATTAATGCGATTCGGAGCCGCGAGTGCGCTTTATTTTTGCCCTCGGCTCTGATGTAAGATTTTGCTATTAATGGAGTTGAAATAAAGGCGATGTGCCGATGTCCGCGAAGAACCGTTGTCTTTCTGTTTTTTGCCGCCGAATGGGCAGCTTCCACTTGCTAGGCGCTCGCTAGTCACCGCTAGTAATTGGTAGAGACAGCTACTTTCGTAGCCCTTTGTTGGCGTCCACGCAAATGCTATAACGGCGGCGCCCATCGAAGGCTCCAGAATCTGCAAATGTGACAAGCGCTTTACGCAACGTGGCTCGATTAATGCACGCTTAAAATGGAATCGCCTGTAGCCCCTTTGTCGCCTAATTGGCAATTATGTCCAAAACGATCCCGACGACTCAATGATGTTTCATTGTCTCCTGTTCGGGTCGCGGCGAGCCGTCGCGTCGTCGGCGTGATGTAGGTCAGTGCAGCTTTCATAGCTATTCTCGTCTTGGAGACGTAGAGGCCTGCGGTTTTGTCGTTCAGCGTACACAACGTGCAAGCTACGTCGCAGTAAATAGGTGGGCAAACAGCTGCCGCGTCCACGCGAGCGTAAGATTATTTTCAAAGCCACGCGCTCTTTCGAGCTTCGCACGGGGATGACGACGCCGCGACGTGTGAAAGCGGACATCCCGGCGCCGCGACTAGCAACCTTCGGACGTGCGCCGCGACAACGTGACCGCGGCGAACCTTGCGACGTGAACAGCTCAAGCGAGCGGCGCGCGTACGCACCGGAAGATTCCATGCAGGCGCCGCTGAGCCCCAGGCGTTAGAACACCGAGCCGCGACCGCGTCGTTCTCTCTGTCTCGGTAATCGAACGGGGCCTTTTCTTTGTTTTCTTTTCTTGTTTTTTTTTTTATTCGGCGGAGGAAGCATTCGGCCGTAGAACAGCTGCGCGCAACGGCTGAATTTACGGAGCCGCGCAGCGCGTTCCGCTTTGGGTCTTGGGGGGAGGAAGGGTATTTTTTCACACGTCCGGCGCTTACTTCTCGAAAAGTAGCGACGACGCACTCCGAGCGGGCCCGACGTCGACGTGGCTGCCCGTTTTTCCTGCTTTTTCCTCGTCATCCGGATGCGTCCATTATTAGAGTTCGCGTGGCGCTGCGCAGCCTGCGTTTGGATGGCGAACTTGTTTTTGCGCTTCGAATTGCTTTCCTCGCGCCGCGCGCTCGTTGCTCGCTGTTTTCTCGTTTTATCGCCCGATGAGCCCACCTCGTTGTTATTACCACTCGCGCGCGCTAAAAACGAGCTGCTACCCGCCTGTGCTTCCAGCCAAGGCTACGCCGTAAACAAAAACAAGAAGGCCCCAGAGCAGTTCATAGATATGCAAATTGGCGGGGCCTCCTGTTCCTACAGCGATCCTCGAGTGCCTCTACGCGAACTGCGGAGAAGCTTCCAGGCACAATGGCTAGGCGAGGAGGGCAAGTAACGAAAGAAGCAGGGCGGACAATTCATCGGAAACCGGCCGGCACTGCCGCTGCACTTTCTGGCGCGCGCGGCGTAGTAACCCGGTGAGAGCGCCAGCACGCGATCAATAAGCCGCGCCGGGTCGAGCCGCGCTCCGTCCTTCTTTCCGGCGCGCGCGGACGCTCTCGACTCGACGTTGCGCAACGCTTTCCCGGCGAGCCGCCCCGGAGGATTCGACCTCGCCAGACGTTCCGTCTCCCAGGAAGTGACGAGGCCATTTCGAGCGGGGTCGACGGAGTGGACTCGTCCTTGGGACGTGGAAGTAGAAGGCGGTCGGCGGAGATTTTTCTCGTTATTTTTTACGATGCAAATTAACGAGGCAAATTGACGGTTTCGGGAGATGGCGCGACGTTAACGGGCGAATGAAGAGTACGCGCAAGTGGACCGCCAGTAAAACGAAAATGGTGCACTCATCGAAGCTTACCTTTCATAACTCAGCTCTCGGCAATTGAGTTATATATACGGAAGGGCGGGTCCCGGCGCCAACTGACGAAAAGACCGTCCTCGCGAACCGTACGAAATGTCGAGCGAAATCACTATTCACTTTATTATTAACATACCCCTTCCGTTTTCGTAATCGAATTTTCAAGGAATTTCTCATCCCCGTTATTCTCGATTGTCAGTCGTCGGTTTGACAGCTTCGTTAAATTTCACGAATACTCAACGTGACTCTACCAGGCACGTAAACATCGGGCTTACGCATATCGGCTTTTTCCATTCTATATCGCGTTGCGTTTGATTTTTTCTCGGATGGCCCAGTGCTCGTGGCGTTTACTCGGGGCTCGGTACAATTCTATTAACAGAGACTGACAATTGCGCATCGCGTAAAACCTTCGATAGCGATACTATTATCGCGGACGGACGAAGCTTCGCGAAAATCAACCTGACGTTTCAACAACGATCAACAGTGCTTTCGACCGCACGGCAGCGAGCGAGGCGCCATTTTGGTAGTTTCTCGCCGAGAGTAATGTACGATAAGTGCTAGTTCGGGCGAATGCACTTGTGAATGAAATCGAAACGGTTTCGCGACGTACTCCTTGCCATTTGAAGAGTACGAATGAAATAAAGCCAATTCGAAGGCATGTTTGAGTCGATTGAGCTGAGCGAAAGACACAAATGTTACGTATATTCGCAAAAACTAGATCACGTGCAGGGCGATCTCTCTTTTTTCAAGCAGATGAGAAAAAATGTCCCCTTGTATACGTTCGTTCTGAAATATTAAAGCATCGCTAAGTCGAATGGGGAAAAAAAAGACCGGACAGGCGACATCAACCGATAAGGTGAAGTGCTCGTTCATTGGCAGCTAACGATTGAATAAAAAATTCATCGAAACATGTGTCTGACAACGACCATCGACGTTTCGACGTTCGGCAAAAACTCTGCAATAAATTCTAGATAGAGAGACTGGGCTCGAGTCGACATTGCCAGCTGAGTAAGGGCTCCACGCCTATAACGCGAACGTTCTCGAAAGGTCGCTCCGGCGGTGCAGTCGCCGCTGCTCCCGCAACGCCACTCGCCAGCCTCTGCGGTATCGCGAACTGCGCTGCCGCGTGGCTGCCGCACCGGTTATCGTCTGCCGGTTGGCAAATTGCGCCGCGCTGTCTCGCGCGGCGTGTACTCGCCACGGGGATTCGAGAAGCATCCACTGTTCTCGCAAGAGCCACACCGACTCGGGTAAAGGACAACGGGATCGCTGCCGTTATATTAGCGCGAGTAGCAAGTTTATTGTAGCTAGCTTCGAATGACGCGTCATTACCTTGCTGATTGAGAGTGACAGTTGGTCGGCTGACGATTAGTGGCCGAATTTCAACGGTCCTCCGCCCTAGTGTCCACTGGATTGTCGCTCAACACCGAACATTGCCGAGTGACAAGACCGCCGAAAACAACACGTACAACTCTGTTGACTTGTCGCTGACAAAACTTGTAGGTTCGATAGTCCTTCACTCGAGTTTCTCATTATATTTTTACCCGATCGTCATTGCAAATAAGTAAAAAAAATGGTGTAATTGTACAATCACGTGGAACAATTGTACTCGGAAGAAGGCAATTATTTTATTACGACATCAAGAAAATGCACACACACACACACACACACACACACACAAGCTCGTAAATATACGGTCCCTTCCCGGGGCTATGAATTTTCCGCCGAATCGGATACTCCGACAACTGTAATTCTAGGGAATGATGGAAGTATTAATATTTCTGATTGATCCGGCAACATCGATTGGTTTTCATCTGTGGAATCAAACGCAAATGGTTTGGATGCCCGACCAAACTCAACTCGTTCCACTTGATCAATTCGAGAAATCAGCTTCTTCGATCGATCTCAGCCAGTTAGCGCAGTTCAACGACGTCGTCCACGTAGACGGACCAATCCGCGCGAGCAGTTGTAATTTCGATTTGCCTGTAAGAGTTCGGCGAGCTGTGTGGCGTCCCGAGCAATTATCACCTCGCGAATAAAGACGAAATGGCTATGGACCTTCGCCGTTCGCAGCAATCGCCCAGTCTCCGATCTTCGCAAAACGGACGTACAAGAGGGTCCTATTATCACTGCCAAACGTACTTTGGACTTTTCGGTGTGTGGTCGTTGGTCTGGCACTGCTTGTGCCTGCCCTAGGTACTTGAGTATCCTAACGCAGTTGCATAATACACAGGCAATGCGATATGTAAGAAAGAAACGTCTACGCCTGCAATGGTTGCGCAAAACCTGAGAGTTGCGCTACCTTTGGCAAAGTGGTCGACGTTCAGTACCGTTCGAAGTAGACGTATCTGATTTTCAAAGGCAATCGGTGACTTGGTAAAGTCAATGCAATTGCCGAGCCGCCGTGCGGTGTCGTTCGTGCCGCAGTAATCCTGGACGTCCTCTCTGAACGCCTCGCCGATCGGACGATCTCACGCGGCTCGACGACAACTGCTCTGGACGCGATCGTCGCTGAAACTGCGGATTCTCTCGAGAGTCACCGAGGCAGCTCAAACGAAGCGCACCAAGACGTTAGATTTCGCTTGATCGTCTACGGCGTTGGCAAACGGCTTCGCGTATTGTTCCATAACTATCCCGGTCAGTGGGTCAGAGACCACAGCCTTGTAATTTATCGATCACGGTAATGACGATTTCGTAGGAAAAATAGCATTTATCTACTGCGTCGTCTATTTCAATGAGTCCGGATCGCACAGAGAGAACGTCAAGTATTAAATGCAATTGTCGAAGAAACTCGTTTATTTCAGATAGATGTTAAAGGTATAGCTTTCGTGTTTTACCTTCTTGTCGTTGGGACTGCGAATGTCAATACATAGTCCGTTTCAATGCCAAATTAATGCGCAATGAATTGCGTTAATACTTTCGTTGTAAAATGAGCTTATGTAAGTCGATTGTCAATGAAACCGGAGCGAGGAAATCAAAGTTAACGTTTCATAACGATGCAAATTGCATTATTCGAAGGTTTGCAAGTTGAAACATTTCGTACTCCAGAGTCCTGCTAAGAATTATTACATAAAGGTGTCACATAATTTTAGATCATCGCACTGTCATACCTGATCAAACTCACCTGATTTTACTACGATCATTCACAACTTGAGAAAAAAAAAGAACTACGAGCTGAGAGGGCCATCGGAAGCCTTTTTTTATTATTTATAATCGTTATATAATTTTGAAGGAGCCGTAAGAATCCATGAAAAGCCTTTATAAAACAATAAACACTAATAAAAATAAAAATAAATTCTGTTTTCAGGTATACAAGCAATAACTACGACACCTGTGTAGGCACTTGAACTTTGGTGGAAATTGTTTAGCGTAATTCATAATGCTGGTTTCAAAACCAGCTTTTTTCATCGTAAATCTGAAAAATCTTTGTACCTTTAAAAAACAAAATTTTCATTAATTTTCACTTCTCGCATTTACCTTTAACCTTTTTGTAAAAACTTTTCAAACATACTTGCATCGTCGTCTAATTCCATCAAAAGATTTATTGTAAAATTCAACAACTTCGATTATATTGTCAAGTCAATTATGAGAAGTCAATCAAATCTGTCATCGAACTGGAGAGACAATAATTTTGACAATCATTAACAAGAAACATAAACCGCTCAAAAGCCTAGTGTTGTCGTACAGTGTCCGAAGATATTCTCCACAAGTGACTAGCAGTCCTTGCGCAAAGCGTAACGCGCGGCACGGCAAACGGAGATGTAATTGCATCTCCGCGACGTAAGAAAAAACAAACCCGCGTGCACTCCGTGGAATCATTTCGAAGCTTAGTATCGATATAATTGTCGCAAGAGACTCGATAAGACGCGCAGACAGAATGGATCCTTTGCGTGGAAATCTCCGCGTGGGTTATTAATTCATTTCTTGCCAGATAGGCGAGTGATTGTTGCGCTTCTAGCGCGAAGAAACGAGCAGTAATTGCGCGAACTCGTTCACTCGTATACGTTCAAAATACCAACTGTAAAAGTAGATTTTACTGGCAGGCAACCGACGCAGGTAAGTGACACCTACGTTCACGTATATATTTGTATTCACTTGAGCCTTGATTCGAAGGTCGCCGCATGCTTTAAAACCATTGCTTCGCGTCGTAAATTTCGAAGATTCTGCGAAGCCAGTTGGCAAATTATTCGTTACCCCCGCTACCATGTCCTGTCCACGTCGGAACGGAATGGGACCGCTCGTTCGTGACGTCTTCCTTCGTCTTCTTATCGAAGCTCTCTCTCGAACGGATTTGCATCGTAGTCTAGCTCAGCGCAAAACGTCGCCAACGGTGACTCGGCAGAGCTCGGTCAGCTCGTCGAAGTCTTCGAATTGCCGTCGCATGCTCGCGAAAATGAAGTGCGGCAAGTCCGTCATCGGACTGGCGAAGCAGTAGCTTTGAAAATCGAAGAACTTGACGCGGTCGACTTTGCCACCGGCGCTGCGAAACATCACGTTGTCGTTCCACAAGTCACGGTGGACGAGGCAAGCCCAGGGCTCGCTCGACGCCTGAACACGCTCGCGATAGCGTATCAAACGCGAATCGTAGCCGATCGTCTTCAAGACCAGCGGCACCGAGGTTCGTCGGCTGGCCGCGCGCGCTTCTTCATTGTCGCTAAGAATTTTGGATTTTTCTCTTTCATTGCTAATCCTATCGCGTGGAATTTGGCTATCGCTGGTATTGCAATCCTCATCTGATCCATGGAAAAACCTACAACCGTTGTAAGATCAACGTTTAGGAATGATACGACCGAACGTATATTTGAGGAAAGGTAAGCAGGTATAGAAGTTACTGTTGCTTGAGCAATTTGGTGCCACAGCTTCAGATCCTCTCGTGAAATCGAAATAACGACAATTTATAAAGTATTTGTAATTGTACCACACGGATCGCTTGTACCGGTACGGCGTTGCTACTCGAAGGCGATAAGCGATCGCGGCGTGATAAAGCGTTCGTCTGTCACGTCCATTTTTTTGCCTCGTCCATTTGGCGTTCGTTCGACAGTTCCGCGTCAGTGATAGTTTTGCTTCCGCGAGATTGTCTCTTTTCCAGGCTACGAGGTCGACGCGCGCGAACGCCGACGAAACCCAATCACAACGTCGAATCACGAACCTCGGCGGCGGTCCTCCACAACGTAACCGTTTACATTTATTTTGAATAATATCTCAGAGCTCTCGTCAGCTCCGTCGTCGTCGGCTCCAGCCTTTGGTAAGCGGGAGCGATCGGCTCGTAAAAGCACATCCCCTTCGCCACGGTGAGCTCGCGCCGGTAGACCAGTCGCTGGAATTCGGACGGCGTCTCCGCAACCAGGCGGCTACCTCGCCCGACGTCACTGCCGTAATTGTCCCCGGTTTCCGCGGGTTCGAGCACTTCCAGATCGTCGTCGCCCAATCTCGAGCGACTTGTATAAGACCTGTATAAGATCGTCGCGAGCAAGAGCTCGAAGGCTTCGAAGTAGAACGAGCACTAGCGGCGAATATCGCCGAAAAGCGACTTTTCGTTTCGCTCGCGCGCAATTTGAGTGGCGGAGGGAGTGGCTGAGGGGCGGGCAGAGGAGCAACGCTTAGATGAGAATTATAAACGGGTGATCTATATTTAAGGTGGTCCTCCCGTCGGCTTTCTCTTTGGCATTTCTCGAGGCGTTTCTACTTCTGAATTCGGCTTCGCAGCGAGTCAGATAATACAGGCAAACGTGCGACGCGATTAGCGCTTGAGCAGTGCGATTCGTTGCACTTTACAAAATGTATGTGCGCTCCGCAAGGCGGCGCACCGTTCGCGGTCAAATCATGACTGTCCGCAGGAGATTCAGGTACGTCGCTGCCGTTTTGATCACCTGCAAAGTTGGTTCGTCAGTCGCCGACGAGCGCGGAGATGCAAATGGGAAATCTCACGTTGCAGAAGCTGCTCATCGACAGGTAGACCATTTTCCCAGCAGTGATTCTCGCAGGGCAGCAACTTGATATCGCGATTATGAAGATTACGTCCACGGCCGTCTTGCCCGGGAGCTTGTACCAATCAATCGCGTAGGTCACCTCGCCAACTTTCTTGCACTGCAACCAACAAAGCCAGTGTCTTGACCTACGTAGTGGCGTGAAATAATGACCGACGGTAATACCTGTTCGGTGAGGATGTCCCCGATGAAGCAAAAAATGAAGATGTTGAACGTGAACGATACGAGGAGGATGCAATATGTCATCGTGCTGATAGCGTTACGGCTCTCCCATTCCTGCAATCTCCCGTTGATTTCGTGCCACTGCGATATTTTCACATCATTTGGTAAACGAGATTTCACGAGCGCATACCGTGATGAAGTAATAGCCGAGGAAGCAAATGTTGAGCGTGCATCCGACGAACTCGACGAAGCAAATGACGTTCAGGTTTTTCTCCACCCTCTTCGCGAAGCTAGAAACAAGCAGAACAGGTCGAGCAATCTCGGAGGATCCACGGCGGGGCAGTTCGTAACCTCAGCGCCCGAACGTGCTTGTCGACGATCTCTCTCATCCTGTCGGCACTGCCGGCCTCGCCGCCTCGAGCGAAGTCATCGAGCAGGCGCATGACGATGTCGAGCTGCGCGCAAACGTGAACGACGAATCCAGCGGCGAGGCTGCAGGCGCCGACGGTGATGGTGTACAAGACGAACCCCGACGCGAACTGCACGAGGAAGACGAGCTCGTACCAGGGGCTGCTTTCGACGCGCATGAAGCGCTCGTACACCGGATAGGTGAGCGCCCGCGGAGCTGGAATGGGCAACGTCGAGTCCGTGGAGTTGCGCAGCTCCAGCTCGGCCAGCCTGGTGAGGAAAGCCGTCGAGGCGATGCGCCCGGACGACAGCGGCATGATGGTGTGGTAGAAGAACCCGCCGCCGTACATGAAAGCCGCGCAGAGGAGCGTGAGGAAGTGGCCGAGCCTCGCGTTGCTCCGCATTATCGCGAGCTGCGCCTGGAACGCGCGTCGCAACGAAGTGTCGCTTGGGGCCGAACGCGGCGTCGACTCACCGTGGCGCGCCTGTCCTTGTAGAACTTCCAGTCCTCCTCGACGTGCCGGAAGCACTCGCCGATCTCCTTGACGCCACTCACGAGCGAGCAGTACTTGCCGACGGCCATGAGGTGGAAGCTCATCGGGCCGATCAGCTTGAGCTTGATCGCCGCGCTGGGCTCCTCCAGGAACGTGTGCAGCGCGCACGGCACCAGCAGGAAGCTGATCAGCCAGTAGCTGGCGGTGACGGCTGCCTTCTGCAGCAGCCGCAGCGCGAGGCTGGCGTCCGAGGCCAGCGGCCATATGCCGAGGGGTATGAGGAAGTAGCGGTTCATTCGTATGGCGTATCGCGACTCCTCGCCCACGGACATCCTTGCGCCGCGGCCGCGGGACTGCGAACTGGCCGCGAGCCGCCCCCGTGCCAAGTTACTTACGCTCGTCGAAGGCGGATCGATTCGGCTTCGGTTTTCGCTACTGAATTCGTAATACCGCGCCAGTCCGCTCCAGCGCGCTGGACATTCTCTTTCCAAGTGAATAATTGGACACACGCGGGCGAGTTGCTTCCGTCGATCAAAGAAGAACGAACAAATACGGCAAGCCTTACGCACGGGCTATTTATATCGAGATACTTTTCCAGTGTCGTCTTTTTCAACATTTCCAGGACTTCTGTGGTATGAGTAATCTTAAGTTTGTTGGCGCTGGAAAAATGTCCGACGATAGTGCGTCTTATGCAGTTATTTATGACGCGTTTCAAAAAAGAAATAAACGCACTCGCCGATTTCCCTGTTGCCGCCGGGTTAGACTCTCGGAAAATAAATCAGCCGGTAACTCGCCGTCGCGGCTCCTTTCTGGCGCAGGACGAAACGCGAACTATCGGCTTATTTCGTCTCCTTCGATTATGCGGCTCAAACTGCGCGACACCTACGCGGGGAAGAGCGCGATCGCGTCCGGCGAAGACTTCACACTCGTTAAAACGAAATCCGCGAACCGAATTGATCGAGCTCGCCGTTCTCGCTCTTTAATTTATAATACCGCGCTGGAAGCTCGAAGGCTCCTTTTCTCTTCGGTACGGGCTTGCGACTGGCAGTTGTCAAGATGTGCTTACCAACAAAAACGAAGTCCATTGCCAATCGCTCGCTCCATTCTTGCTAGCGATGCTCAGTTTCTCGTTCATTTCCATCGCCTCGGCGAATGTACGTCTCGCAATTAAATTTTTTCCCGCGTCTAGATGGATAATTGCGTCTCCACGCGGTGGCAAAAATAAAGAGAAGGGAAAAAAATTGTGCAAACGAAAGGGTTCGTCTTGAGCGTTTTTGTCGATCGTCTCCGCGTTTACGTCCCAGAACAATCACGTAGAAAGAAAACTTTCTCCCCTATTCAGCTGGATATAAGTATAATTGCTGCGAGTACTCGATGAACTTCGAGATGTATCTGCGTGGAATATTCGATAAAGAAAAACATGGTGCGCGCGTGATTACGTTTTTTTTCTCGTTTCCCCGTAGCAATTATATGTCCCTTGCGTAGACGACGCATGAAGAAAATTGTACGCCCGATAATGTAGGCATGTTTAAACTTGTGTCTTGATACGTAAGCAAAAGATTGCGTATACAAAATTGAATCAAAATGTTTTTTACGGCTACTCAAAATGCAATTCAATAATCTGGACGCTCATGACTTTTTGCAAAAGTCTTCTATTGTTCGAGTACTACATTTTATTCACAACTGTGGTTTGCGGTATAACTTGACAAATGCGAATCAAGGCGTTACAACATAACTACCCGCAGCAGATTCAGCTATGACGTTGCTGCATTGATCACTTGAAAAGTTAGCTATTCAGTTGTTGCTACGAGCCAAGTCGATGCGAGATCTAACATTGGAAAAGCTGCTCATCGGCGACATGCATCTGGCCATTTCAACATCGTTCCGTTGAGAAATCAACAGTTCAATGATCGACGCGCCTGCGCTGATCAAAACATTGACCTGTAGCAAACTATGACCATTACAGGTGATGTTATTACGACCGTCGCAATAATATACATCAGACACATATTGGGCTCCTGAAATATAAACAATATGTAGATAAGTGTGGCAGCCTGCTAAATATAATGCAACACAGTAGCAATGGCTTTATTTACACGAAAGATCCTATACTTTTTTGCATTTTTTTTCATTCGCGGGAATAAAAATGTTAAATCTCTATACGAATCTTACTTTGTGTTTTGAATATGTCCCATTGTAGGTAGGCATTAAATGTACTTGATGCGGGCCACAATATTGTGAGACGGCCGTACTTGGATGTTCATTATTCGACGAAATATAGTCTAGCTGTCGAAGGGTAACACATTTAATTTTTGTCGATCGTCCGACCCGAAAACAGAAAGCACAAATGAAAAGTGTGACTGACCGAGCCACCCGACTGATAATGCAATTATACCTGTGAACTCCCTGCTTCTACTTTTGACACGTCAATCGTCGTACTACCAAATTGCTGATCAACGGCTTCTTGATATGAAGGTACACTATGATTTAGACTGGATTTTTCCGAATCTGTGTGTAAATTAGAATAACTGACATAGCCACTGCCCGTATTCTGCAGGAACATTTTAAAGGAACGAAAACTTGAGACTGCGGTGCTGATTACCAAACTCTTCGGATATAACTGCTGCCAGTTGCGGTATTTTGCGTGGATGTAGTCTTTGTTTCCTAGTGGAAGGGATGTGGAGGGGAAAACAAACGGTGTCCTTGTGCGTTTGTGACGTACACGACGTATCGATTCAGGATCCACCAGACACGGCGACGCCGTGGAGCTCTCGGTCTCTGCACGTCGCTTTCAATTTCATTTTTGCTGCTGATTTATACTACAACGTGGTTAAATAGTTCGTAAACGCATTGCCAAAAGTAAAATTCATTTCGATACAAAATGGATGTTTGTTTATTCAAATTTTAAAAAAAGGCAAATTAATTATACACAGCAGTAATAATAAAAATAAAACAAAATGAAGTCTTGAGGAACTTATTTATTAGGCTTATCAAAGTAATTCTTGGTTTATATATACTAAATCAAAGTTAATTTACACGTTAAACATATCTGTAATTTATTGTCTCGAAAGTGTATACTTTTACAATATAGTTATTGAATTTAGAAATGATTTTTTGTAGATTCACTTTAAAGTTACTTCGATAACAATTTATAAAAAAATGAGTCCATGTATACGAAGAAAGCTATTTATAACAAAAGTGCGTATTACATCAAATAAGAACTTTTGAAGCATAAAGGTTAAATTTTCCATCAGTTTTACGAAGAGACCAGCAGTAGCCAAGTATGTACTTGTCCTTCGTAGATGTCTCTATCTATTTTTATTACACATTTCTTCATTGATACGTTGGTTTTATAAATAGAAATTTATTCTGTAATAACGGTCAGGGATTCCATTTTCATTTTCAACAGAGAGAAAATAAGCCGTAGGTGTAGTTATATATCTCTAAATCACCGATGCAATAGTTATATAACTTGAACTATTTTTACAAAACAACAGGCAAATCGTTTAAAATTAATAATTGAATCTATGCACAGGCACATTCATATAATATATATTCACTATAAATATTTATATTATTTTAACAAGTGTAAACGGATTCGTCATTTGTAATGTCTGATTATTAAAAATTCTATATATATGATTAGTCATATCGAAACGTTGATAAAGCTGTCTGTCCAACAATCACTTAGCAACTTATTGAGTAATCATAGTATAGGATATTTGTAATAATCACGTATCTCAATAATAGATAATGTCTCGAAAATAAAGCATTTAGTGCATATCTTCAATATAAATATACAAGCTATTATCTCGTAAATATTAATATGCATCAGATTATCCATTATTAATTTTCCAGTGCCTACGACGAAACATATAAGCCTTCTTTTTCCTTATTTAGCCATGCATACCGAGAACGAATATTTTTCATCTTATATAAAATTTCTGTTTCCTCAGAATTATACTTAAAATACAAACGTTTGCAGCCGCTCCATCGCACTTAAAATGTATCTTTGGTCTCTTGAGAACTCATTGTTTGGCAGTGCTTCAGCCACAGGCTTATGTGTCATCCAAATCCTCTCACTTATCAATGTATTGAGATCCTATCCCTACTGTTAACAGTATGATTATCAGTAAAGCGATCATAGAGCACTTGATGTCCTGAAAAACATAAATGTCCAGATAAACGACGCTCGCGAGCTGTACGAAAAAGCAGATGTGTTCTGGCAAGCGAAAATCGCAGATTTTTATGGACGACGCAAACGAAAGCACCGTGAAGATCGTAAATCGAGACTTACTTTTTGACTTTGTCGCGTGTCGCCCGGGCCCCGGCGTTGCGCAACTGGCTCGCTCGTATTTCGCTGGCTGCTCCACGAGGCACCGTCCGTCTGTTGGAAATCGATCGATTATCGGCCTCGAAGGGCAATGACGACAGGCGCTCGGCCGAAACGCGACGTCCGACAGCACTGTACCTGCGCGCTCGTCGCTAAAGTTTCAGCGTCGCTCGACTCTGGCTTCGATACGTCTATCGTGGTCGTTCCCCTGGCACCTTGGCCGACGGCTTGCTCGTACGTGGGTAGGCTGAGGTCCACGGCGGTGTAGCCGGGCGGCCTGCGTAAATCAGAGGAGCAGTCGTCGCCCATTCTCGCCTCGTGGAACGTGGGAAAGCCAGCTGACGCGCTGCCTTTCGCTAAGCTTCCCGGCCAAAACTGCCGGGGTGCTCGCGTGTGCGTGCGTGTGATTTTCCGCGAGGGTGTAATTCCAGCCCCCCTCCCTCCCCGAGTGGGAGGATTACGGGAGCGGCTGGAGGGGAATGAGCTTCCTGCTCTCGTGCGTGTGCGACGAGGACTCTGTCCGCCATGAAACTCCGCGTTACGTGACTGCGAATTTTATGCTACGCTAAGTGTATGCGTATTTGTAACAAAAATTTGTTCGGTTGATAATTTATTTTACAGTACGTTCGTTACAATTATTATACGTTGCAATTTATTACAATTTTCAGAGACGACTCTTTGAGTATCATCTCCTTTTGAAGACTTGTTCTCATTTTTAACCATATTTAGCATATTGTAAACTTCTTCTGGCAGTAGTTCGATCTTGACGGGCTTATATGTTGGCATGCCTAGTACCTATTACAATTGCAGCAACCAGGATTACAATTGTTATCGCAGATATCAAGATTACCAAGCCGACGGGCTCGTTGCATTGAAGAATATAATTTATAGGACAATCTGTGAATTGATTTGACTATCGGTATTAAACAAAAATACAGCAATAATGCGATTATTAGCCAAAAACAATTATCTATTACAAACTACGAAGAGAATTTACGTACTTGGCGCTCAATGCACTCGAGATCGAAATCATTTGCATCGATTTTCACACTGCGTCAATATTTTGCAGGGTGTCGCAGACTTACACTTTGGAAGTTTCCCGTTCTCCATCGATTATTCCACAAGCGCCTAGTATTGAATGAGCAATATGTTGTGGATTGATTGTCACATTATTTCTTCCGTCATAATTGCCAGCATTCCAAAAATCGGGCGGTCGTCACCTGCAGGCTCGCTGGCAAATCTTCGTTGCCGTATAACGCCGATCTCGCGAGCTCGACGCGATCGACCAGCGTCAAAGATGCGCCTGCCACGCCGGACTAAATTCGTTTGTGCGCGCATCGAACGAGCGCTCGCACGAGTTACCGTGATTCCCATCGCCGACGTCCTCGATGTCGCTGCTCGTCTCCTCCACGCGGCAGCTCTGGCGAGGCTACTTGGCTTCAACCAACGAGGAACTTGTGCTCGGCAAGACCAGTCGAACGTCGGGGATTCCTCGACGTGAGTGTTCCGTGTCGCTTGGCTCTACGAGTATTTTGTCGAGTTACCACGCCGATATACGATAGCGAAGGCTTGAGTAAGCAAATCGTGGCTTGTCCGCGAGACGGCAGGAGCGATCACCAAGTTCGCGCGGCGATAGCAGTGAAACAGCTCTCGCTGATTCGATACGTAAGCGATACGTATTCGATATGTCGCTTGTTCGCGAGTCGCACGCGTATCGGGCCGACTCCAAGGAAACGATCACGCACGCCAAAATTCAGATAGCGGAAGGTCTGCTCGTAGCTCACGGTGTGTATTGGTTTATTAGAGCGCGTGCCACGTCCAAGAAATTCGGAAACTTGGTGTGTAAATTTCTACATTACGTTTTGTATTTGCATTTCTATTTTTTTTTTTGCTACAACGCTCGTATCTCATACAACAACCTGAACCTTCACACATTTTATAATTTATAGATATCACAATGATTCGTTGATATGATGAATAATGTAACACATAAGTATAAATATTTAAACAGCTTTACCGCTTGCTCTTTACTTGGCAATAATGAGAAACGGATGATAAAATAACTGCCATTTTTCTATAAATTTAAAATACTTATCGAAGAAACACATCGCGCAGGTGTATACTCTCATCACTGGTCACATATCCCGGCTCGAAATCATGTCTCGTAAATGTAAGGCTTCTCATGGCAGTGAGTTGATCGAGCGTTGGATGGGGAATGGATAATTTACAAAAATTACTATGTATACCATTATTATGAATAGAACGGCTAGCACAATGGACGCAATTAACATGCCGTAAAATCTCCTCCTGAAATGCTGAAAATAATATTTTAGCAGTAGCTCTACGAGTCTTAGAAATCGCGCTCTCAGAAATTGGCATTAACGTAGCCGGAAAGTTCAATCTTACGTTTTGTCGATTCCGCGTGTCCCAGTAGTATCTCCAACGTTCTTCCGCAATTCGATTACGATTGGCATTAGATAAAGCATAACTAGCTGAGTAGTTGTTTTCCAAGCTTCCCTTTCTCTGATCACAATTACTGCTCGGGGGGGCGTCTCGCCCAGATTGGCTTTTCAAGGCTTCGTCTGCCGTCGTAACATCATTAACCTGCTGGAAATGGTGTTCTTATTGATTTCAAATATTGCACTTTAGCGAAAATTGAAAAGAAAGAGAAAACCCAGCTGTTACCTGTAATGTCGTCGACGAACAACCACTGGATGCAGGTTTTGAATCGTCAAAGGCTGCTTTCGTTGGCTCGATACTGCTGCCCGACTCCGGTGCACGTTCTGCAACTGAGCAAATAATTTCCAGACCGAGATGATTATTGTCTGTTTGTACGTTGGAACGGCAGTCATCGACAGATGAATAATCATTGGACGTTCGCGCACCAGACGAGTAGTCGAGGCTAACGCCATAGTTGTCACTCATCTCTCGTCCGGGAATACTTTGTTGAAATCAAGATAAATACTGAGAAAAAATGTATTCCACGTGGTACAATATTCGAGCGAGAGAGAAAGAACGAAGCAGCGACACTGCTGACACGACGAGATTGTCGAGCTGCGGGAACTCGTACGGCCAAGAGAAAGAAAGTAAGACAGAGGAAGCTTTCAACGAGGTTACGAAGGGGAAGGAAGGAGAAAAGCCTCCAGGCCTGAGTCTCTCGCCACGTTCTCCCTCGAACGGCTGCCCCGCTACGTTCTATTTTTATTTCGACGCTCGCTCGTTGCGCGACGATGAGAAACCATCTTGCCAATGATCCTCCCGCGTCTCCTCGGTTGCCCCATTCGGTTCGTTTTCGTCCGCATCAGCTGTTGACTACTCTTATCAGTATGAGGGTCGCCACGAGCACCAGTACGACCATCGAGTAAAATATCCTGAGCGTGCAGCGAGCAGAAATACAACGCCCGCTCGCCGAGCGTCAATCACGCATCTCTTAACGTACGATGGGAACGTGCCGTCGAGCTCACATCCTGCGCGTGGCCGCCGGAACGATCGCTGTGCATCTGCACGCTGCAGAAGTGCGCGCTCGATATCGTTGACGCGCCAGTGCCATCGCGCAACGTGACTTCGCCTCGCCACCATCGCGGAATTACAAACCGTTGAGAAGCTCGGGATCTGTTGTGCGGCAGGGGGGGCAGTGTGACTTACTCGCGCGTGGATGGATAAGCGAGGCGTCGTTTTATCATCCCTCTCCTTGCCTATAGTTTGTTTGCGCATGTTCTAGCGGTGGATTTTCCAGTGCTATTCTTAGAATTCAACTATTATCTTTCTTTTTCGCTGTGAGATTTTCATTACTCAAGTCAAGCTTGTACGTAATATTATCATTTTTTTAAGTATACCCGGCATTGATGAGAAAAGTTTGCCATTTCCGAATAACCACACAGATTTTTTTTGACATTTTACTTGCGAATTTTCACATCACTTCATGGTTTTATATATCAAAGTGCAAAAATCTGAGCGCGATACGCGAAGTATGAAAACACTCAAAGACCGCAGTGCTGTCATCCACCGCGAAATCAATTGATCCTAAGTAACAATGATGATTGATGAACGAACTCAAATGTAACTCAATGATTCAGTTTTGGAATTAATTACGAAAAAGAAATAACATAGCAATTCAATTGTGATAAAGTGAATGTGTGAAACCAACACTACAGCGTGTAAAACTATATTCGAGAGATCTTGTATCTCAAAACAATAAATGATGATAGACCTAGATCCGATAATATTATATATCTAATTGTACCGTCCAATGATAACGGAGGAATCTGATCAAAAAAATCTTTAGCGACAATTTCGACAACGTAATTTGAAAGCTTGCTTGTATGTATACCCTTGTTGTAGTGTTTTTTGGGGGGAAGTAGAGGGGTAGTAGGGGTAGTGTAGAGTTTGGGGGTGAGAAATTTTATTTTCGTAGCTTTTTCTCATACGGAAACGAACAGAGATTGCATGATTAAGCAATATCCATTTAAGCATCACCTGAGAAATAATCGTTATAGTCACCACTACTACCCTATTGTTACCGCGTCAAATAGGCCTTTTTTATTATTTGTTGATTTGTATTGCTAACTAACGTACATTAAACGTCTCAGTGCTGAAGTTAAAACTATTATATGTACCACTTCTCTATAGAGTTTTCTACTTATTTATGCGGCTTCAGGGGTAAAGATTCGAACATTTTCCCCCTCTGTGAGCATCCGAAAAGTTGGGTTCTCACGTTCATGATAGCGATCAATGAAGTGTAAGAGATTAAATTTTTTGCGTACAGGCTTACTTTGATGATCATCGCAAGAAAATAGTTTATAAATATACCAAACCTGTTTAAAGTTAAAAGTTTCGTTTGAAAAATTGTGAGATTTCCTTCTTTTGTGCACTGACTTCGGAGGTTTTCTATTTATTTTCGTAGAAATAAATCGAATTCGATGACGAACTTTTTTTCAGGTATGATTTTTATTTTTTGATAATATATAAATACTAATCACAGGTAAATCTGAGAGCTTCTCTGATCGAATAGTTACAGTATATCACACGTTGATTTTTTAATGAACACAATTTTTCATAAATAATAAATATCATTGGAAAAGTATGGTACGTTTTTAAAAAATTATATAAATTTCTTTAAAAATAGTTAATTGAATAGCCCTACTCAATATGACCTTATTATAAGCACTATTATTACCAGAATAACAGCGAATGCCACGTCGATAAATATTTTTATGATGCGAATGACTCATTCATCGACCTGAACAAAAAATGTTATACTCATAACTATAATGTTAATGGCGTTAAATTAGCACAAATTATATTTCTTTGACAAAAATGTTATTTAGTACTAGAATGTTCAAGTTTCTCATCCAATTCCTCCGTTCCTCTATGGTGAATTAATTGAAACCTTGAAAATTATGGATAGTTATTCAAAAGAAAAAAAAGTGAATTGCGTGGCAAGAAGGTCAATCATTGTATAAACGAGAAGTAACTCACGTATCGAGATCCGCGATAAACATCATTAAGGAACAAAAGATTGCCAGTGTCACCGTTCGCAAGGCCTTGTTGATGATCACTTTTGAAGAGATCTTTCGAGTTTCACGGAAAGGATAACAAATTATACCGTCAATTGATAATAAAGCAATATCGCCATGGAAATGAAACTTTGTTAATTGTACGTATAATTATTACCCACAACAGTCCGAAGTTGGTGCAGGCGGGTTGCTGGTACTAGTAGTATCTTTAGCGGAGGTATCTCTCGCAGCCGCCACCAGCTACCTCGATCACGCGGAACAAAGCCCGCCGCGGGTCGCAGCTATGCTATACCGAGGCAACTCGCGGCGAATCGTCCGAATCCCCTCCGCCGTATCGCGTTCCAGACTTGCGTTACATGGTATGGCGTTACAGCTCGCATAATAGGGCAGCCGCGCTCAATCGAGGCTAACTGCAGTTTATTTCGGCAGTGGGCGGCCGGCAGCGGAATTATAACGCTCCCGTTGCATCAACATCCCTCGCTTGGTTCTCCACAATAATCTCGCGATCGAGAGCGAAGAGGCCCCGCAGCCGATACGCGAGAATTTCGACAAATGCTAAAAACTCGCGCTTCCACTCGAGAAATCTAACGCACGTGACTCGTTGAGACTGAGAGGAGGAAAAGGAGACGTAATGGATGCTGAGCTGTCAATTTCCATATCCAATAAACGCTTGGCAGTCGGCGTCACATAAATGTGCATTTTTATTAGATCATACTTATAATTTACCGTACAAACTCGTCTTACATCACATTTTTTCTCGCGATACTACTCATCGCGTTTATTATATCAAAGTCACAATAATTTACGAAAACAGTACAAAATGTACTCGTATTCTCCGATTTGAAAGACAACCGTCGTTACAATAGAATTTCGAGCGAATATATTTACAGGTTTATTATAATTGCAGATAATCGAAAAACGAGAGTTACAAGTCTTTGGGTCGGAACACATTACGCGGCGGTGTACTCCAGGCATAAGAAGAAAATTGGTAGCACGCCGAAAGAATAATACGGGAGCGCGATTGCTAGTCGACGATCAACGGAAAATTAATTCTCAACGAAATTTGAGAAAATGTATCGTGCAGAAAATGAAAAGTCCAGTGAAGATGACAATCAGCGCCATACACGCTAACAGGGCAGTGACTGCGCGCTGAAAATACAAAACCGTCTTATCAGAAGTTTGCTTTGGTATAGAAAATATGTGGGATGTAAAAGGTGCGCAAAACTTACGGCGTATCCGTATTTTTCGCTGTTCCCTAGAAAAATATCATCCGAAGCTTCGTTGCGCGGCGAAACGCTCGGGTCCTTGGAAAAATAGAAAGAAAAAAAAAATACAAATGACGGAGTAAGTCGGTTCGCGCTTCAATGGAAAAGAGCTCGAGCAGGTAACTCATCGTCCTTGCCGATTACCGTCCTGACTTACATGCGGTGCTGCGACTTGATTGCCGCACGGACAACGAAGATTAGCAAGCGCCGTGGTGGCATCGCGTGGCAAGCGCTGGCAAGTAAATACGGGAGCACTGCTGCTCGGCCTTCGCGGAGCGCTGCCCGTCGCCTCCTCGTACGTGGGCAGACACTTGTCCCCGACGCAGGGCTGTCTGTGGATCTGCGAGCAAGGTGGAGCATCTCGTTGCATTCCGCGCTGGGAACAAGTCGAGCACTGCGCGAGGCGCGATAACCGAACAACGCTGCCCCACTTGGCAGGCTAGCACGGCTTGACGTTGGTGGGAGCGCCGGCAAATTACCACGTGTGCTCGCGCTAATACTGTCGGGCCGTATGTTCGTCGTGTTTTTTTTTATTTTTTTTTGTTTTTTTTTTTCGTTTCATGCCATGCGATCCCACCTCGTTGTCTTTGCACTAAACTATGCGTGCACTGAAACGTTCCTGTGCGTAAATGATAATCAGCAATGTGATTGCCGTGGTAATCGCCGCTAGAATCAAGGCCAATATGTCCTTGTAAGTCTGAAAAATAAAAATTGATATGACTCGTGGACAACTAACAAGCTAGGAGCGCCAGTACATAAAAGGCTACTCTGTTCACCTGGAATCTATAGATTTCTTCATGCCTTGTGTCGATCGTTGCTTGGTGGTGCGCTCTCCGCCTAATCAAATCATCCTGTAGCATAAATTTAGTCAATTGCCAGTATAATTACTAATCTTTCGAATGACACATTACACGACGTTTAATTTCAAGACGCGAGTTGCTTGAGGATGTGTTTGATATGGTGCTGTTCCTTGCCGAGCGTTAGAATGTTGATAAGTGTGTTTGTGTTGCAGTATTTTTGCTTTCCAGTGTCGACCATTGAAACGATATGAAATACTCATTGATAGATGCACGTACGTCTCAAAATTACTGCCTCAAGCGCTAAATTACAATTTTCACAATGCTTTTTATGTTTGTCGATTTGCAATCCATCGTTGAAGCGCTCGATAAGAGAACTCGCACTCGTACCGCCTCGATTCAAGAATCTACATTACCAGTTGAACCTACCAGCGTGTTTTCGATTTCGACTGAAGGTCGAACCGTGTTGTTTGGTCTACCGGCAGAAATGGAAATCAGCGGCGCACGTTCGTTGTGAACCACGATGTCGGACACACTTAGCAAGAGTTCGTTTGTCAGCGGCGCAGCTCCAGTGGCCGCTTCGTACGTCGGCGGAGAGTCATCGTACAACCGTGGATGACTGTTTTGCGCCATTCTCTGCAGGCTTCTTCGACGAGACACTGCGCTCTAGGACAGGCTAGGACTGCGCGACGAAAATCCACGAGCTCGGCGAGCCGCGGACTCCCCACTTAACTCGCCACGCGTTCACTGTATACTGTGCGGCCAAGCTTGGGTGGGGGAAGTTGGAATAAATTGACCTACGCGTGCAACAGGTCAATGTTGCTGGGTTGGTTATCGCGAGTTGAGTTTGACGGCAAGCTGCTTGTCAAACTGTACGACTTTACGTGCACTTGTCCATCCGTCCGCAAATAGAATTCAGTGTTACCATTGAAACTGAACGTTGATCAAACGCACGTCGATCAGCGTTGTTTCACGATACATATGGCTGCTTTCACTTGTCGACGAATGAATGATTTTTATTCGTTTATCGTTGCAAGTCAACGTAACTCCCGGGCAGCACTGAACGTTCGTTATTTATAAAATCAATTGCAAACATCGTCCGATTGTCTTCGACTTTGTAACTTGTTCGTCTCCACTTCAATAAAGTTAAAACGAACTCAACGGCCATCGCAAACACCACGAAGGATATACTTAGGTAAATAGTACACACGCGATCATTCCAGTGCTCTGTAACATGGAAATTCGCATATTTCACTAAGCGTCCGTCAATTTACAATCTGGCTATTTGATTTAAGTGTGAACCTACCCTTTGTTCATTTCCTGATAGCGGCTTTCGGTATCTTCCGACGACGTGTTGAAAATTCTGTGAGTGTTGAGAAATGAAACCAAGAATGTAAAAATACATCACGTCGGAAACTTTTGGTAGCTTCGTTGTGTTCCGCGTCATTCTCTCGCGGAAGCTGGCCATCAGCTTGACAGCGAAGCTCGCTCACTCTTCAAACCGGGGGTCACTACGTAGACGTGAAGACCAAAAGCAGTGCGGCAGTGTCGATCGCAAAATTTACCGCGCTGTCGAACTCAAAGAGCATCGTACGACCGAATGACTACGTTGCGATTTGTCTGTCTTACGAGTTTGCTCGTGTTGATTTGTTACGTTTCAACGTTTGGGCAATTTATTTTCCGATGCTTACATTTCAAATACAGTTGAAAATAATTCACGACTAGAGGCACACAACGTATAAATATAGTGATTAAAATATTACGTAAAATATTGTACATTGTAGAAACCAATGATTAGTGTCAAACAATATCAACGGCTTCTTCGAAGGCGAACTTGATAATTTTAAAACATCTGTATGACGAATGACTAAAGATATTCGGAGTGTACTTTCGTTTGCCCAGATAATCGGCTTGAGATTAGTAAACAAGCTCTGCCAATAAAGGTTTTTCTTTGATGACCATTCGTATCAACATCCATATTATACAATATTATACACGAGTTTTTACGCGAGTTAACAATGTACAGAATCGATGTTTCGCGGGAAGAGATGTGTTTCTTACACACTGATTAATGAGTAATGCATGTGCTTGTAGATTGTAACGTCATGAGACGTTTTATTTTATTTTAATTCAGGTGGCAAAAGTCGGTCGGTGTGCTGAATTGCAATGGTGCAGAATGAACGTTGCGAGTGAAAAGTACGTACCTTCGAACGACACAAAGTCAGTTAATATTCGCGAGCTTCCGTACTACGTTGGTTCGACAATTGGCTTTTTTACTAGGCATTTGGATTGTGAAGTCGCTACGTTCCAATTGTCTTTTACTTATTCTATTTCATTCTTTGCAAATCCATAGGTCGGGCATTCTATCTACATTGGAATTCTTTTGCAATTTCGAAATAAAACTTATTGCTAGAGTGACGATTCTTAGTGTGTCCCAGTCTTCAGTTTACCCTTCCGTAGTCATCAGGGATTTCGAGGCGCTGCAAGGCACTTTCAGAAAAATCAAGATAATGTACAACTTTGTATTTCGTCTCAACAAATAATATTCATTTTGTGCCTGTCTACTTCAACATGGATAACGCGAAAAAAAAAACCAATAAGCAGCTGATGATCACCACAATCGTGATGCCCACTCTTGACGATTTCCACTGAAAAATTTGAAGATTGAAATTCGTCACTGAGCGTTCGGCCTGTCGACTTTCGTTATCACTCTAACGGGTACGTACCGTTTGCTCTCTTACGTTCCTCGTGGATGCTCCCGAAATGGTTTGAGTCGTGTGACCTGTCGACGGACTGGATCGATCTTGAATGCAGATCTCTACATTTTGTATCCCAGACGAGTCGTCGGGAACCTTCAGAAGCGCGCGTCAAATCGACTTGAAGTGAGTGACATTATTCGCACACGGAAAAAAATGGTCTACCTGTGCTGTCATAACTTGCGTCGGCTGGTGAACATTGGCCACGGCCTCTTCGTACGTTGGCAGCGAGCTTTCCCTGTAAAGCTGGACCACTCGTGGTCGCTTGTGAGGATCGAGCCGAGACATTCTGTCGCGAGTAAACTGGACATAACTGATGGTATTGCGCGGGTTTCGATTTCATACGACTTATTATCGCACGATTACGGAATTATCGATGCCGTGATACTTTTGATAAAATCACTTGTGGCAATCATCCCACGCGTATGGGTGTCATGCAATGGCGAGATCATTGGAACTATTGTATTTAAACGGTTATTTCACGCACGCGCGCCACACGCGCGAGCGCGCGCGCACACACACACACAGGTGAACAGAGGAGTCTCAAGATAACGCTGTCCGTCGCTCACATGGATTCCAAAAAACACCAGGCGTTAGCAGTGCTTTCCTACACTGTCCAGCCCACTATTATCAGTAAGCCTAAGTAGGACATCAGAGATCAGCAATTGCAAATGCATTGCGATCCAAACGGTTTTCAAAATAATTGTGTTTCTCAAAAAAGGAAGAGTAGGCTTTCTCATTTTTCAGGACAAGCAACAAGGACAAGTATTTGCTCAAAAAACCCTCAAATGGCGTTACCCACTCTCTCTGGCAACGCGTGTGCACATCTTGAGTACTGGTAAACTTTACCTGGAAATCATTTGCCTTCAAATACCATTGCCATTTCATAAAGGTCGTGCTGGACGTGTTCGAAAGCAGGAGATCAATTCCTTAAAAAAGTGCTCGCGGTGCGAATGACGTGACTATTAAAAGTCAAGCTTAGTCTGCAAACTCGTCCACCCATCTCCCACTTCTTTGAGCCACACGACGGTCAATTCGCACTCGAGACTTCCGCGCGCAATCGCAGCACAGAGTCAATCGGCGCGAGATGAGACACGCGGACAAGACTTTTGTCGCGCCGCTCGACTCTAACGCAACAACGTTCGAGCGATTCGTTGCGCTGTCCTACGTGTCATTTGCAGCGCGAGATTGGAATGCGCGACTCGCAACAGGTGCTTCGCCAATGGTTGGTCACCGACTCGGAGGTGCTTGATTTCACGACCGACAGTTTGGTCGAGCGGAGCGATGTCAAAGCCGTGGTCGAACAACTATGGGCAGGAAAGTCTCGTCGAGCGGCACTACCCACGGAATTCCAACGCGATCAGAGCTTTCGTTGCTACGTGAACGCGGCAAAGGAAATTGTTCCTTACGAGCAGATCGTCCTCTCTTACAGGAGACTGTATCGCGGTGACTTTGGCATCGCGTCACAGTTCTGTGGTGGAAGGCGATTGACTATCGAACCCAACGCGATCGGCGCAGACGAAGGAGCCGTGATACCGTTGGAAATTTTGCGACGTATTGGCGTCGTACTTCGAGTCGAGCACTACAACTTCCCAGACATACGAGCCAATGTGCTTTTATGGATGCTTTTATTTATGCTGGAGGTGACGAGCGTCGGCACGGACGAGCTCGTCGAGTTCGCGAAGGCCAGTTCCTGGCCAAGATGCTGCTATCGATGACCTTCACGCGCGAGTTACTGCAGTGCGAGATCGTCACGCCCAAGGGAATCTTCCTCTACGAGGAGATGCTGCCGGGCAATTCGACGTCGCACCCAAATTTTACGGTGGACACTCGGCGACGTAGACAACGGCGCGCTGTTGTTGCTGGACAATTTGAAGGAGAGCGGCTACGCGATGGAGGACCGATTGAAAGGTGAGTCGCGATAAATTCTTCCGCTCGTAATCTGCCATCTCAGATACCGAAGCCTCGCGACGATTGGTTATCGTGCGGAAAATCGCTTCGACGAAGAAGCAAGCCTCGAGATAATTGGCTCGAGCTTCGTCTAATGAAAAGCTCCTGTTGATTTTCATTGATTTTCACTCTGGAAGTAACGACGGCCGTGTCGGGCGCATCGAAGCCTAGCCGACCTTATTACTATCGACTCAGGAATCGAATTGGCGACTACGCTGCGCGGACTTTCGCTCAACTCTAAAGCTCTATAGGACTGGCGATGTAACGGCATAATCTTGAATTCTTCTCGCGAACGAAAGGCCACGCGAAACTGTTTCATCGCGATCTGTGGATCAACGACGATGCGATGTTGAATTTCGCATGGACGACGGTTTCGAGTTCTTCTCCAGCCTGCTGCGACAACTCGGCGACTCGAACGAAGCCGTGAGCCTTTGCCGCCAATCCAATTGCGTGGAATTAGCGAGACTCGGCGTGCTGCACCGGTGTTTGGCCATGGCTAACAACGTCGAGGTGCGATCAAGGGGGTTCTTGAGATTTAGGACTCCAAAGGCGAATGGCAAAGGAAACCGTTCGAACGCCGTCGGATATTCGTGTTCCTGTCCGACGAATGCTTTCAAATCTTTTCGGATTCGCTTGCTTGTAGGTGCCGACTATCAAAATTCAACATTTTAAACCGAGTCTGTGTCGATTCTGAATTTCATCGAAAATCAATTTCTTGCAAGAGAATAAAAGTAAAAAACCAATCAAAGCAGTGTCTGATTTAAGCGATCCCGGTATAGTTCTCAAGAAAACGCTACTTAAAATGTCGACGAGGCACCCCAAAAGCCCCAAGAAAGTGTAAAAAGGTGGTGGCATTCAACTACAGTAATGCACGGGATTTTTCTAAAATACGCTTTATTTCTAGACTACAGCGAGAAAAGTTTCGAAAAACCTCAACAGGGCCCCCGAGTTTGCGTTTACACAGCGTCAACTAATGTTGAAAAAATCAGGAAAAGAACGAAGGTAAACCAGCAGTCTGCTCAAGCAGTCTGGATGTTACACTTGAACGAGGTGTGCTTGCAAGGCGAGAAAACGGGCTCCGCATCCGAATTGTCCGCGCAAGAGACGTCGTCGTCCGCGAGTTTTTCGCCGTAAGGACAGCCGCAGGTGGCCGCCAGGCGATTCTCGGCCTCGCACGGGTGATCGGTCCACCTGATCCGAGCCGAGCGGTTGCAGACTGCGAGGCCGCGCAGCGTTCTTTGCGGATCGGCGACCAGGATCGCGGGATTTCGTCCGCTTTTGTCGACTCGGAACAACAGCTCGCCGCCGCTAATGCCGAAAATGTGGCCGCCGTGGATCGCAAGGCTCCTCGCGGCCTCGAGCTGCTCGGGTAAGTCCAGCGTGCGCACGTCGTCGCCGTCGAGGTTCGCGTGACGAGCGACGACCCGCTTGGAGGCCTGAGGGAACAAACGTCATTGTGAAAACGAATGAAGTCATCGTTTTAACCAACTAAAATGACATATCACGGTGTACCGTAGTTTCAGTCCAGTAAACCCTGTCCTCGTCCAGATCCACGGCCAAAGCACTAACGTGTAGAGTAGGGCTTAGAGCGCCGAGGTCGATGATCACCTTCAGTCCCGATCCGTCAGTGACTAACCTGTCGATGCTTGCGCGTGCCAGTGGTCCATTCCCGCGGTCGATTCTCGCGAAGAACACGTATCCCTTGTTTGGGTGAACCGACAGACCGGCGACCAGTCCTCGCGCGTTCTTGATCAAAATCTTGCTGTAGGATGGATCGCGAACGTTCGTCACGCTGAGCGTGGTCGCGTCGGCGTAGTAGTACGCGAAGTAGTACAGGTTCTTGGTGATCCAGTCGTAGGCGAGGTCGCCAACGCTCTGGCTGAGCAAATCCGGCGACAAAGACCTCGCGCGTGCGCTGCTCAGTCGGACCTCGTGCAGCTTGTCGTCGGGGAAGTGGCCGCTGTAGTGGACGGCCCCGGCGTCGGCGTCGCAGTCGAGCCCGAGAGCGTCCACGCGGTGGCGAAACGGCACGATCGGGTCGCCGCCGTCGGCGCTCAGGCTCCGAGCGCGCAGGTAGGAGGTCTGGAAGGGGCGCGCGCGAGTCGCGGACGAGTCGCTGGCCCTCGACACTCGTGTCCCGGAAGTGCACCCTCTTGCGCTCGCCGTCGTAGTCCGAGCACGCCACCGTTCTCCTCGGCGTGTCCACCCAGCAGACGCGCTTGGACGTCGCGTCGACCGCCAAGTCGGCCACGTGGATGGGCCCTCGGTAAGGCCTCGACGGGCCGCCGCTCGGCCCCCCGTCCACGTCCGTCGGCTCCTGGTGGATCGGGACCGGATCCGAGCCATCCTGCTGCGCCCTCGGGATCTTGGGAACGCTGACGCGATTCACACGGCGAGAAAGCCAGAGGCGAGCGACTCGCGAAGGCTCACCTGCAGGTCGTCCGAGACGAACAGATATCCCTCGTCGGCGTCGAGCTGCACGCTCTTCGGGCGGACGAGGCTGCCCGTGCCGAGGACGAGCGTGGCGGCCTCGCCGCTCTTCAGGTCGAACGCGTACAAGCCACCGGCGAAGCCCTCGACGAGGTAGAGCTTGTCGTTGGCGTCGTCGACGGCCACGCCCCACGGCAGCCAGTCGCCCTAGCTCGCCACGGCCACGCGCGGCCCCGTCGTCGCGCCGCCCGCCTCCAGCGCGTAAACCTGCCGCGCGGCGAGGTCGCCGTAGTAGAGCGTGTCGCGGGCGCAGCTGTAGCCGAGGCTGATCGGGCTGCCGGCGGCCGCGAGCCAGCCCACAAGGGCGCCGCCGTCTCTACGCGTAACTTCGCGCGCGAAACTGTGCTGCATGCGTCACTCGCGATGTTTTCTCGCGCCTTGAAATGCAAATAAGCGCAACGCGTGTCAGGCGCGTGTCCCAATCGCAATTTTTCGATGGCGAGTCGGAGACGAGCAGCAGCGCTCGGGAAAGACTCGAAGGCTCCGCGAGTCCGGCCAGCGCGCTGACCGACTCTCGCCTCGGCTTCGGCGAGCGTGCACTCGGCGAGGCCACGGCCAAGGGGCCACTGCGCCCGAGCCGGCCGAAAGGCCTTTCGCGCCGCTTACGTAACTATTTTTAACGCGTCTACGAGATCAATGGAGATTGCGACTTCGGTTCGGTTGTTGATTCAGCACTTTTCTATGTCGTTCTTTAATTGCCGTTGTTTATCTGGATTGCATTATTGCTTATTCCATTCGCTTTATCTTGCAAATCTGACCTCCAGTCGTAGATGTATTCTTTCTTCTGACAATGTTTATTCGGTTAATAGAAATGTACGAAATGTATGATTAATTACGTATAATGCGATAATACGAATGATTGATCGATATCTGATAATACTGCCAATTTCACGAAATATGTCATTTCGAGCGCGTAACATTATTTGTCGTGCACAAATCACCATAGTGATGTATTTTTCTTTCGTGCCGAACGAAAGTGCGAACGAAAAATCAAACGCCCTCTCGTGCAGCGTTCTCGCTTCCCTATGGCAAAACAGTTTTCACGAAATTATGCAAGTTTTCTTTGTAATTGGTGTATTCACCCGTGGGACAAAAAATGAAAAGGAATGTCGTCGATCGTCGAATAAAGCTGAGGGGACGTTGTCATTCCCATCGAAATGCTCGTTGGAACGTTTGTCCCTGAAGAAAAAAACGCAGCAAACCACATTTCCGTTTATTTTTACACAGATCTATTATTTTCAAAGCACAAACATTATTACACGTTTGTCCATAGTGGGCATGTAGTGTGATCAGTGGAATTTATTAACGGTAAAGGGTAATTCGGCTTCGCGCCAACGCTGTAGTTTATTCGATCGAGGTGCTTCGCAGAGAGTCGAGGACGTTCGATACGCGAGCACTGGCACGAGAAACTCCCGGACGAACGAGCGCAGGCACCGACATGGCCCCTCCGTCGAAGACGTTGCGACTGCGATCAGAGGACACAGGGAAAAATGATTAAACGTCCATCGGCTCGCGATAATTTCGACAACGTACCGCCTGTCGGGCGGGAAGGCGAGAGGGCGGACGCCCTACCCCCCCGCGATAAAGTAGTTACGCTCGGTGTCCCTGCAGCCCCACTCGTCGCTCCTGTCCAGGCAGTCGTTCACCCCGTCGCACAGCTGCGTCTTGGGTATGCACCTGCCGTTCCGACAAGCGAACTCCCAGTCGGGCTCGCAGCGGTGCACCAGCCACAGCTCCTTGACCAGGTGGTCGGGCTTGCACGTCCGTCCGCCGAGTTTGCCGGTCAGGCGCTCGCCGCCGGGGCAGCCGCAGCGGCGCGCCAGTCCCGGCCGGGACTTGGTGCGCGGCACCGCGAAGCAGAGCTTGTCGCAGGCGGCCGCCGAGGCGCAGGGGTGGCGGGCACCCACCTCCGCCGCGGCGGGCTGCCTCATCACGGCCAGCGCGTAGAAGCCCTGGCGCTCGGCCGTGGCGATCTCCCTCATCCGCTTGCCGTCCGCCTTCCTCAGCGCCACCAGCTTCTCGAAGCCCGCGGCCACGGCGTAGATCCACTCGCGGTGGACGGCGAGCGCGCTGACGTCGTGCAGGTACGGGGTGCCGAGGTCGAGCACGCCGCTGCCGTCGAGCGCCGCGTGCTGCACGCTGGAGTTCCTGCTCGCGCGCTCGGGGTCGTTGAGGCACCAGTAGAGGCGGCTCTCCGGCGCGTCGAGGGCCAGCCTCAGCGAGGCGTGTCGGCGCGGCGCGTGGATCGTCGCTGAAAGTCACGAGGATCGCTCGTCAAGAGCCGGCCCCGGTGTCGGCGGGGGGCCGCCCGCGGCGCGCGCTCACTCAGTCCCGTGCCGTCGGCGTTCACCCTCTTGATCGCGCCGCCGTCGTAGAAGTACACGTGGCCCCTGCTCGGGTGCGCGACCACGTCCCTGGGCTCGGCCAGGCCGTCGAGCAGCGTGCGCCGATGGGAGTAGTTCCTCGCGCTGACGACGTTCAGCGTGCCCGCGGCCAGGTCCGTGTAGTAGAGGTTGCGCGCGAGCCAGTCGAGGCTGAGGCTCGCCGAGCCCTCGTAGCCGACGACCGCCTCCGTCGCGCCGCTCTGGCGATGATGAGGCGCGCTCTCTCGTCATCATTGTCGCTCGGTTGCGAGCCGGCTGCACTCACCTTCGCGTCCCCCCTGTAGATGGTGCGGCTGTTGGCGTCGGCGAAGTACAGCGCCTTCGCCTCGAAGTCGCTGTCGACGCTGAGGCTCAGGCTCAGCGGCCGGGCGAGCGAGAGCGCGATCTCCGCGCCGAGCCGCAGCCCGCGGCCCCGGATCACCTCCCGGTGCGAGTACAGCAGCAGCTCGTTGGCGAGGGTGCAGCTCTTGGCGTCCTCGCCCAGCAGATTGCCGGCGTAGCACCTGCAGCTGGCGCCGCCGGCCGAGGCCAGGCAGGCGTGCTGGCAGCCGCCGCTGTCCGCGTCGCAGGCGCTCCGCTCGGCGGGCGCCGCCCGCCGCGAGCCCGAGTCCACCGCGCGCAGGCTGCTCGCGCGCACGTCGCCGAGTATCGTCTCGGCGCTGCGCCGGCCGTCCGCGCGCTGGATCGCCTCGCCCGTCAGCAGGTAGAGCTGGCCCTCCGAGTGGGCGATGCCGGCGACGCTCGTCGACTTGTCGTGGTAGACGAGGCGCCGCGACTCGCCGACGTAGCTCGAGCTCTCGATCGCGCGCACCTCGCTGTTCCACCAGTAGAGCGTCTTGCCGGCGAGATCGAGCGCGAGGCACGCGATGGACGACAGTGCCGTCTTGCGGATTATCGGAAGCCTCGACGCGCCGTCCAGGTTCATCCGGATGATCTGCCGGGGCGGACGAGTGGGCTCAGTGGCGCCCTCGATTTCGCGGCGTCACCTACCTTGTCGCTGTCGGCGACGAACAGCAAGGCCGCGTGCGGGTCGAGGGCGACGCCGCTCGGCCTCGCCAAGTCCTCCGCGGCGACGATCACGTGGTTCTTGCCTCTCAGGCTGAACGCGTCGACCTTTCGACCCAAGCCGTCGGCGACGTACAGCCGGCGGCCGAGGAAATCGACGGCCAGACTGAGTGGCTCCCAGGCATCGGCGGCGCGTTGGATTATGGCGCTGCTGGAATTGCCGTCGTGCCAATTGGCGGAGTAGACGCAGCTCCCGGCGATCCAGAAAACCATATTTTCCGAGTGATCGTAGTCCACGTCGACGATCGTCCCATTGCTCGAGGCTATCGGTCTGCGCAGGTTCGAGCCTGGCTGCAGTAGGCTGATTTCGTTTCTTTCGGCTACTAGGAACTTCAAAGTTGTGCTCGTCTCCTCTGAAATCACAAAGATGCCGCTTGAACCTCGTTCGACGCATTCAACGATATAAAACGTACGGTGTAACGAACTCGGAGGCACGTTTTTTAATGTACTTACCAAAGGCCTTCGCGTAGGTTACGCACACCGACAAAGCTAACAAAAGCCATCGTTCAAATGAATTCTGATTTATTCTGGCTTTATTGGAATTTCCAACCATTGCTCCGGATTACGACATCCACGTTACTCGACAAACTCAGGCGGCTTGGGATTACTTTTCAATTGGACGTGCCGAGTGTTCATCAAAACTCGATTAGCGTCGGCTGCTGCCAGCTACGCGAAAGAACCTGTTGGCTTTTATCGGCAGGCTTTTCAGCAACAGACTCGCGACCCGCAGAACCGTGGTTTTATCGGTGAATTATGCGTTATGCAAATTTTACGAGCGAATAGTTTCCTCGTTAATTGGCATAGAACAGAAACGATCGATGACCGAAAATATTTCTTACGTACGATGGCATTTCCGCGCGAACTTTGCTTTGGCTCTGCGAAGCATTCCAACATCTCGAGTCTGCAATAGAGCCGCGCTTTCTTTCGCGTGTCGTCAAATTGAAATTGCGACGTATTCCAGCCGTACAATCGAGCGGATCGCAGACGCCACGAAGCGCAGCTCGTTTACACAGTTCACGTTTACTTCACGAAAAGCACAGCAGACGTTGGCATTGACGAGCTAAGCAAATATTGCCGCAGCTGGGAGCGAAGCGAATCTAGACCGAAGGACGATATTTCAAGTTGCCGAACGCTATCGCAGCAGTTATTCGACCTCGGCCGAGGGAAGGCTGTTTTTCTCTCTGCGAGCGAACGTTTCAACCGGCGCGTCGAGTCCCGTTTCCACTCGCGAGCGACATCATGAAGCTGAACGTCGCGTTGACGGGCGTAGCTCTTTGCCTGAGCCACGCGTCGGCGCTGACCAGTGAGTGGGGCGTCATTCGAAATCGATCATCGTGCAGCTCCGACACACGACTAATTGATCTCTGCTTTTCCCTCGAAACAAATCGCAGGTATCGCCGAGCAAGCCGCCGCATCGGCGAGACAATCGCACAAAGGTAACGCACTCCACTTAGCCTCGGCAACTCCAGCAGCAACGAGCCAATTGAACTTGCAGGCAGCTCCTACGTCTCATCGAACGCGACGACGCTGTTAGTCGCCGAATCTCAACAGATAAGCCTGATCACTCTTGAACCTCCGACTCGTCGACTGGTCAATCGCACGCCGTACCTCGGTGGTATAGATTACCATGCGCGACGGCAGCGCGTCTACTGGAGCGAGATGGCGACCGGCCGCGTGAACACGGGAAACCTGACCGGCGTTCAGGGCTCCTCCAACCAATCCGTCGTCGAGTTGAGTCCAAAAGTGTGGCGACCAAGGCGCATCGTCATCGACCCGACGACCGACAACATGTACGTGCTGGACTCGCGAGGGAAGACGATCCACGTTGTGGACTTGACGAGGAGGTGGAGGACCGTGATCAGCGAGGGCGAGCTGAAGGCGCCGACCGACATCGCGATCGACCCCGAGCAAGCTGTGATGTTCGTCGCCGATCGGACGAGGGTCGGTATTGCGAGGCGCCGTCCGCGAGCCGACGAGCAACCTCAACGATTCACGATCGTGTTTCAGATACTCAAGTCGAACATGGACGGCAGCGGCTCGACGGTCATAGTCATCGGCAAGCGTTACCAGATAAGAGCCTTGGCGCTGGACACGGCCAGCAAGCGGATCTTCTGGTCGGACGTGAGCTACCACCGCATCAAGAGCGCCAACTACAACGGCATGAACGTGCGGGTGCTGGTGAAGAACGAGATCGGCCACGCGTACAGCGTGCTGGGGCCGGCGCAGCTGGCCTACTGCCACGGCACGCTCTACTTCTACGACGACGTTTACCGTAAGATCTCGGCGGTGCAGGTGGAGCGCGGGGTGCGCAAGAGCGACCACCTGACGCTGGTCTACCGCCAGCTGAGCGTCAAGTCGCTGAGGGTGCTGAACTGCGACGACGGAGCGATAGCGAAGGCGCGGAATCCGTGCGACGGCGCCAAGTGCGAGCAGATGTGCTTGACCGCGAGGAAGGTCGGCGACGGAGTCACGAGCGTATGTGCCTGCGACGTCGGCACGACGATTGCCGAAGACGGCACGAGCTGCTTGTAGCTGCGCGCGTCACGGCCTCCCCGCTTTTACATGTTTCGATCGACGCCTCTCTCGTTGTCGCTTACTTCGCTTGCGTGCGATTCAACTTGTAGCCGCTAACTTGTACAATAAATAGCCTTGCATTGGCCGCTCGCACCTGCACTCCCCTTTCCTCCGTACCACAGCGAAGAGATGCCAAGAGTAACGCATCGCGACGAAATTTCGCTGTCCTTCGAAAATGATGCGTTCGAGCACGCTGATTTCTCTTCGGATTGGATCACTGACCAGATTGCGCGGCGCACCCGAGCCAAACGCCACGCGATTGCTCGTCATTGCCGATCGAAGCTCTGGATCGTCGCGCCTAAGCGAAATGCGAACCGCGAAGCAGGGCGCGGCAAATCACGGCCAATGGGTTTGTCGCATCTCGCAGGGCGGCTACTGTACGCGATCGTCGTCGACAGGACGTGGGCGAGTTTTGGCGATCGTACAGTTCGCGACCCAGCAGGTGAGCGCGCAAGCGAGTCGCCCGGTCGGTACGGAATGAGCGATCCGCTGGGGCCTGCGAGCCCTCGGAAGATCGACGTTGCTGTATCCTGTCGGTCAACTGGATGCGAACAACTGTGCTCGATCGGCAAAAAGCTCGCGGGAAGAATCGTCGGCAAGTGTGCTCGCGATGCTGCCGAAAAGCTGCTCGCACGAATCGCACGAAATCATTGTGCGGGGTGCTACTTTACCTGGATTACCAGTAGAGAAAAGCACACTGTAAAAATATTGCTGCGGCTTTCGCCAGCGGCACGTTTGAGCAGTGCGCGATAAAAAATACTTTACGAAGAGCGCGCACTTCAGTCGTTCCCTTCTTCGCGCCGATAAACGTCAAGTCGACGAAATTTACAGTTTAGCTGTATTGCAAAGCTGCGTTGATCGAATAATATGACTGGAAAAAGCGACACAAGTGACATCGCGAGTTTCAATGGAACCCACGTTGCGAGCAGTGGTTGATGGAAACCAGTTTCACCCTTTTTTCTTTCTTTTTCCCGCGAGTCTTGCGGTCGTAAACGCCGCGCCCAAAAAAAAAAAAAAAAAAAAAATTAACGCAATGCGAAGGGAATGGCGAAGATCGGCGATCAACGCGATCTCGCGAATGAAAATAGTCGGCTGTAGCTTTCTCGAAGAGTCGGTGCGTCGCCGAGTTCACTTACATCGAAATGAACGATTCGACTCGCGAATAGTCGCGCGAAGTAAGCGAGAATGCCAATTTATAACTCGCGCAACCAGTACCGCGCTCTGAGGTTTGATAAAGAAGAGGAGAGGCATCACTATACGCTCAAACCAGTTTCACCCTTTTTCCCCTTGCCTTATCCTTGTTGCTAGCCAAGAGTCGCAGTCTTGAACGTTAGTCGCGCAGAGGCAGACGCCACAGCGATCCTGCACAATGATTCGCCGGGGCCTGTTAATTTTTGCGATTCTCAATGTATTTTCCGACGCAACGATAGTTGTTCAGACGGACAAAAGAGGTAAGGAAACTTGGAAATCCAAGCGAACGAATAATCAGTTCTCGGAACCTCGACAGTAATAACCGACACGCCAGACGACAGTTCAGTGCACCTGCTCTACATCAAGGACACGGCGGGCCTCTTACAGGTCGCAAGCTCCAACTACGGCGTGACCGGCGACTTCTCTCAAGGCATCGACGGCATCGCGGTCGACTATCACTACCCTCGCAATCTGATCTTCTGGTCGACGAGCAAAGGCGAGATATTCTCCAGCCCGTTGCAGGAGTCTCGAAGCCTCGGCCACGTGGACGACGCGAGGCTCGTGTACAAGGAGAGCCGCTGGTACCCGGAGTCCATCGCCGTCGACTACGTCAACGACAGGCTCTACGTCCTGGACACCAAGTCCAACACCGTGCGCGCGTCCAACCTGAGCGGCGGCGAGCAGCTGGTGATGGGCGTGGGCCGGCGCAACTACCGGCCGAAGCAGCTGGAAATCGACCCGCAGAGGGGCTACCTGTTCCTGCTCGACGAGGGCGAGCCCACCTCCGGGCGATACGCGCACGTGAGCACGCGGCCGCGGCGAGCCGCTCGCCCGACGCCGACCACTGAACGATGCGCTCTCTGCGCGCGCAGGTGCTGCGGATGAACCTCGACGGCTCGCAGCCGACGGTCGTCGACCCGCCGCCGGTCCACCTCGAGCTCATCACGGGCGCGATGACCCTCGACCGCGCGCGCTCGCGCGTGCTGCTGTCGTCGCGCAGCCAGCGCAGAGTCATCGCCGCCGACTACGACGGCAAGCTGCTGGACACGGTGGTCGACCAGCAGAACGGCACGCTCGGCATGAGCGCCACCGCCGACGAGCTCTACTGGATCAACGCCGCCTACTGTGCGTCGCGCCCCCCCCCCCCCTTCCCCCGAGCCGTCACGCACTCTTTGCCGCGTTCTTGCAGATAACAGCGGGGTGGCCTTCACCGACGGCAGCGTCTACAAGTGCGACCTCGCCAAGGACGCCGGCCGCTGCCTGCCCAACACCACTCGCAAGCTGCACGAGAGCTTCGGCACGGCCTACGTGCGCGCGGTGCGCGCCGTCGCGCCCCCCCTCGGCGAGCTCGCGCCGACCAGCGCCGGCTGCGCCGCCGGCTGCCAGCACCTGTGCCTGCGCTCGAGCTGCCGCTGCGCCGTCGGCCAGCGCGGCGCCGAGCGCTGCCGGCCCGTCGACGAGTTCGTCGTCTACGAGGACAGCAAGGTCGTGCGGTCGATCTGCCTGCCGGCCGAGGACAGCAGCCGCTGCCAGGCCTTCGTCCCCTTCCTGGCCGGGCTGAGGCTCAGGAAGACGGAGCGCACCGGCTTCGACTACGACTCGCTCACGAGGTGACTGTGGCCAACGATCGCTCTCGCGGCCTCCGACGCTCGCTTAGAACGCGCGTCTCCGACGTTCCAGGGAACTGTACTACGGCGGCAAAAATGCCATTTACCGCGCGGACCTCGACACCGGCAACTCGACCATTCTGCTCTATCAGCGCGCGGTGTTCTTCGGGCCGCTGGCACTCGACTGGATGACGAAGAATCTTTATTACACGGAGATCGAGCAGCGCGGAAACGTGTCGTTCTACATCCTCAAGGTGCTGTCCGCGCGCCCGGACGTGGACGCTGAAAAGTCGAGCTCCATGCTGTGGGAGCTCGGCAAGATTCACACGATGGCCACGTGCCCGTGGAAGGGTTACCTCTTCCTGTCGGTGTTCCACAACGGCGCCGGGAGGTTCCACATGAGACGAATCAACGTGGACGGCACTGATATGACGGTAAGGTCCACTCGGCTTTGTCGCTCGCGCCTACTCCCTCGCGAATTCCAGTGCGGCATTGGTCAACTTTTCTCGTCGCAGATCCTGGCCGGTCTCAACGACACCACGTTCTTCTCGATCGACCATCCGAATGAAAAGCTTTACACCATCAACAATGTCACGTCGATGCTCGTGCGCTCGGACTTTGACGGCCAGCAGATCGAGAACGTAAGCCTCGTCGAGGGCGTCGCAGACGTGACTGGTTTCCTCGTCAACGACCGTGTGATCTACCTCAAGTATCGATCGCGCATGATCAAGCTTGACAAGCAAACTGGAAAATCACTGGGCGAAGTGGACTTGGAGCCGTACGACAGCGACATGTCGATGAATTTGAAACTGCACAACGCGACGATGTTTGGTATTTACGACGCGAACCCGTGCGCAACCGGCAACGGCGGTTGCGACAACTTCTGCTTCGCTTTGTCGGGGAAGGACGGCTCGGGCTTGAAAAAAATTTGCCGATGCTTCGACGGTGTCGTGTGTCACGGTGACACTCGCTCTGGCATGGAATTGGCCGAGATCATTAAGAATAAAATGTGAATGACGTTCGCGCGCGATGATTTCGCGCTGACGATGGATCATGTTGACTGATATTAATGATTTTTAAATATTTTTCGCTTTAAATATATACTTCATTTTTTATGCGACGCCTGTACAGTCGTACTTCAACTATCATTTTTTTCAATACATGTGCATTACTAGATAAATAATAAAAATAGCTTAGTACTTGAAAACAATTGTGTTACATTCATCATGCTGATTACCTGTAATTTCCGATCTAGAGGAAGAAGCTTTCACAGTAACGATTGCAATCTGTAGATTTTAAATATCAGAAATTTGACTTCGCAATGACCGACGGTTCGATTAAATTAAAAGCTGTCTGCTGTTACCCTCATATTTGAACAGATGTTGAAGATATTCCATTTGTTGATGCTTTGCACAACTGTAGAAGAATGAATTTGAAAGATCTTGAGAGGTTTTGTCTTTTTATCGTAACTTCATTGTTTCTAGGTGTTAATGAATTTAAACATATCAATTTATTATTGTAGCAATTTAATACTTCTCCTTTATGTCTATCACTTGAATTATAAATATTGTCAGCCTACTGGCTGTTATCGAATGTATTTGAAATTCATTGAATGAAATTACACAGTAAAAGGAAAATTTTATACAAAATATACGATATTTTTCCAAAACTTTTTGACATAGAAAATAATCTATACATGACAACTGTCTATTTTACTACAATCACAATACTTTTTATCAAAAACTTTGTCGAAATGCAATGAATTGAAAAACTTAAACGTAATAGCTTTACGAAGATACCAGACCTATGTTTCTTTAAATTATGTACTGATCTATAAGATAGAAAATAATATGTATAAAAAATTTATTGTAGTCGATAGTCTTGACGGAAAATTCTTTAAAGCTCTAATGGAAAATGCCGTGTTAACATTTAAAATTTCCTGGTGAATAAAAAGGCACTCCACAATTTTTTTCAAACTACAATGAAAATATTTCAATTCCATTCATCTAACATCGCTAGTTTTCCAATTTCACGTACTAGTAAGCGATATTTTTTTGGCCATCTCTATAACATAATTCTAAGTCCACTTGAAGCAGTATCTACGTATAATTTTCACAATAATTCTATAGTAGTAGTCGTGATAAGAACATTTACAGATCGTATTTTTAGTTTTATATGCCTGGCCGTCTACAAGCACTCTTATTAATTGGGGATTATCTACTTATTAAAAAAATTAAATTATTTCTTCTAAACTTGCATATAAAAATAACTCAGCGTATTCACGATTAAAAACTACACGGATCTAATTTTGTTCTCATTCAAAATCTTTCATTCAAAATTAACATACTTTACGCATCATGTTACTCATATGGTCATCGCGTATTTACAATCATGAATACATTCTAAATGCTCATAAACATCAAGTAACAAAAAAAATGTCACCGTTTAAGAGTTGTACGAAAAATCACAATTTCATTCACTCGACAACCTGCATGTACAAACTCGCCGGATCCGTAAGGTTGAAGCAGCTAATCGGCGCTAAACTTCCCCCCCCTGGGAAATTAAAATCATGCATGCTAAATTTTACATGAGGATCCTTGCCCAGTGTGCCAGACTCAACAATCACTTTTTTAGCTTCGTAGACAATGCCACTGAGTTTCCCTCGATCATCTATATGAATCTTCTCGCAAGCACTGTGAAAAGACTTGTACACGAACGACGAGCGAATGACGAAAGCTGCCCTGATGCTCGCGTCTTCTGCATAGGTCCACGCAATACTGTAGTCGGTGAATTCGCCGCCTTCTTTGCCTATCGACCATAAGAGAAAAAAAAACGATTAAACTACTGAAAAATTACTGAATTTTTGCAGAGAAAACAATCGCATCACCTATAAACAGAGTATTCTTGTAGCAAGCCAAACACCTGACACTACAGAAGTCTACGGGATCAATATCGTGCTTAACCGACAACCAAGTATTAGTATGGCCATTAAACATGTACAAGCTGGATATACAGATAATAATAACACCATCTATCACACAAGAAGGTGGCGTATCAGTGAAAGATTCGGCAATATCAGGTGCTCTGGTCCAGGCACTGGTGTGTAGATCCAACACCTCTACAGAGTTGGTTTTCAGACGATAGCGACTTACTCCACCGATGAGAATTAACTTGTTGTCGACTATTGCAGCGACCATATGTCTTCGAGCTTTCCGCAATCTGAAAATGGCGTAACTCTGCTTGAATCGTGCGTACTTGTCAAATGAATGAATTGTCAATCGTTTACCTTGCAAGGTAATACCACTTCCGCGAAATTAAACAGTACCGCCAAATGTTCATATTGAATTTACAGGAACCAAGTCTCAGCTCACCGCCGATTTTATAAACGCTGAATCCTGGAAAGCAAAAATGATCCGCATTGGAGTTTTCGTCCCGAGAAATGTCGATGAAAATTAAGCGTACCTCTGCCAACCAGTCCAACGCCAGCGAGATCCTTGCCGCTATCGTCTACTCTCCAAACCTCGACGACCTCGCTGAACCTCGGAGATTGTCCCTCGTGGAAAGCGTAAATCGTCTTAGTGTGCAACTCTCGCACGTTGAGTGCTTTGTAAGTCTCGACGAAGAAACATTGCATCGTCTTGGCTTGCCTTTCCAGACTACGCAGCAGTTGCTGCAATCTTGCCAGCTTTTCTTGCGCTTCTCTGTTATCCACGACCATTTGGCTTCTCTTGTCTATCACCGACAGCAAATAACTCTGCTGGCAGTTGATATTGATGTTAGCCGCGAGCTTCAAAAAGTCAACCAACGGCAAGCTCAACAGTTCGTCCGTGGGAATTTCGACGAATCTCTCGAGACACGCCGCGAATGTAACATTCGTCAAGGCAGTGAGGCTCAATTCTCTTGACATTCGCCATATGTCCAACAAGTGAGTTGGTTTCAGCCAGTGCTGCACTATTATGTCACTCAACTCAACACTCAACTCATCTACCGAGTAAATTATACTCAACTCGACAAATTGTTTGAGAAGTAGGTAACTGTCTGAAAGGTATTTTTGGAGTGAGATCTTAATCTGGTGGGATTCGTCGTGTAATGCATGCGGTGGATCTTCTTCGACCCAATCGCAGAAATCCTGTAAAATTTTTATTAATAATGTGTATAATAAACGAACAATTTTGGAAATTTTTGTTAACAGAAATTTATGCCATTCTGACGATGAATTAAATAAACGAGTGAACGAATTATCATTAATTTCAAGCTTGATAATGACATATTTAGTTTACCGTTCATGACAATTAAAATGATAATGGAAATAGTAAATTGTAATTTATTGAATAGATGAGTGAAATTTGATTGTTCTAACATAATCGATATCTCCTAAATACTTTTTTTAAGTAGTAAATAAATCAAGTATTCTTAATTCCATAAAGAAATATTGACAAAAATAATAAAAATTTAATTGTTCAAAGCTTGAACGATTAATGTTATAAACAATAATAACGAACAAACGTCACATGTTAAAGTCCCAACTTAGATTACATCATCGATTAACTTGAAAGCCGTTTCTCATCCTGACTCGAATAAAAATAATACACTTCAATACTAGTGCAATAAAATGATTTGAACCTCGTGTAGACGTTTGTGTCAGAGCGTAACGAGGGTGAAATCACTTTATCGCACATTTGTCTAACTTTATTTTTCCATAGATGACACGTGCGAGATGAAGTTTGAAGCACACTTGCTTTCCCGAATGTGCGTAAATCAAGTCCTCGTGTACGGAGCATGTCGTTCGACTCACTCCAATCACTTCGATTATGAAAAAAAACAATCACTAATCACCTGTATGACAATCGGATCAAAGTTGTACAGCACTGTCTGTTCGTTAGCCTTGGAGTCGCTGAAATTATGGGAGAACAGCGAATGAAAGTAACGACTTTTATCGATGATCCTTCTCTTGTCAACCTGGAACCTACGCCCGTCCAAGATCAACGTTATCCTCGGGCTCTCGGTCATTTTTTTCGCATCGCCGACAATAAACAAAAATGCGGCCTCCCTTTGCGGCGAATAACTCCAGTATTAAACACGCATGCGCACAATACTGAGGTTAGGTTGGGCGCGACAATTCAAATTGCGCAAGGATTACTCGACAATTAGTATGGCGGGGGATAAGTATGTTTCTAATAAGCAAATCAGAAGATTATACGTAGGAAAGCATAAAATTACGTTTTATTAAATACGAATACGATAAATTACAAGCTAAATATAAACGATTCATTTATTGTGAATCGCTGGAGGAGCTGCTTGAAGAGTCAGTAGACATGACCTCAACATCTTCAGCCTCTTGTTTGTGAGTATTTATAGGAACATGTCCTTGTCCAGGAACATTAAGATGAAGGTCACCCGAAGCTTGCCAAGTAAACTGACTTGGAGCTGTGAGTGGCTCTGCAGTGTGTCCAGTCCTGTTAAAATCTCCAGGAAGATTCATATGAGGTCCTATCATTTGCCCATTTGATGGAATATCACTCATTCTTCCAAGAAAACCACGTCTCATTTCTATGTCTGTAGGGTAAGGTCTTCTTTGATCACCTTGCTGCCAAGTGAGCGGGGCACAAATTGCATTGGATGCGCTAATTCTGTGAGCAAATTTGATCAGCTCTTCTGAATGCACCGGTCGCTTGTTGGCTCTGTCTATAGACTTGAGCTTCTGCTTTGCTTGATAAATGGCAGTTGCCAAAATTTGCTCAGCTTCTTTGAGTTGCCTCTGTAAATTCTGAATCTCTTGATCTTGACGATCTACCTCCACTTTAAGGGATTCCATCTTGAGATTTATTTTGGCTTGTTCATCAGCTTTTACCAAAACAGCTTTCAATTCATTATTTTTTGAAACTAACAGTTCAATCAACTGTGTATGTTCTGTAGTAGATAATTTTAAATGCTTCTGAGCAATGATATTTTCAATTAATTCTTTGGATATCAATTCAATGTCGTCTATTATAGACAGCAATACATCACATGTGCTTCTACTTGACGACATTTTATATTGGCTGCGATTTCTATATACACAATGTACAATACATACTACAGTCAATCCTCAATCAATATAATAAAATTTACAACTACTATAACCTGAAAAAAATATTGTTAATAGATGAAAATCATGTAATAACCTTTTACGATTGATTCAGAAATTTCTTATTATTATAATTTACCTATCACCGTTGAATAGTAAATCACAGTCATGCATTCTATAATAAAAATCAATTGTGAAACAAAAGTAGCAAGCAACGTAAACACAGTAAAGAGATGAACTACCTGAAGCTGAAATGCAAAAGTTCTGACACTGTCGAGAAGACATCAGTTCTGACGTATGACGTTTGAAAAATGAGCCACTGCGCAGCGTCTAGCGCACATTAATAAATTTTGAAAGGCGCGTATTTTGAAAAAAAATTAAAAAAAATTAAAACAAATAAATAAATTTATAACTATCTGATTTTCTGGTGCTTTGCTTCAGCCATTATCGGATAACCAAGTATGTCTTATGGCAATAAACTTGATACAGTTATTAAAGCTAATTTAGCTATATTATATAGCATCACGGGATGGCATAGAGGAACAGTTTAATTTATAATCAAATAAATTATAAGTAATCACACGCAACAATATAAAATATAAAAACTGATACGGCTTACTTGGCAGATATTGAATTGTAAAAAAATGTATTTAATTTTTCTAGAAAATTTATTAAAACTAAACGAGCACATTCAATTATGATCAAAACTTTCATTTTCAACACCTCTCGTGGTTACAAACCATAAAAATGTTTACCTCTTGTGAAGAACGAAAATTCAGCTTGACAAGACATTTCGATAATAGGTTATAAAATCATCATATTGCTCCGTGATTAATTTCAATAATTTATGTAATAATAATTTATAAAAAATAAAGTGTAACAAATAGGTAAAGTAAGAACTAAGGATTATTCATATATAATTTTCCAAAATTAGCAAAAGTTAATTATTATCTACCTGTTACCTACACTGATTTTTTAACGGAGTCGCTGCTATCGTTTTTTTTTAAATATTCGAACGAGCAAATTCTTTTTCGTATATACCATACATACTTTAACTTTTAAGTGAAATATTTTGCAAGCGTACGTTTGCCTGCGAAAATTATAAAATGGTTTATTTAACGAGAAAGAATTTAAAAAAAGTTACAAGTGGTGAGTACATTTAAAAATGTTATGATTTATTGAACATAAATAAGTATGTTTTTCCTATAAGCTTTAATATATGATTTCATAGATAACTTGATATTGATGGAGTCTCTAATACTATTCGATATATGGCTTACAATGAAACTCCGATGGCTCTTGGTACAAGTTTTCCAATTGATAATCCCATTAGTGAAAATTGCTTCCATCGTGTGTATTAGCATTCGTGAGTACAAAAATATCATTTTTTCATCGTGGTTCAATAACATTTTTGACAATAACTTATATAAATACGATTATTTGTTTAAAGTTGCAATATTATACGTAAAAGAAGACGGCAATCTAGCACAACTAACCGATGAAAAAAACCATTTAATCATTGATAGATTTTCAATGCCCTACAAGAAATCGATTGTCGGTATAGAATCGTGCAACAATTACATCTACCAATATTTTAAAAACAAAGCGCTGCCAGATTTCGCATCGGAAGCTTCGGGAGCTCTGATCGTAGGCACACCCGATACGAAAACTTACAACGAACCTAAATCGCTTCAACTAACGGTGCTCGGTTTACCTGTATGGAAAGCTGGTTATTATACTCCACGCAAAGTTATTCAGGTAAGAGTTTTGATGCAATAATTAGTGATTTGAAAACAAACTGCATAACACTTTACAGTCATGGACAGAAGCAGGAGAATGTTGGGCTTTTGAAGGATCGCAAGGAAAGATTATAATTGAGATGGCTTATGAAATTGTTATTGAAAAAGTTACTTTGGAGCATATCCCTGTGAGTGCTGCATTAACCGGCAAGATAGATTCTGCTCCAAAGTCGTTCAAAGTCTGGGTAAAATAATCAGTTCAACTCTCTAACTGCATCAATTTTTCAATAATTTTATTTTTACAGAGTAAAGTATCAGATGAGTTCGTTGATATCGGCACATTTACTTATGACGACAAAGGACTACATTCACAAACATTTGAAATTAAGGTACCATTTTGTATTTTTTTCACTTTAATTATCATGATTACCACAAATTATTTAATACTTTCAGAAAATTGATATGCAAACTGTACCCATAAAAATAGTCATGTTAGAAATTCTTTCCAACTACGGGAATTCATATTACACTTGTATATATCGATTCAGAATTCATGGAAAAATTTATTCTTTATCTAAAGAATAAAATAATTTTATTTAAAAACCAATCTTATCAAAACAAATCAAATTCTGAATCAAATAAATCTTAATTAGTGAGTATTTGTATAAGATCAAAGCTTTTTATTTCAGGTTTTCTTTTTCAAACAATTAACTAATGTCAAAAATTGTAATAAGTTTCTCTAAATTAACTTCTGATATATATATTTTCGTAATAATATTATTGGGCAAATAATGAAAATTTATTTCTCTAAATGCTTAGCAACTTTTCAAATTACTAAAAATGAAAAATTTGTTATGTAACATAGAAACAATTAAAATAAAAAATCGTCTTAGGAAATTTCATCAGGATGTGAAAAAAGAACAGACAATGTTTTATATAAAGAGTTGTACTTTAATATAAATCACCGTAGTAATATATCAAATATACTTTCACAATCATTTTCTAGATCCCAATCTTCTGCAGAAGTGTCGTAAAAACTACTGTTTTTTTTAATTATAGTATTATTTAATATTATTTTTATTTAATATGAAACTAATTTGTTAGTTGGTAGTTCTTACTTTTCGTTGTTGCAGAATAATTCCGATAATTGCGATGGACTGGTTGTCAGTGGCTAAATTTCTGATAACTCTGATTCGCTCAAGACAATTTATATAAAAAAAGAAAATTAATTTAATATTTAATATATTGCTACAACAAAATAGCTATTAAAAAGAAAGACTTTTCAGAAAAGATTAAGCCATATAAGCAACATTATTTATTGAAGTCCTGAATATCATCATGATGCATAAAGATAATAACTTACATTTTAAGTAATAATATAACCTGAATCTGTTTAATAAATACATCAAAAGTTAAGTATCGAACAGTAATATAGTCGGTCACCAATCTACTGGTTTGTGACATATAAATATCGGAGAAGCAGGCCAATGTTGCAGAATGACGTAAATAGTTTCCATGTTGCAAATTCTGGAATATACGATAATCAATAGCTTTGGTTCCCTGCATACAGTCTATGAAAATTAAATTAATTAATAATTTAGAAAGATAATATGACAGAAAAGCTACTAAATTAAGATTTTGAGAAGCGATTAAGCCACTTAAGACAACATTAATTATTCTAGCCCAGATTATTGTCATGTAATAAGAATAATATTATTTGAATGTTAACTCAATTCTCTAGATTTCTTAGTAACGATTTCAATAGTGAAACGTAGAATAACGAAAATGCATTAGTTACCATAACAATCTTGATATCAATATGCAGATCACCTGGTAAATCAAATGATTGAAATAAATTGAATAACTGTATTGTATAATTATAATAAATAAATATTACCGTCAACACGTTATTATGAAAACTCTTCATTTCATTTCAATGTAATTTTGTTTTCAAAAATGAAATCCATATTTTACAAGCTGCATTATTGAAAAACAGAAAGCTAGACATCTTTTCTGACTGTGGATATATTAATACTTTTAAAGATCAAATATCAACAAAAAATGTAGTAATTTGAAATCAATAAAATCTTTATACATATTTTAAAACTAACATTTAACATATAAACATGTTCAACATATAAAATGTTAAACATCCAACAACATTTACATGAAAAAGAAAAATTATAAAGCATTTCAAGGGTATAAAAATATGAAAAAATAAAACAGTGTTTTAGAGAAAGAGTTGCCTTTATTACAAAACTCATGTATAAAAGGCGACCGTAGTCATATTTCTTAAGTGTTGATTGCGAAACCGTTTACCAGTTGCCGTTGGTGGTACCACCCCAGCTCTGGGTCGGAATGTGGTCAACAGCTGGTGTAGCTGCCGACCAGTCTTCTTGAGGCTGTAAACAAACAAAAGCCCATGAGTGATGGTTGTAGATCATTACATGATTTATTGAAAGCTATCGTGAACTTACTGTGCCCCAGTCGGTGTTAGCAGCAAAAGGTGCAGGTGGTGCGCTAGCAGGTACAGCAGCGGCAGGAGCGCCAACAGCGGCAGCTGGTGCATTAGCGGGAACATCATCGGCCCAGTTATCTGCGGCTGGTGTATTTGGGTCGGCATCAGTAGTCCATGTCTCAGTTGGAACAACTGCCTCCGTTGGAACATACTCTTTGACAACTGGAGCCAATTCCTTAGCTGCCAATTCTTCCTTGTCAGCCTGTGAAAAATATGAAAAAGTATGTAGACCAACACTAGTTCAAAGATTACTCTAACATTTTAGAATTATATACAGAATGTTAAATAATGAATCATTGTAAGTCATAAAATTTACTTTCAAACAACAGTTGTCATCAATTTTAACCATTGATTAAATGATTATGTGGTAAAAATTTCCTAATGATAAAATGCAATGGATTAAAATATACAAAATATTTACCTCTTCAGGGTCTCTGTAGAAGAAAAGATCGACGACTACGTCCCATTTGATCTCACGCGGAATGGACCCACGAAGACGAAGTACCTCACGGGCAAGCAACCACCACATAAGACCAACACTGTGGAAACCCTTGTTGTTGCATGGGATGGCGATGTCAACGAAACGCAGAGGCGAGTCAGTGTTGCAGAAAGCAATGACTGGGATGTTGACATAACTGGCTTCAGTGATAGGCTGATGGTCAGTGGCTGGGTCGGTGACAATAAGCAACCTTGGCTCTCTGAAGGCAGCCTATAAGAATTATAATTCAAATGAAAAAAGGAAAAATAAAAATGTTGAAAAATATATCGAAATAAAATTTTCAGAAAAGATTAAGCCATATCAAACAACATTATTTATTCTGGTCCTGAGTGTCATCATAATAAATAATTGTAGTTAATTCAAGATAAAATTCTCTAATTAATGTTCCATATATTTAATTAATTACCTGAATCTGATTAGTAAATGCACCAGGAGTAAAACGTCCAGCAATGGGAGTGGCACCAGTGTGTGCTGCAAACTTCAGAACAGCACGCTGACCATATGGTCTACAGCTAATGACAAAAACCTCGCTTGGATGTTCAATAGCACAAACAGCACGAGCAGCAAGCAAAAGTTTCTCCCATGTACGACGCAAATTGATAATGTTCACTGAAACACCTGAAGAACAATGAAATTGTAGTAAAACTTGATTAATCAAAGTAATTTGCATAATAAATAACGTTTACCATCAACACGCTTCTTGAAAACATACTGTTCCATTTGGTAATTAACATTGACAGAGCCTGAATGGGTGTGGGCACACAACATTTTAGTAACATCATCCTCTTTGAGGGCTAATGCATCATATCCTCCAGACATGTTAACGTTGATAATGAGCTACGATACAACCTGGAAAAACGAATTTGGTTATTAAATAATTCATACGAATCCAACTAGTGACGTTACTGAACAATGTAAAAAGTGACGATAACAAATGCATCAAATCGTATTTATTTCCAATGAAAATTCAATTTTTATTAGACATGAATTTGAATAACCAAATTTCGTGTATTTAATTTAGAAGTAGCTTTACAACGCTAACAAATTTAACCGTTGCACAGCAAAATAATAAGATTAATATGTTGCATCCCTTTTGTGCACCTATCAATTTGAATCTTTATTAATGTAATATGTTGATCTACAAACGTATTCGCAAGTAAACAATAAAAATATTCTGTTAACATATATTATACAGTTGTACGGCATTATTCATGTAGGTTATGTTCCACGTGTAATCGTACACGTGTTTGCAATGTTGAATTAAAAATAAAACACTTTTTTACGAAGAAAAGTTTTATTGTCATTGGAAATTAAACATACTCTTTTCTTAATTAAACAATTTTCACTGATTAACGCTCATTAAAAGAATGAGAAATTTAAGAAAATAAAGCAGAACTTACGTTTATTAATGCCACTTGGAGATTTCCAGTGTAGGAAAAAACCGGAAGTTAGATCATCGCTCGTACACATATATTCGGGTGTCGTGAATCCGTATAATGCTAGTCAAATTCGCAACTAAATAGATTATAAAACTTATCATTTTCTTATTTATAGTCTATACAAACAAGATAGAATTCATAAAGTAATGCATTCAACGTATGAAACCATAATTATTGATTATATTAAAGTGCGATTCGATGAAAAGTACTGGAAAGTGTTGGCTCTTTATAAGTGCAGATTTTCCGGCACGATAGTGATCCGAGCATTTTTTGATCGAAGAATCATATAAGTGATACGCTGCGGCAATTAGACGTTGATGGTCAACACTTCTAAAACAGAGATAGTTTATCGAGACGCACTTCCAATTTTACAGCTTGTCTCTTATTTGATGTCTGGTTGGAAAAGTTTAGGGTATATTATGATGTGAGAGAAAACAATGTGTTGCGAGGGTCATGTATTATTTCTACACTGTGAAACTAGCAGTCCCTGATGAGAAAAGTTTCGGTAAAGATAATAAAACTGTTGGCCAACTCAATCTAGTGATCTAATGATCTAAATCAACTCTCTTTAGCACGGAATAATAGACGGATTAAATCTTTATACAAATGGTTGAAGCACGTAGTGTTCATTCTCGGTTGAAAATATATCGTGATTCGAGTCTTGCTCAAACCAATATACGATCATTTGAAACTCGCACGCGCGTATCACAATCGTGTCACAAAAAATTATGAATCTCTTGAACAGGCGGTTCAATGCTTCAAATGCTGCCGTCGATGCACGTTGTTTGGAGCGAGAGTGTTGAAGATGTCGTAGCTCAACAACTAGGGCGAGAACAAGCTAGACGACGATGAAGACCACAACTTCTAAAATTGGAAAACATTAAATGTTCTGCTGTATCTGAATCGTACGAGCGATTACTCATACGTTATCACTATTGCTTTGACTCTGCTGAAATCTATGTATTTAACATAAAATTTAAAAAATTAATATTAACAAAATTGAACATTAACATTTCGGAATAAAATGGCTAATTAAAAAATATTTTACCTAATTCTTGTGTCATTTAGCGCCACCCGAACCAAACGTCTTGAGGCTAATTGAAAGTAAAGGTCAAGGATTTACTCGTTCGGAAGTAGCATTTATTAAATCATTTTCTTAACTATTTTTTGTATTAGAATGAGATACAATAATAAATTCAAGGTTTATCTTTTTACAAACTTTCCCGCTCATGATATTTTCAAGTAGTTGAATGAGTGATTTATTAATGTAATAAAATATTATTAATCACACTTTGAAATGTACAATGAATAATTATAAAATCATACGATGATTACAATACTCTAACAATAGAATTTACAATTATTTATATCATTTATAAATAATAAAAATAAGAAGTTGTATAACCACTTTAGTTGCTCATTTGACAAGCATTGGACGGATTCGTGACACCCGTATACGCCTGATGGCTTAACTTTCTTTCCTACGCTGGAAATCTCCAAGTGGCATTAATAAACGTAAGTTTTCCATTATTTTCTTAAAATTCTCATTTTTAAAATAACACTAAACAGTGAAAATTATTTCATTAAGAAAAAAGTATGCATAGTATCCAATGACAATAAAATTTTTATCCGCAAAGAATTGTTTTATGTTTAATTTAACATTGGAAACATGTGTACGAATCCACGTGGAACGTAACCAATATGAATAATGCCGTACAACTGTATAATATATTTTTAACAGAATATTTTTATTGTTTACTTGCGAATACGTTTGAAGATCAACATATTACATTAATAAAGATTCAAATTGATAGGTGCACAGAAGGGATGCAACATATTAATCTTATTATTTTGCTGTGCAACGGTTAAATTTGTTAGCGTTGTAAAGCTACTTCTAAATTAAATACACGTAATTTGGTTATTCAAATTCATGTCTAATAAAAATTGAATTTTCATTGGAAATAATTACGAGTTGATGCATTTGTTATCGTCACTTTTTACATTGTTCAGTAACGTCACTAGTTGGATTCGAATGAATTATTTAATAACCAAATTCGTTTTTCCAGGTTGTATCGTAGCTCATTATCAACGTTAACATGTCTGGAGGATATGATGCATTATCTCTCAAAGAGGATGACGTTACTAAAATGTTGTGTGCCCATACCCATTCGGGCTCTGAAAATGTCAACTACCAAATGGAACAGTACGTTTTCAAAAAGCGTGTTGATGGTAAACAATACTTATTATATTAATTTCTTCAATTGTATTTAAGCTTTACTAAAATTTATTAATTTTCAGGTGCTTCAGTGAACATTATCAATTTGCGCCGCACATGGGAGAAACTTCTGCTTGCTGCTCGTGCTGTTTGTGCTATTGAACATCCAAGCGAGGTTTTTGTCATTAGCTGTAGACCATATGGTCAGCGTGCTGTTCTAAAGTTTGCAGCACACACTGGTGCCACTCCCATTGCTGGACGTTTTACTCCTGGTGCATTTACTAATCAGATTCAAGTAATTAATTAAATATATGGAACATTAATTAGAGAATTTTATCTTGAATTTACTACAATTATTTATTATGATGACACTCAGGACCAGAATAAATAATGTTGTTTGATATGGCTTAATCTTTTCTGAAAATCTTGTTTTGATATATTTTTCAACATTTTTATTTTTCGTTTTTTCATTTGAATTATAATTCTTATAGGCTGCCTTCAGAGAGCCAAGGTTGCTTATTGTCACCGACCCAGCCACTGACCATCAGCCTATCACTGAAGCCAGTTATGTCAACATCCCAGTCATTGCTTTCTGCAACACTGACTCGCCTCTGCGTTTCGTTGACATCGCCATCCCGTGTAACAACAAGGGTTTCCATAGTATTGGTCTTATGTGGTGGTTGCTTGCCCGTGAGGTACTTCGTCTTCGCGGATCCATTCCGCGTGAGATCAAATGGGACGTTGTCGTCGATCTTTTCTTCTACAGAGACCCTGAAGAGGTAAATATTTTGTGTATTTTAATCCATTGCATTTTATCATTAGGAAATGTTTACCACATAATCATTTAATCAATGATTAAAGTTGATGACAACTGTTGTCTGAAAGTAAATTTCATGACTTACAATGATTCAGTATTTAACATTCTGTATATAATTCTAAAATGTTAGAGTAATCTTTGAACTAGTGTTGGTCTACATACTTTTTCATATTTTTCACAGGCTGAGAAGGAAGAATTGGCAGCTAAGGAATTGGCTCCAGTTGTCAAAGAGTATGTTCCAACGGAAGCAGTTGTTCCAACTGAGACATGGACTACTGATGCCGACCCAAATACACCAGCCGCAGATAACTGGGCCGATGATGTTCCCGCTAATGCACCAGCTGCCGCGGTTGGCGCTCCTGCCGCTGCTGTACCTGCTAGCGCACCACCTGCACCTTTTGCTGCTAACACCGACTGGGGCACAGTAAGTTCACGATAGTTTTCAATAAATCATGTAATGATCTACTATCATCACTCATGGGCATTTGTTTGTTTACAGCCTCAAGAAGACTGGTCGGCAGCTACACCAGCTGTTGACCACATTCCGACCCAGAGCTGGGGTGGTACCACCAACGGCAACTGGTAAACGGTTTCGCAATCAACACTTAAGAAATATGACTACGGTCGCCTTTTATACATGAGTTTTGTAATAAAGGCAACTCTTTCTCTAAAACACTGTTTTATTTTTTCGTATTTTATACCCTTGTGCTAGATTGCCGTCTTTTTTACGTATAATATTGCAACTTTAAACAAATAATCGTATTTATATAAGTTATTGTCAAAAATGTTATTGAACCACGATAAAAAAATGATATTTTTGTACTCACGAATGCTAATACACACGATGGAAGCAATTTTCACTAATGGGATTATCAATTGGGAAGCTTGTACCAAGAGCTATCAAATTCAAAAACAATTTTTCTTGCTCTACTCGATAAAAAAATGTTATATTATTTGATCGTCGTAATCATTGTCAAATATACACATAACTAATTCCGTTGATCTTTTGTTCTTTATTTAAAACTGTTGTCTCGACATGGCTTTTCTTATCTTACAGTAGTAAATAGTTGAAGTATGAATGCAATTTTGCAAAAATAAATCTCCCATTGATATAAAAAAAGATATTAATTGTCATGAAAAGTATTAAATAGACTTGTTATTATTTGTTATTCTATGAATAGTTTTGCAGATTTTATTCATTGGAAACCCCTTTGAGGCCACCAATAACAATGCATAAACGAAGTAATTTTCACCGTAAATACGTGAACGAACCAAAGGAAATCGATAGTCGTCGAGTGATTTTTTTGAAACGACAGAACAGACGAACTGCCGCAAAAGTCAGCGCGAGCCATCAACAGGTGGGCGTCCAACAGCTTCTTCCAAGCACAGAGAAGACGCGCAGGCAGAGCGAAAGTTAGTCGTCTATTTAGGGGAGGTGCACAAAAGTCGCCATCCCCCCCCGGCTTCGTAGATACGGCGAGGGGGAGGGCGAACGAATCGTTACGTCGCCCACTCGGGCTCTCGCTGTTTTCCTTTTGCCTTGTGTGTAGCCACACGTGCACGCGCGCGCGCGCCAGCTCTCGTCATTTCGACGCTTTTCCTCTCATCTTCCACTTCTTATTGTTTCATCCGTAAAGTTTGCAGCGCGTACAGCTATGGTTGGCTCGCATTATCGTCGGCGCCCATTCGCGGCTAAGAATAAGCTTACGCTGGCATGATTGGGCGTGTGAAAATCTATTATTAGCAAAGGTGGTATGTATACATTCGTCGCCTCGATATACGCAAGGCTCTATGATCGCTCTTAGCCCATCGGTCCCTGGGAACACCTCGTTGGACTCTTGAGCGCGTACAGGATTCGTATAGGTGATGGCTTTTTGGGCATTTTGCTTGACCAGTCATGGTTCGGTAGTAGTCACTCGCGTTGCACCTTTCTTTACCCAAATTGTAAAATATAATAAATTAGAAGCGATGACTTTGTCGATCCGAGGTCGTGTATACATTCCACGTGTTACGATATTTTAGATTCTGTTTGAAAATCGTACTGTATACTACTTGGGTGGTCAAGCCTTGGCAAAGCATATCTATATTGCCGATAATTGTCGATTAAGTAATTGTGACATTGAATAAATTCGAATATTCCTCAGTCGGAGAAAGTCCTTTTCCAGCCATTTTCAAATCCACGATCTTTTACAATTGGTGCACTTGATTTCGAACGCGCACTTAGCATTGCAGCGACGGGAAAATCAGCGAACACGCACCTGCTCGTAATCGAAGCTAAAGCGAAACGCCAGAGCAGTGTCGAACGTTCGTTCGTATCGCGCTCGCACAGGACAACAGGGCTAATGCGACAAGTCCTCGCCGTTTCTCGAGTCGGAGATTGGCGCAATCGAGCCTACCGTTGAGTATGCGTTAAGGTATTCCCCTGCCATAGACCGATGTACTCGGAGATTAGTTTCGTAATCTACGAAATTTTTATCGACGAACGCAATGTTTGCTCGTTCGCTCCACTTCGCGGACATTCAGCGCATATTGATACCCACCGAGATCGACGCAACACAATCGTGCGACGAGATCGCCGCGATCCTTACGAGCCGCGTTTGAATTTCAATCGAAGAATCATTCGCGACTTTTGCTACGCCATTTAGCTAACCATGACATTTTGCAAACTGCCGAATTAACAAGTCCCGCAGCGTTCCTCGTTACAATTTTCCATTGCATCCGCGGTCGCATGGTTGGAATACTGATTTGCGAGACTCTCGTCCCATCGTCGTGGCCTATAACGCGAATCATTGACCGACCTACAAGCCTTACGCGGATTTCGTATTGATCAGCGACAAAAATTAAGAACCACAACGTTGGGGTGAGGTTCTTTTGTTCGAACAGAAATGTTCTTTCGCGTAAATAGCATCTAAATAATTTGTGATTTTCCAGGAATTGGGAAGTGCATATCGGCAGAGTTCCGTAAAGAGCTCGACTACGTGTACGTAAATTTGATCTTACAAGAGATCTCTAGATGCCAAGATATCGTCACTACATTTACGGTGTGCATGTTTAGGAAAAAGTCTATTCGTAATGCACAAAAACGGCAGACAATTGCGTACAATCGCGAAAAATAACCATTTTGGTTACAAAAACTTCAACTCAAAATCGTGAAATTACAATTGACTCGGAAAGATGATCGTTGTAATTTTGTAATGCCAAGCTTTTGCGAACAATGACGTTTCTTGTGTGAGTAATTCGAACGTTTAACCGGCATTCAAGCTCTGTGTTAATAAAAATACCTGCAAAGTGAATTGACTGAGTAGGAAATCTTTATGTTGATTATAATTGTTTGCTATACTCTGCAAGGAAATGGAAAAATACCTAATTTTCTCATGAATAATAATTGATGATTCATGTAATGATGATATATTCTTATTCAATTCTAACAGAGATGAAATAAATGCTTGTTATTCAATGCATCGTGAGAACAACATTTTCGTAGTGTTATATTAAATGGTTTTTTGCTGCACTGCAGAATCAGTTGTTTATCGTCGGTTTCTTCTTCACTAAATGATTATTTGTCCGTTATTCAAAAGATATTCTCAAGCTATTAATAGATACTGTAATCCACTCAGTATACTTTATAAAAAAACTATTTGAAATGGTGACTGTGGCTACGAAAAATATATGTCCATACCAAATAAAACTTTAGCGGAAACATTATTATGTTAAGTAAGTGATTTTTATAGCTTTGTTTTGTACGCCGAAACTGTTCTTACTGATAAAGAATAGTAATATGTATTTCCGCGTATTCGTATTATTGGTTGGATTTTAATGCTCAGCAATGCATGGCGAGCTCTTATTGCTCGGTTCGACGTTAAAACCCAACGTTGATTGTTGTGTTTGAATATTCAATTTCGCTTGACTCGATATTTTATTGTTATTCAAATGACGTTCATGCACTTCACGTTATTAAAGCTTTTCTACAACGTTCAAATGAACTATTCTTGAGTATGTATACTCATTTGCCAGCCTATAAAAGAACTGAAAGTTAAGATTTTATATGCCTGCTAGCAATAAATTTTATTTTGATAAATAGAGCGGGTTTTCGTGCTATAAATTTCGCTGCAAACTTTATTTCAAACGTAAAATCCTCTGAGTAACCAAAGCTCACTTTGCTGACATCCAGATTTTCAAACTGTGAGTGTCTATAGAATCATAATTAATTACAACTTTTCAATAGGGCTATTAATACATGTTAACATTTTTATAATTGTAACAACGAAAATTTCTAAGGCAGAGCTTTAAATGACATGTTTTAATATAGATTTAGGTAAAAGCAGATATGAGGCTCGTAGTTGTCGTAGTTTTGGCATTAGTCGTAATAGCCAATGCACAGTCACCAACGAGTCCAGATAACTGTCTTTGTTCGAAAGAAGATTCTCCAGTATGCGACAACAAAGGCAAAAGCTACGCTAACGAGTGTCTATTCGAATGTGCTCAGAAGTACCACGCTTACCACGGACAAAGTTTGTTATGCACTTATCTTTAAAAATCATAGTTCCAAAGTGTACACTAATCTAAATTCTCTCTTTTGGTTTTTTTTTCAGTAATTATACATGCACCGTGTCAATAAAATGCGATTTCGAAATTGAATAACTAAACGGCAGATTAGAAGATGATGTGCCCAGAACATAACAAAAAGAAATATTTCTGAAATAAAAATAACCAAAATATACAAGATTTGTTTTATTTTTTGATGTCCGTAGCACGCTAAAAGGCCAAATGTACTTGTTGTTCATTGCATAAAAGTATTATTGAGTAAATCAATTCGTCGTAGGTATACTGGTCTAAAAGATCTGTGTGTGTGTGCGTGCGCGCGTGCGCTAAAAGATAATTTTATTATAGCCATTTATTGAAGTATGGGCACTGAGCCTCCTGCTAGCATGGAGACATACGGTCTTCACGCCTGTCATGCCTGCGAACAACATATATTGACGTCGTCACTTTCGTTTGTAAAATTATGGAAAAGACGCCTATAGTAGTCAGTGATGCTATATCTGACATTCGGCAACTTTTTGGAAATGGTAGCATTGAGAGGCAGAAAATCGTATTTCAAATTATTTCGACGTTCAATATTAGCTATATTGTCAAAGGAGCTGGTCTGATCACGAGGGCAATCAAATATAGGAGCTGTAGGTTCTTGCTGAAAATCCATTAATTGCCTATAGACAATTTCTTAATAGTTTATTGACTGCTGGAATCATGGTAAATTTTGTAGACAACTGTATCTTCGATACACTTTCAGAAATTATTATTTATCTTTTACGGCAAATTGGACTACTGGGATACCTGGATTCTAAGGAAAATGTACACGTCAGATACGCATAAGGAAAGAGAGAAATTATCGGATCACCGGGGTAATTTCAAAATAGCAGTAGATCACGCAACTAGAATCTACAGTGGATGGCCACAAAAAGAGATGAGAATTGTAGAAATTGCATCTAGATGTCAGGGCATAAATTTGGCATCGTAAGACGAGAAATAATCAGAGAGAAATCTGAAACAAATTGAAACTTTTTTACTATGAATTTGACCAAGATTGTGCGTTTTTGAATCTCGTTTGGGATCGCAAAGACTCGCGAGGAAGTTATGTACGACTATAGAAAATAAAATAGACGCATTTTTACTTTCGAGAGAGATTTATCCGGGGGAACTTTAATTGTTTAGAATCATCGAGAATTCGAGGTTCAGTACCAGCATTTGTCGAAGTTCAAATTGATGATTATTATCTGAGTTTACCACTTGAAAAATATTCACCTGACAACCCTATTAATGAGTATTTTGTCATTAATTTTTCAATAATCTGTATCGTTGATTTTTACTAATAACTAAAACCGAAACGAAGTGCTTTTGTATAGAATCTGTGCGACTATGTAGTCTCGAACGTTATTACACGGGGACATTCAACACCAAACACATCGTAGGCATAGATAGAGCGGAACGGGATTGCCTGGTGATGTTTATCGAGAAACTCATTTTGCATCGAAGAAACGTCAAAGATATCATGGATCAAAATGGAATGAGAACGTTTAGTTGACCTGCTTAGCTCACTTGCATACTTCGCATGCAGTCGTTCCAACTCGGGCAAATGTTATCGAGGCTGATCCAGGTCAGGAATATATTTAGGAGATACAACGGTACTACAACGACGGCGACAAGAGCGATGGTCCGATAAGCGCGTAAAACATCTGAGAGACGTATTGTACTTATACGTATCAAATCAAATATCACACAAAGTAAAAGTAAGGGAACAAGGGCTTGGCAGCTGGCGAGTCTTATCTCAAGTACCTTGGCTCGAGTGGACGCTAGTTGCCAAAGGCATGTCCATCATCAACGAGAGTGAAGTAGCAATGCTGATTTTTAATATTTTAATCGAGATGTGCAAATACTTGCCCAGTCGTGACTTCGATAATGATGTTATCAGATCTGTTTTTTTTTAGATTCTAAGTAGTTTTTCAGAATGATGATGATTATACGCATTTATTATAATTTATTATACTCATAATCACTTTCACTATGAATTACAGTATTATTATGTCATATTCATTCATTTTTTAATAATTATTACATATTCATATTCTAAGTCAATAAACATTTTTATATATTTTGTACCTAAAAGAGGTGTTGAAAGTTTCAATTATAATTGAATGTACGTTTAGTTTTAAATAAATTTTCTAGACAAATTGAAAGTATTCGTTCTTCAATCACCCCGATTTTGACGCCGTCGAAAACAATCATATTTGTTTGATAAAATTTAAATCTTAGTCGCATAAGACAGTATATTAAACAAAACGAAATAATGAACAATATAATAAATGAGAAGATTCGTGTAATTAAAAAATACGTATATAATAACTTCTATTATATAAAATGTAAATATTCTATGTGTGAACTGTATATAAATCTAAAATAAACAAGACTGAAAACAAAACAATTTAAAGGAATCGTTTGGTATTATAAGTGTCAAATGTTATACATACGTTATTTCTTTTATTTGTTAAAATTTATGTTATACTCACCACAGAGAAATTAATCCAAATTCAATCAAGTTCGAAGCTGCTCATTTAACACTGACATAATCGTTAATTTAATTATTATTTTATCGCTTTGTTTACTTGTAGAACTCGTCTGATCCAGTTAAGGTCTCGAGTGAATTGAACTGAAGCCTGTGGTCTAGATTGCTTCCATGTGCATAAACTTGGCACATGAATCTTAACACTGTACTTTTCATTTATTAATTACTTAATATTGATTAAAGCATTACTATTAAAATTTCCAATTATTTGTCATCATTTATGCAAAATTATTGTTCTTTTCTCAAAAAAAAAAGCTAGTCAAAATTATTGAAAGTTTTTATTATAAATCTATTACTTACAATCAAACAGTTGATTGAATGTTATTTAAACAAAATTATGGTGGTATGCATATTTACTTTTATTTTAAATATTACTATAAAAAAATCAGCATCAAAAGAATTAATGTTTTAAGAGTTACTAAAATACTCAAAGCAAAAAGTTTCTCATAAATTACCTTTAAATATACATATTTTTTAATTACTTTTTTTTTTAAATCACATGTAAACCATTGAATTATAAAATTATCTCTCGATAAAAATGGTTTTTAATATTAGTACTGTAACATTAAGAAATATCGCAATTTTGAAAACGTTGAAAAAATAAAATTAAAGATATATTGTCAATCAATATCTTTGGTTACTTTTCCAATTTGGCGAACTAAATCTTGATGTGGGAGAAGTATTTTCTCTATAACCTTTTGCCCCAAAACGTTGATAATTAATTGATCGTCTTTGATTGTTCATAAGTGCAGCTGGTACTGCAGAGGTACTCGGAGTACCTCGAAATATTACATATACCATCCAATAAAATCCTCCCACACATTTTGTTAAAAACTCCAACATGCCTAAACATATTGGAGTACAGACATGCACAAGATTAACAATTACATAGCTTAATTCTATGCTCCATTTTAACACAAACTTTACAGCTTCCACAGCAAATGTAAAAAGTGCCATGAAAACTATTGCACTGAATTTAATTGCCTCACATACATTTTCGTATGTGAATATCTGAAAATTAATGCAAATCAATAATTAATTGATGTGAAAAATTGTTATCTGTTATGAAAAAAAAGATATACTTGATTAATATCAAATTTGGGAAAATCAGGATCATCGCTACACAATATACTTTTATCTGGTAATCGGTAAGGCTGAATATGTTGAATTTCCAATAATATTTCTCTTGATTCAAATCTAATAGCAGATAGTTGGAACCAGTGTTTTCCAATAGGAACATTGTTTACATATGTCCAGATAAGGCAATCATTTGATTCACTGTTCTGTAAATCTCCTAAAATTATTAATTATTTAAAGTTTAATAAATTTTAAAAAAGAGTAAAGATTTTTAATAAACACACTTGATATTCCAATCCATTTTTTGTTAGAATATGTTTCTAAAATTTCTTTTGATTTCATTAAATTTGGAATAATATCTTCACTTGATTCAATAACAATTATATCCCTGAAAAAAATTATAATTAAAATTTTTAAAAAAACCAAATTATCAAATCTTTGCATTCTATTTTTATACCTGTAAGATTGAAGTGATTCCACATAGCGTTTCTCGGTGTACCTCCCAAGAAAAATTTTATTCTGGATAAGAGGTAAGATTTTTTTTTTCAGTGATTGAAAAGTATGATCTTTGTAACTTGGTACATCCATATTTGTCTGAAAATGACTGTCAATAGTAATTTACTTATAGATTAGTAAAAACGAAAAAAAGCGATAAGTAAATTAGATCAATTGAATTAAATGATATTGAAATTTATAACCTTTTAACCATTGTACTATTATTATTTAACATTGTATGTATTATTAAAAATTTGTATTGAAAATAAATTGATAAACTTTTTTAAAAAACGTGTAACGTCGGACATCAGATGTTTATTATATTGAAAAAAGATAGTTAAATGACATATTATTATATTAATAGTATTAATATAGATCTATATTTGTTGTCATTGCTTGCATGCTCCACAATGACAGCCACACCCAGATTTTAAACAAACAATTTGTTTTTAACTTAGGAATCTTTGTACACATATGATGTTCGTTGTCTGACGGCCAATGTCTTCTATTATGTAAAGTCTCTTATCAGTCTTATCAATGGGTTAATATAATATTACTCTACAAATATCAATAAAAAACATGGTTATACCTTATAAACGTCACTTTGATTTAATGTTCTATTTAAACATTAGTTGATCATTTGCTCTATTACAAATAAAAAATACCATGAATTTCTGAAATGATTTGTGGTACGTAAACTCAAGCCCTAAAAAAGTAAACAGAAGAACAACGCAAATGAAAACCAAACTACAACACAATACACAACTAACCAGAACCAGTGTTTGACATCGATGGTTCACCTCGAAATAAAGGGCTCCCAGCAGCCAACTTCATCTATTATTGTTGTATTCGAAAAACTCTTTCCGATTCTGTTTGTTCAAAAATCTATACAATTTCGAAAAGAAAAAATAGGTTACGAAGACGGACTTTTATTTCTACATTAAAGAGGTTGGATATCGGTTATCACCATCAGTAGACGTTTGTCATGGTGAAAAAATGAGTCAAATGACATGTTATTATACTAATAATGTTAATATAGTCGATCTATATTTGTTAACATTGCTTGCATCTTCTGCTATTACAGACATACCCAGATGTTAAACAATTTGTTTTTTAACTTAACAATCAGTTCTATATTTCAATATTTCAAGTTTTGGATGTTGATTAAGCATTCGTTTTTTCTCATTATTAAGGCGTTGCGTATCAAATTCAATTGGTCTCACTTATAGGTTGACTTTCATGCGTACTTTGTTTTATTTACCAAATCCTCGATATTCACGCTATAAGTTAATTATTTCTCAATAGTAATAATAAGATCTCAGGAATTCTTCATGCTTAACTGTAATTTTACAACCGATTAGTTGATGTTTGCTACTAGCTGTTTATCATCGATGCATTTTCGTAAATTTATTTGTGACTGTATATATCTACTATAAAAATTAATGACGTATTAATCTCCTAGCTAAATTCATCATTGTTTGATTTTCATAATAAATTTCAAAAGAAATTTTTGAATTAATAATTTAAAATGATTATAATAACGTTGTTTGGTTTAAAAAACATGATCGTCAACCTTTCAATGTATTTAGATTATCAATCATTAAATGATTTTTCTATATTTAATTTATGTGAATTATTACAATTATTACGTGCGGATCCTCTTGCATAACAGCGCTGTGATTTTTCAGTATGATAAAGTAGATTTCTACGATTTAAGATATCATAACCTTAACGACAAATCTAGCCCGATCAAAGATCGTCTGCACTCTATTCATATATAGTAGTGAGTGGATCAAATTGCGTATAATTATTAATATTTTTTATTGTATATCAAGTATGTTATAATATCTTTTATGCAGAATTGAATTTTTATTTCATATTTGAAATGAGTATATTTCAAATATAAAATAAAAATTAAGTATTTCATGAATTTTTATTATAACACGTTTTCATTAAATATTTCGTCATAACAGAAATCTAATAAGCAAAATGATTCGAATGGGATTCAGAGCAATCTATAAAACAGCAAGCACGAGAACGTTTGCTAGTGCTCCAGCTCAAGAAAAATCTGTTATTTCCACAAGCTTCAAAGTTCAGGACAGTAATGATTTTGTGGAAAGAGTAAAGAACTCCAAAGTTCCAGTCATTGTTGACTTTTTTGCTACGTAAGGGTGCTAGGTTTTGTTTATACATATTACATACATACAATAAAAGAAGTCATTAATTTCAATTAACTTTTTAGATGGTGCAATCCATGCAGATTGTTAACACCCCGAATTGAACAAGTTGTTGCTGAAAAACAAGGCAAAATAATTTTGGCTAAGGTAGACATTGATGAAAATTCAGATTTAGCGTTAGATTATGATGTGAGTAATATATTTATTTTATAATAAAACTTTGTATTTCTAATTTTTGTACACGCTCAATACAAAAACAATTCCAACATTTATTTATATAAAAAAAAAGTATAGACTAATTCTTTATCAAATTTGCAGGTCGGTTCTGTTCCAGTACTCATGGTTATGAAAGATGGAAAAATTTTAGACAAAATGGTTGGATTACAAGATACTGACAAACTTAAAAAGTTTGTTGACAAATATGTTAGTTCCTAATTTTTATAGGCATATTGTTTAACTAAGTAACAAAATCATTGATAGAATATCAGCTTTAAACTGTAAAAAAGTATTGTATTACTTGTAATAAGAATGATAATATTTGAAAAAAAAATCACTTTCTTTACTTTTATAAAATAAATTCAATCATATATGATAACCTTGAATAAACTGTACATATTTAAAAACTAAGTATCATGTTTATGTTGGTAAAGCTTGCAGTAATTCTCTTGCCCTTTTGTATTCTGTTGTCTCAATTATTTCTTCATCTTCATCTTCTTTTTCTACACAATCCTCTAATTTTTTTATGACAGCCATTGCTTTATCCAACAACAATTTTCTAGCTGAACCTTTACAGTTCTCAAAGTATTCCAATACTGTTGCATATTGATCATCAGGAACATAATTTTCGTCTAGTAAATTGTGTATTAACCATGTCTGTATAACCGTGTTAAACTTCCATTCACTTTTTGCATGTTTCCACTGATTGGTAATAAAATAATTAATTTATAGATGAGTGCTTGATTTACGTAAAAGAGAATCAATTATATAAAGTATTACCTTTGACACATAATTTAAAGCTTTACTAGCATTTTGTTGTTTACCTAATTCTTTAATTGCTGCTTCACGGAGTGCAAATTTTTCTTTCTTTATTTGTCTTTTTGATGGCTCTTTATTTGGTTTTTCTTCCTCATTTTCATCTTCCATTTCCATTGCTGTATTGTCCAAATTCCTTTTAAATAATTATAACATAACTGTTAAAAAACTAAACTATTTTATGAAAATATTTCATAGTACTTACAGTTCCTCTGTGTTATTAGTATCACTTTCGATCATGCTTTTTCTGTTTTTGAGTTTTCTTTTCTTTTTACTTGTGCTTTCATCCCCTTCTGACTGACGTTTTTCTGCTTTCTTATTTTCTGTATCTTCTAATATTTCTTTTAAACTTTCTCTAAAAATTGAAAAATGTACTTGTGATTTTCGTTTAACTTATGAAAATGTATTTATAAAAAATAAAAGTGACAAGATAAAAACAAATTAACAAACTTACTCTTTTATATCTTGTGATGTAATTTTATTTTCTTTTTTCGTTTTATTTTTCTTTGATTTCTTGTTGCTTTCGATAAATTTTTCATTTTTCTCTTGGTCTGTTACTTTTAACTTTTCTATAATATCGTCAGAAATAAAGAATTTATAATAAAAAAAATTAAATATTTAGTTATTGATGTTCACCTTTTTTATTTTTTGTATTTATTTCTTGAACTTTTGCCGTCATAACCTCAAATATATGCCTTACGTTATATTTACGATCTGCGAGTTTCAAATTTACGAGAAAAGCAACGCAAAGGAACGAAATATTACCAGTTCGCCGCGAATTCTAGTATCGTAGCTTTACTAAATATTTTTTACGATATAGAGTAGAAAAAATTAAAAATCAACACATTATCAATGAATACATGAATACCATCAAACAGTCAAGTTAAAGTGAAGTATAGTTAGAAATAATCTCTGCTACAGTGAACTCCATAAATCATGTTGATGAACAGGTTATGTTCTACTGTAGCAAATTTGCGTAAAATCAACGGGTAAAATTATAAAATATTACTTGTTTCTAAAATTTTAAATTATTTATACATTTAATTATAAGCAATTTGAACTATTCTATTATAAAATGAATTCTAAGGTAGTTAATATGAATTGCATTGTTACTTTTGCTGACAGGTCTACTTCTGTATTGTTGCAAAGAACTATCAATACTAAATCAATTGATGATGATTCCGATGATAAGCCAATCGCATTCTCAACAACAGAGGCAGCAGTCTGGAAAGCACAACACAGTCGTGTGCCACCAAATGAGCGAGTGTGGTATACACCTTATGTGGTTTCAGGAAGCATTGCAACATTCATGTTATACTTTTGCATATTAAGAGAGGAAAATGATATTGATGAAATTATTTATCGACCTCTACCAGAAACATTGCAAGGTATCGAAAAAGTTTTCCCAGAGATGGATTTCAATACAAAACCTGATTATGTCTTATATCATGAAAAGAGAAAGCAAAATATAAACACAACAAAATAAAAATAGAGGATATTCAACCTGAATTGCTGCAACAAAAAAGCAAATAATTAATAAATGAATAAATAATATTCCTTGTAGAAAAGTTATTATTGCATATTATCATTGAATAACTTATTGCTTTAAGTTGTAATTGATTCAGTAGTTTCTTAGAAAATGTTTATTAAGATACTGTCAAATTTGTAAACATTATATTTGAAAATAGTGTAAATAAATATTCTGTTATTGTTAATTCAAATGTTACTTTTTATTGAACTTCATTCTCTTCAAATTTATTTATTTACAGGATGTAAATTGAAATGTAAGTTATAAGTTAATCTCTCTTAAAATTATATAATATATTAAATTTATAAGAACTTAAAAACTGCAGTCTTGATAATCTTTAACTTTTTTATACATATGTTCAAAATGGGTACAACAACTGACCCCAAAAAACATTGCTGATAATATTACTCCAATTGATTGATGTATGCATGGTGATAGTATCAGGTAATGTTCTCTTCCATGTTTCACTCCAGGGAGCTATAATAGTTTTAGTTTTCAACATAATTGGACCCTCACCTTGTCTATGTAATAGCTCAATACCTATAGAACCTGAAAATTTTAATACTGCAATATTACTTAAAATGACTTATTTTCTTTGTTAATTTAACAAGTTTATTTACCAGTAGTATCAACAGTCCTCAAAATCCATAGAATAAAAGCATAGATCGGTATAACTTGTAAGTAAAATTTTAGTCTTGTTAAAAAACCACCAAGTCCAATCATTATAAGTCTAAGCTGTAATAAAGATTGGTTTTATAATATTTATAAAAATAATTTATATAGCTAATAAAAGCAGGTATAAAAGATATTTTACGTACCACAGTAAAAACAAAGTAATAAACCCAAGTGGTTGGCATCAAAAATAAAAGTATAGTAAATAGTAAAGTACCAACAAACAATTGATCTGGTTTATACCGACAAGAGTCTACTCTTTTTCTTAGTGGATTTTTCTTTTTACCTAAAAATAATCTAAATAAAGCTGTTAGACCTCTGGTTTGAATATTAAATAATCTGAAATATAGAAACATTAATTATAATATATAAACCAACATACAGAGCCATAATTGATAACAGGCAATTCAATACCTTGCTGCATAAACATAAATGCAATAAGTGTGAAAACTAACAAGTGCTAGAAGATCAGCCATGATAGAAATTTGAAAAGTAATGCCAAGTCTCCCAAAAAATAGCAGAACTACAAAAGCCAAATCCATAATTGGCTTGGAAGCAACAAGGAATGTCCACCAGAGGTGAATGTGATACAAAAAAAATTTTCCTAGAACACGGTTGAAAGAACTGTTCAATTTCAAACCAGCTGGTGATCCCATAAGCCAATTTACAAGATCTTTCAAAGTCTCCACCATTTTCTGTGGTAAAAAATTATTTATTAAACGATTGATATATAATAGTTGCACAAAAAGAAACTAGCAATTTCATTAAGAATAAAAATTTACCTCTGCATATGATAACAAAACATCCGAAGGTAAAGAATTTTCGAGAAAATTCAATAGTACTTCCAACAGTAAATGCCCCAGGAATATATCTATGATTATTGCTAAAATATAATTTGTTGTTTTCAAAGTAAATTTCTTGCTCTGATAGAGTGTTGATGCCATCCATTTAGCATTTTGAAAGCAGGCAATTAAATGCAAGCCAAGTGAGGAATATTTTAATACTGGGTTGAATATAGTAATTAACTTGTGCAGATACAGCGTGGGGTAAAGTATAGTAAGTATAAATGCTGTAAAAATAGTTTCCTTAATTCTTGGTAAAGAAGAATTTTTCAGCTTATCTTGATTCTTTCTTTTTGACTCTTTGTACAAAATGTTTCTCAGCTCTGAGAAATGATCCATAGGTATCCGATCGATATATAATTCTGTCCGTGTTAAGCAATATTCATCATATAGAATTATCACAGAGTGACTGTTCAATGAAGTGAGTTTTTGATTCCTTATCATAACAGTTCTTAAGTAGTAATCATAATTGGTATCCGTTGGTGACAAATATAACTCTATCCAATTAGGAAGTTTCTTTTCCCAATATTCTCTTTTCTTTTCAGTCCCATAAAAGTAACCAAGTGGTACAAGGTCATTGCCAGCTTTTGTTATACTTTGCACTGACTCAGTCAAACCGAGGATAAAAAATTTACTGACCTCTTCTTTTGCATCGTGTACAACGTTTCCATACATGCATCCTGGCTCTTCTTTTAAAAAATTTTGGGGGATGAATATGATCAACGATTTCATTGTTATCAAGCCCTAAATACAAAAATTAATTCTTATTATTCTACTGTCACAATAGTAAATTAGAAGAATAATACACCTTTTGTACATTCATGTTTGATAAATCATTGGAATGATAATGAACATCTTTTTAATGCATGACATTCAATCGAAGAAAATCAAGGTAGGTTTTTTATATTCGTTTCTGGTACCGGACGCGTATGTATTTATTCAAATCATTGATAAAAAAAATACCACAATTAGTCTTTTATCGATTGTCGGAGAAACTGTGCAACTCATATATATTACACTCTCTCTACTTTCGCTCTTTTAAATGTTAAATTACAAACCTCGTTTTTTCTTCATACAATCAATATTTTTACGAATCGTTGTAGATATCATAACATAATATATATTATATATTAACTGTGTCTTTTACTTCTCGCCGAAATCAACATAACAACTTGACAGAATGAGACGATCTTTCCACTATCAGATGGCGCTATTACGAAAAAGCTCAAAGTACGTGAATATTATATCTATATTGATCAACCCATATAGAGATATATATACATATAATATTCACGTGTGTTTGAGGTTTTCGTAATTGCGCTATCCCGAGGGTGGAAAGATCCCCGTTGAGTTTATGATCGAAAAATTAAAAAGCAGTATACCGAAAAATTTCGCGTGTCGTGCTCATTATGAAAGTATCGCATCCCTTAGTTAAAGAGTAATTGTTTGATATCGTAATAATATAAAGCATAAAACTTATTTGAGCTGGGCGATTATCAACAGTTTTTTTCTCCCAATCGGCAGGTACTTTGTTTAATTTGAGGGCATAAAACGATCGTCGCACTCGTTTGAATAATCATGCTGAAAAAAATCTTTAGTTCGTGCAAAAATACCATGGTTTCTGAATTAATCTAAAACAATAGTTTTTTTTTTTTTTTTTTGTAACAGCATGCAGCCTTTTAGTGCATGCGTCGCATGCATATTGTGACGAACCGACGTCACGTATAACCGTAAACTACGTGCATAAGAAAATAGAACGCAAACGCGAGCGTTCAAATAAATATTTAGCTTGAATAGACATAATAGGCTAGCATAACCGTAAAAATATGTAAATGGTCACTTGGGTGCTACGACACAGCGGGTCGTATAGGATGGTTCAAAAAAAAAAAAAAAGGAAAAACAACTTTTTTTTGACGACTGTCAAATCGTTAAAATTTAATGGATTTTCCGCCGAAAGCCCATTAAATTTTGTCACCATTGCGAACAGCTACGCCGCACGTGTGGACCATCAGCGAGGAGAGAACAGAGGTCGAGGCTGAGAGCCAGGGGAGAAACCCAGCCTCCTAATTCGCCAGTGCCCAGAAAAGGGACGTCCTTTTCCCTCCCCCGCACGCGCGAATGACAGCAAGCAGCATCAAGCGGAGCTGAGACGCCGCATCGCGAGTTCAGACTCAATTTCGCTACCGAACCGTTTAGTTGGCTCTGTTATTTTCACATAAATATATATAGGGCTTACGGGTAGTTAGTCTTCTTCAAAGTAAATTTTGTCTTTTCTTTTCAAAAGTTACCTGAACCACGTTTTAATTCTTATTTAAATTCACGTGAGTTGCGCGCGCAAACCAAAAGCGTAGATAGGAGAGGAGATATTACAATATAACGTCCCTCGTTTATGCGTGGTAACCATACGTTTTAAATAACACCAGCACTTACATCACTTATATTATACCTAAATCTTGTTAACGCATGAATTCATCTACGAATTTTATATTCCTAAGAACAGTGGCATTAACACCTGTAAGAGCTCGTAGCCAGTAAAGTCGTTTTGTTGATGTCTTAAAAGATAGCAGCCAGAATTGGTTTTTTAAAGATAACTAATAATTAATAGTAACTGATAATTGATTAATGCCATTAAATATAGTTAGCAAAAAAGTAAAAACTTTTTTCTCTGTCATTTGTTAGTTGGTCCTTGAATAAAATAAGTCTTGGGTGTTGGCTTCTATAGCACCCAGATCAGACTTGCGATGAAATAGTAAAAAATGTGTTTATAAAAAAATTCATTCGTAGACCTGTTGTTAGTTGACGTACGATAACGAATAAAATAAACTATATTTAAGATTGGTAATACAGTACTTCAATTTTCCTTCAATCTACTATCATTGGTAATTATGGAGTTTATACGTACAGAAGATTTGATGATTTTTTTTTGTTAGCAAAAATTTGTGAGTATCATTATCAAACTATTCGTTATAATTATAAATATTCATTATCATAACGAGCTTGCAAGAACTGGAATCCACTCGACAAAGAAGACCGATAAAGTGCGGGGGAGGGAAGAGTAGTTTTCAACGAAATATGTTTCGAAATTTACGAATTTCAATATCAATTGCTGGGAGATGAAATTTGGACCAGAAAAGTTTTTTGTACTTTAGCACCGCTGGGCGTCGTTGAAAGCTTCGCAACGGGGGAGTTAATCGCTGACAGGGTGTCAACTGTCCCTCTCCTGCTTGGGAGTTACTGGCTTTCGGTCGATTGTTGTTTTCATATGCAGGCGGCTATAACAATCGTAGAATTTTCAGCAACGTGGGAGGACCGACAGCAATCCAATGAGTTTCCAAAACGCTTTGTTTCAGGAAGAAACGTTTTAAAAACAAGTCAGGGTGTGTCGCTTCCACTGCGCTCTCGTGATGCATTGCAGCAAGTGTAAACACCCTATATGCACACTACTCTGTCGGGATGATCAGTTTCATAAATAGAAGGTAAAGTTTCTTTCCTTCCTTCCTTTATATATGTATATATAAAAATGAAAGGCTTTCCACATGGAAACGACAAATCGTTAACGAGGGTATGTACATAACACAAGTATGAATTATCACAGTTCACTGGCATTGTCCTTCGTGCTGGTCGCACCATTCGGGAGCGATGGCATCGGCGAGCACTCGGGTTCTGCGCCTGAGCCGATCGATGTGGGCTTGCAGTCGGGGCTCGGCCTCGGCGGTGCTGCCCTTCGAGGGGGGGTCGCTCCAGAGCCGCTCGGCGACGGCTGCCGCGCGCGGCCAGACCCGCGCGTCCAGACTGCCGCTCGCCACGTACTCGCCCCACATGCAGGCCTCGCCCCCGAGCACTCCTTGCTGCAATTCAAGGCGGAGCGTTGGGTGCGTGCCTCTTCGCCGGGGCGACGACGACGCCGCCGCCGCCGCCGCCGCGAGAGTGGCTCACGTGCTGCGGGATCCGGTTGTTGTAGGCGTCCCGCCAGCTGTGGTACTTGGTCGAGCCCCAGAAGCCGTGGTCGAGGTACCAGGCGTCCTTCGTGGAGACGATCAGCTGGTAGCCCAAGTCGAGTAGCCTGGCGTTCAGGTCCTTGTCGGCCTCCACCCAAGTCTGCACCACGAACTTGGCCTTGTCCAGGTAGCTCTCAATGTGCTCGGGCGCGGTCAGCTGCGAGCTCCAGAGGATCGCCTTGTCGCTGCTCTTGTCCTGCTGGCTCTCCTCGTCCAGTATCTCCAGCTCCCTCTTGTGAACGCTCGACCAGACTTTGAGGAAGTCCTCGCTCGTCCTGCCCAGGTCCATCTTCGACATCCCTTGCGTCACCTCCTCCGTGGAGTTCCAGCAGTCGATGAAGAGCTGCCGAGCAGATCGTTATCTTGAGCCGTGCGCCACGGCGGCGTCGGTCGCGCTCGGCAGTACCTCGTCGCCGCCGAGGTGCATCATCTGGTTCCTGCCGAAGGTGGCCAGCAGCTCCTTGTAGATGCTCCTCAGCACGTCGAAGGTGTTCGGGTTGACGGGATTGAGCTGTCCGCAGGGCGGCTGGATGCAGTAGTCGCGCCAAGGCAGCTGGTTCACGCAGACGGCCAGCTTGCCGAGGCCCTCGGACTCGCCCCACTCCCAGCCCGCGCCGGCGTGCGACGGAGAGTCGATCTCCACGATGACTCGCACGCCCTTCGAGTTCGCGTGGCGCACTATCTGCTGCATGTCTTCCACGCTGTACACCTTGTCCGGGCCGTAGGCTCCGTACCTGAAACACGACGAGCGTCCCGTGTCTACCGATCTCCGTCTCTCGCCGGCCGCGGCCTCGTGCTCACATGGCCATGAGAGGCACGCCGCGTATCTCGATGGGGAAGCTCTGCGTGTCGGTCGCGTGCCAGTGCAGCACGTTCATCTTCACCGAGGCGAGCCCGTCGATGGTCCGCAGGATGTCGCGGACCGGCAGGAAGTTGCGGCCGGTGTCGATCAGCAGGCCGCGATGCTGGAACACCGGCTTGTCGCGAATGTTGGCGCTGTCCAGCATGACCAGCCCGCTCGTCCCGTTCGACCCTGGTACCGGCACTATCAGCTGCGACAGCGTCTCGAGGCCGTGTCGAGCGCCGTACACGGTCGCCGCCGAGATTATCACCGTCACGTCGGATCCTGGGAACGGTGGGTCGTTTATTCTCGCGTTACCTACGCTCCTTTTCTGCGCTCGCCATTGTTCGACAATTTTGGCTCGAGCGATCGTTAAATCTTATACCCATTGTTGCTATTTCGAGACTGTAGGCCTCGTTCGTTTCCCAGCCGAGGTAGAGGTTCGACGACTCGACCGCCAGGCGCACGTCGACCTTCCTTCTCGCCGGCTCGCACTCGTGACCGCAGCTCGCCTGCAGGCTCCTCTTGAACGCGTCGAACGAGCTCTTCAGGAACACTCCCGCTTGTTTGCCGAGGCCGTTGACCTTCGGGAAGCGCAGGCTTTCCGGGTTGACCGGCAGATACTGCAACGAAAACATCGTCCGCGGACAGCTCGTGGGACGCGTCGCGGCGAGGAGGGCGACGAACTCACGTTGGCTCCCGTGGTCATGGGGCCCGTGGGAATCGGCCAAAGCCCGGCGCTCGGGGAGCAGACCAGCCGACAGGCTTGCAAGCTGGCGTGCCGCGAGCCGCCGACCGCGTTGGCCAGCTCGTACGGCCGCGCGGTGCGCTGGCACCGGTGGCCCTGCGCGCACTCGTACGTTCGGTGAAACCTACGAGCCCAGCGATTACCACTCGATCAACTCGACGAGACCTCGTCGTTCGATCGTAAATGCGACTCACGTGGCGGCTCCTCTTCGTGCATCGCTGACCTCGCCGAAGACCAGCAGACAAGCGAACGAGCACAGCAGCGCCCGCATCCTCGATCGATCTACAAGCGAATCAGCTCGTCAGTTGGAAAACGAGCGGACGACCGAGCTGCCGCGCGCGCAGCCGCTCGATCGTCGCTCTCGCGATCACGCAATAATTCATGGACTCTCCCGAGCGCGCGCGCGTACGTGCCGCGCGGGCCGAGCCGCTCGACGCTGCCGCTCTATAGCCGCGCCGACGCTGCTATTTTTACGGCCCCCCACAGCCCGACGGCTGATTGGGCTACACGCCGAGCTCGAGCGCGCCGATCGAACCCGACAATCCCGGCCGGCTTACCTGCTCGCTGGGGAAGTCGGCGGACCCGGGCAGCGCGCGGCACACGATCGCGAGCGTTGCGGCGCGCCGCGTCGTACTGAGCCGACGAGCGTCCAGCCGCCTGGCAATATAGCCGGCGGCGCGCGCCGCGCGCCAGCCGAGCAGCGCGGCGCCGGATCGATGCGCGCGCGCGGCTCTTTCCGATTTCGAGCGAGGGCGGCCGCGACGGCGTCTCGGCGCAATTACGCGCGCCGCCTTGCCTCGATGCGTCGGCCGGAGGAGCGCGTTTAGCCAATTGAGGTCGCGGCCGAGTCCGACTGGCTCCTGCCTGCGCGTCTTCGTGCCTCCTCTGGTCGTCAGTCACGATTGTCGCCACTTCTCTCCCGCCGATCGTTCCTTTTTCGGCTCTCGGGCCGCGGCGCTGCGCGCGTTATCGCCGCCCGCGTTGCCGCGGCTTCTTTTTTCGTAATTTTCCAGCGCTCGCAAATGCCGTCTCACGGCGGTGCAGCCGCGCGCGCGCGATCGCAACGATTAAGTGAGCACAAAGCCAAACGACGCCGATACGTTAACGTAATGTGGTAAATAAACATGAAGTGCTTTGAACTGTCTTATAACAGGAAGTGCGAGACAGATAAATGCAAGCGATAAATAGGTACAACTCACGCATAAAATCGCCACGCGGACTCGACCTCGATTTACGACTCGCTTTGCGCGCGGAGCGTAAAAAAGGAAGAGAGAGAGAGAAAAAAATGGCTTGCAAACGAACAAAAGCCAAGAGCACTCGCGAGGAGCCCGCGATCCGCAAGTCGAGCAGAGCCTTAATGCATGCGGGCAACGATAATCGCGCGCTCCCTCATTTGCAATCGGCGTTTATTGTCCATGGGCATCTGTGACTGTGCGTACGCGGGGAAGAGAGAGAGAGAGAGAGAGAGTGAAATAGCTAGCGTTCCTTTGATAGTACTCGTATGGTATTCTTTATTTATAAGCGCTTATTTTTTTTTTCATTTACTTAACTACACATATTATAGAATTAGCTCATGCGATTATTCTTACAAATTCACTTAGGTTTTTGCTCTTGCTTCGTTAACGAGAAATACTTATACTGGGCAAATACAATGAATTAACCAATCGTCGCCACGACAATTGTTCATCCTTTATCTGTCGGGTCGATCAAATTTACATTTCTCTTGGTTATCTAATGTGAATTATGTACATTTTGGATTATATAAAATGCGAGTATGATACACATCATTAAAAGGCAGAACTCAAGTGTTTTGCGAGTGAGCGGATGCGCGTATCTGCTTTCGCGACTAAAATCGTGACTAGAGTGAAGCCATCAATGCCACTGCCACTTACGGCAAACAAAGGCTACCGCGTCTATGTCGGTGTGCACGCAAACGCATAATTGTACAAAAATATTAGGGGACATCGCCGTATCACTTGGCTTGCAATGCGTCGTAAATTAAGTGGATCTCAGAGCGAAACATTCGACTAATCAGCTATATTTTCCAACGCTCGGTCGTTTCGCCAACTCGGACCGTCAGCTCCAGCTCGCACGCGCGATAATAAACGAGAGGCTCGAGAGGCAACGGATCGACGTCCTCGATCGCGCCGGGGCATGCCGCCGGCGAGCGGATCCGCGAGGGTCCTTGCCAATCGAGCGCCTCCCGAGCGTCCCAGTCGCCACGCCTGCGACGCGCCGACGCGAGTCCGTGCGGATTACTTCTTGGGGCCGTTGAGCGTGACGTCGAGCGGCTCGTCGGGCGAGTGCGAGGGGCTGAGGTCCGTCGGCTGGTGCAGGTGGTGCTGGAGGTGATGCTGCTGCAGGTGATGGTGATGCGCGGCCAGCTGGTGGAACAGCGGCTGGGGCGGCGGCGGCGGCTGCGCCAGCGGCGATCGCAGCATCGCCGCCGGGCCCGCGGACTTCATGGTCAAGTCGATCTCCGCCTCCTGGGGGGCCGCGCGCTGCAGCGGGCCGCCGCCGCCGCCGCCGCCCTCGCTCTCGGACGACGAGGAGAGCGCAGGCGGACTCGAGGACGGCGAGCCGCAGCCGCGCTTCGACCTGTCCGGTGATTTCTCCCGAGCGAGTCCAAAGCTGCAAGCACGCAATCGGGGATTAGCCGTCGCGACTGGATACGCGCACGTGCGCTCGCTCGATCGGAGAGTTCCACGCGAGTCGTCGTGAAAAATATTCCGCGGAGCAGTTGATCAAACGTCGCGGCCTTCTGGCGTCCGCGGATAGCTCGAGCCATTTGCATAATTCGCATCGGCGACGAACGAGGCGGAAGAACAAAGAGCGCGACGCGGTCGCGCGGCTGACTCGCGCGGCGCGGACGACGACCGCGAGCTCGAACGTCGAAAGGCGACGCTCGCGACGGGGCCCGGCACGCGAAAGGGCGACGAAGGGCGACACACTGACCCGTGAGGCGGCGGCAAGATCCTGTAGTCCCGGCAGACGTTGGCGTCCGCGGCGAGCTTGTCGCCGGCGGGCGAGACGATCAGCGGCTGGGAGGTCGGCGGCTGCAGGGCCGTCGGCGGGGGCGGCTGCGTCGACGGCGGGGGATGCTGCGGCGGCGGCGGCGGCGGCGAGGCCGCCGGGTCCGCGCGCTGCTGGTCGGGCTGCGGCAGTCCGGGCGCCGGGGGCCGCAGCAGGAGCGGCGCCGCGCCGCCGAGGCCGAGGCAGCGCATCCGCCAGGCGTCCTGCAGCAGCTGCAGGCGCGCCTGCTTGCGCCACTTGGCCCGTCGATTCTGGAACCACACCTGCGGCCCGCGAGCCGCGAGTCAGTCCCGGCCGGCCGAGCGCGCGCCTCGGCGCCGTACCTGCACGCGCGCCTCCGACAGCGAGATCCTCAGCGCCACCTCCTCCCGCAGGAAGACGTCGGGGTAGTGGGTCTTCTGGAACAGCGACTCCAGCTCCTGCAGCTGCTGCGGCGTGAAGGTGGTTCTGTTGCGTCTCTGCGGGAGCACGCGCGGGTGAGTGACGGCGGCGCGGGGCCCGGGGCGGCCGAGCGGAGTCGGCGGGGGGCGGGGAGGGCTAGGCAAAAATGTACACTGACCTGGCGCCGCCTGCCGAACATGTACTCGGTGAGCAGGTCCGCCTGGGGCCCCAGCGGCGACAGGTAAGGCCCGGCCATGGCTCTCGAGCGCTGCGCGTCGCTCCGTCGGCCCCAGCACAGAGTTAGGCGCGGCGACTGCGCGACGGCATGCTGGCGATGCGCGCGCGCGACCTCGACTGGCTGGCGGCTGGCTGGCGTGTCTTGTCGTCTCGCGAGCGCGCCGCGCTCTCCACCCTTGCGCGGTGGGGTTGCTCTCGACACCCATTGGCCCGGCCGCTCGCCGAGGGGCGGGAATTCAATGCCTGTCCCGCGCCCGCGCAAGCTCCGACGCCCGCTCCTTCTCGCTCTCTTTCGCCCCCTCCCCCCGCTTCTTTTTTCGACCTCCTCGACCGCTTCTCTGTCCTACCTGTCCAACTCGTCCTCGTGGGCGTCTTTGCGTACCGAATCGAGTTCGCGCTCGCCAATTCTTCGCGGCTTTCGATCACTGGATACTCGGTCCCGCGCGCCAGTTTCGAAAGCTGCGAGATGTCGGTTTGCGAGCTCGCGCGGGTTCCTCTCTCCGCTCTGATCGGAGTATCCCGATTCAACGCGTGTCGGCGCGAGTCCCGCGGAGTAGTGGCGAAGACGAAAAGAAAACCTCGCGGAAGAGCGCGAAACGAGCAGCATCGGCGGTGGCGATCGGCCTTGCGAGCCGAGCATTTTCCAACCAGCGCCGCGAAGGGGGGCGGGAGGCGGAAAGAGAAAAAGCGCAAGCGAGTTGACGTACGTAGCTTGTACCCGAAACAAGTCGGCGCAGAGAGAGAGAGAGAGAGAGAGAGAGAGGCCGGGGGCGGAAAAGTTGGCAAAGCGCGCAGAAAAGAGATATTAGAAATAGAGTAGATCGCGCGAGCGGCGGACAGGACAGAGTCCGGCGGGCGCAGCGAGCCTGATTAAAAGGAGTAAGAAATTGCCGACGGTGGCGAAGGCCGGGTGGCGTCGGGCAAACAAGAGGCCCCGAGAGAGCGAGCGAGTCGTCGTCCTAACAATGAGCGAGGAAAATGAAGAATACGGAAAAAGAGATAGCCTCGCTCGAGCGAGCGCCAGAGAGGGAAAAGCGCGCAATCTTTTTAATTATGAAAACAGCGCTTTGTGCTTCATTCTGTTTTGTTGCGCCCCCCTCCCCCCCTCCCGCCCTCACCGACCCCCTCGCGCTATTCTATTCGCAACGCTTTTTTCCTCCCGCCGGTGTAGCAGCGCGCTTTTTTTTCTTCTTTATATTATAAGGGCGAACGCGCGCGCGGGCCTGCGGGGCGGGGGCGGGAGAGAGGGGGTGGGGCGAGAGATTGCTTTAGTAATGAATTACATGGCCCCGGGCTGTGTGCCTCTGTCTGATCCTGGTGCCTCTCTCGGCGTTTACGTAATCTCTCTCTCTCTCTTTCTCCGGCTGGCTCCGCCGTGACTCCTTCCTCTCTCGCGCGCGCGCGCGCGCGCTCGCCGAGGAGGTTCTCCAAGGAGCAGCCCGAGCGTGAATCGCCGCGCGCCGGCACTGTATCGGCGCCCGGCGCCATTGGCCGGCAACAATGTCGGCAACGCCCTTATTAATTTAAATCGGCGCGGCGATTAGCGCGCGGCTCCGCCCCCTTCGCGGAAGCAGGCCGCGTCCGTGCCGAGGGTCGCGCCCGCCGGAGGGAGATCCGACTGATTTTTTTCGTCCCGTCGCGCTTTTCGCTCGCGCGCCCCGCTGCCTCGATCGGCCCGACAGGTCAGCGCGCGCGCGCGGCCCCGCGACGCACCGACGGCGATTGCGGAGCCGCGGGACAATCGGCGACGACGGCGGCGCGATAATTAAAGTGCAGACCGAGCGACGGCCCGAGACAATGCGTGTGCGCGCACGCACGCCCATCGCTGAAAACCCAAACAATGCCCCGCGCGCCCGCCCGCTCCGATTCATTCGTCGGCGAGCTCGATTCCGCTTCTCTCTCTCTCTCTCTCTCGCTTTGTTTTTTTTCCGCTCGCTCCCCCGCGCCGCTAATTGATTTCTTTCTCCCGGCATTGTGCGCCGCTGCCTCGGCGCTCCTTTATCCGATCACGCGCGGCGCGCCCGGCTCGCGCTCGTTATTCCGCGCCCCGGCGCGCGGGCATCGGCGAGCGCGCAGGTGAAGACGAGGACCGCGAGCGGGGAGCCGCGGGCGCGCGGGGGCGCGTTGATCCGGGCACGCTCCGCAATCACTCCGCGCGCCCGCGAGAGCGACTCCCTTTTCCGCGGCTCGACGTATAATGGGAACCGTGTTATTGCTGCGTTATGCGGCGTCTGCACAATGTCGGCGCGTTTCGACGCCAGCCCCGCGTCTGTCGCCGCGGAGGAGCCGAGATTAAAATTTTCCGTCGCCAGGGAAAAACAATTACGGCCTCCACCCCCCCCCCCCCCCCCCGCGTCCCAGCCCCGTCTCCCGCCGGAACGCCCGACCTCTTCATCATCTCCATTCGCCAACTTATTGGGTTCGCCCTTTGTTTACGCGAGCCTTTTTAATTAGTGCCATCTCGCCCGCTATACACATTTCTCATCTGCCTCAAGACAGGCGCGCGCGCCTCGTTTCGGCCGCTTTTGCCGCGCGCTCGCGAGCGAATCGAATGGCTGTAGAGCGAGCGCCGAGATCCCGTCCCGATCGGGTTCGCGGGCCGCGATCCCTCGCGCGCAGTCGGCGGCGGCGTCGCGCGGGGGGGTGGCGCGGGGAGGCGATCGTCCGGCGGCGCGTCGTCGCCATTGTCGCGGGCGAGACGCGGGCCGGAGAGCTCGCGGAGGCGCGAGCACATCGCGGCCGCACGCATGCACACCTCCGCAGAAAGGAACCAGCGAGGAAGAGCCGCGAGGGCGCCGCCTCATTATCGTTATTAAGGCGCGCATTGTCGCGGGGCGTCGGGCCGGCGCGGACGCGTCGCCGGGAGATTGCCGGCGAGAAGCGTCCGCGATTACGAGAATGGCTTTCCGCGCGGCGCCGCCGTAATCGGGGCGCGCCATTGAGGCTCTCGCGGCGATCGAAGCCGCCACTTGACGCGGCTCGACCTCGCCGTCGAGAGGACGGAGCGTCGTCGGCGCGGCCGAGCCCCCGGCCGGGGCTTCCAAGCGATCGCGGGGGGTCGCCGGGGGTAGGCGTCTGTGAAGTTGGCCGGAACTTTGCGGCGCTCTTTCGTTGCCGCGCTGCCGAGTAATTAACGATATTTTACCGGTAATTAAACGCATCCAATACGCCGCGCAGCCGGAGTTTCAAGGAGCCGCCGCGCTCGCTCTCTCTCTCTCTCTCTCTCCGCGCACAGCCTCTGTCGGCCGACCGTGCGGCTTTTCTATGGGCAACGGCCGACGCGAAACCACTATTGGCTCCCTTCCTTTCAGCCGCTCCGCCGGAGAGCTATTTAAATGTTTTCCCGAGCAGCTCCCGCGGATCAACCCCTTCGAGGATCGATCGATCGGAAACACCCGCCCAGCGCTCCCCCAGCCAGCCCTCCTCCCGCTCATCCAAATTAGCCCGCTAATTGCAATTAGCCAATGCCGAGCCTCCGCTCTTTCCGCCGGCGAGCCGCGAACGGCTCTGTAATTAGTTACGCGCGCGACTCCCAGGGCGCCGCGACTCGCTCGCTATTGTCTCTCCTCCGCCTCTATTTTTTTTTAACCCGCTAGCTCGCTGTTTTCTCTCTCTCTCTCTCTCTTTCTGCCTTAATTCGTTACTTCTGCGGCGGCGGATGGGAGCGCGCCTCGCTCGTGTTCCCTTTTCTCCCCGCGAGCCTCGCTGGCAACTGGCGTCGGCAGTTCGATCAAGGCCCCGTCGAGGCGGCAACGGCGCAGGCGAGAACGCCGGGCCGGGCGACGATCAGCACGGCTGATCGGCCGGCCGCGCGCCGATCAGCCGACGGTCGAAAAGTCGCGCTGAATGAGCGAGCGTCGGCACCGCAAGCGCGTCTATGTCCGTGGCCGAGCACAGAACTTCGCTCGGGTTCCCCGGCTGTGGCGCAGCTAGCTGATTAATTAGAAACTACGACAGAGAGTCGGCGAGCGAGGGCTGCGGAATGGAAAGCTGCTCGGCGAAAAGGGCTCGCACACACACGGCGCGCGCGCGCGCGGCCGATTCATTTAAATATCCGTGTGTCGCGCGCGCGTGTACGTGTGTGCGCGCCCGCGTACGAGGGAGAGAGAGAGAGAGAGAGAGAGCCGAGCGGCGATGACTACCCGCGATCGTCGAGCTCGCGCGTGCTTTGTGCCGCTAAACTCGTATCTGCGCGGCCGCCGCAATGCCAACCTCGTTTCTCGTCTCGGCTTTCCAACTCGGCCCCGCGCTATTCTTGACCCTCCCCCCCCCCCCCTCCTTTCCGCCGCGCCGGCCGGCGATTAATTAACGAGCGCGCGTCCGCGCAAAGTTCGGACGGCCACAATGGGCCGGCGGATTGGCAGGCTGCGCGCGGCTCGACGTGGTCGTTCATCAGCGCGCGCCCGCGCCGTCCTAATCGAGGCTCATCGCGTTACGGAGCCGTGCGCGACAATGCTCGCGCAGACGCCTTTCAGCCGCTCGACAATCGCGTCGCTTTCCGTTATTTTTTTTCTTTTTTTTTTTCTTTGTTTTTGTTTTCCGCTGTCGCGCAGCGTAATCGACTTGCCGGCGAGTCCCCCGGCGCGCTCATTCATCGCGCGCCCGATCGAAGCGTCAATCCGGCGCTGGCCGACGAGTCGCGCGCTTAAAGATCCATTTGGCGCGCGCGCGTGCTTTGATGCGTGCAGCGAGGGGTCGACATATGGCTGTTGGCCGTCGAGCGAGCACCGGCTTCGAGAGGGGGGGGGGGGCGCTCGCGATGAACTTGTTGATTGGTTTACTATTGCGCGCCGAGGCCGAGCATTGTGACGCGAACCGGATCGGCGCCCGCGTTGTGTGTTTTTCGGCACGCGCGGCTCGGCCGGGGATCGGAGCTATTATGCGCGTCGACTCGTCGCGTACGCGCGCGCCTCGAGGATCGCCGCGTGGTCCTTTTCTCGCGTTCGGACGATATCGCGCGCCCCGACTGCTCGCAACCGGGCACCTGCTATCCGCGCGCGCTCGGCATAATTAGCTGAGAGGCGCAGCGCCGCGCGGATATTCGGCGCGCATAATGAAGTCTCGGCTGAAAGGGCCGCGCGGAGGAGGGGGGCGGAAGAGCGCGCCCGCGTCATTCAATCGGCGCGCCGGGCACAAAAAGATGCGTGGCGCGCGGATCCGCCTACAAACGTATAAATGAATCGGCCCCGCGCGGATGATGGGAGCGAGCGCAAAAGTCATAGAGCACGTCGGTCCATTGTTGCCGCCAGTATTGGATCGCAATGAGCGAGAGAGAGAGAGAGAGAAGAAAGCGGGCGGGGGAGGGGGGAGTGGCAAGAGAAGGGAAGCCGATGTGCAGGAGGGCGTAAATGGAACGAGCCGGCGCAGCAACATAGAGGGCTTGATTAAAATATTAATTGAGATGGAAATAACGAGGAGGCAGCTTTGTGCCGCCGCGGCTGCGGGGCTGATGAGGTTTCGACATTGTTTCGGCTGGCGCGCGGGCGAGCGATGATTGCCCCCGGCGCGGCGCGCTGACCATGCGATCGTCGATTTGGCCGACGCGTCTTCCGTCGCGGCCTCCCGCTGCGTCTCGTCGCCGGCTCGGGCCACGTCGAGACGCCGCGCTCGCCGCACAAAAGCCCGCGCGCATTAACCTCGTACGTCATGCGCCCCCCCCCTTTGTTTCCTCCGCGAAACAACGAGATGCCGATGCGCGCGCTCCATCGGAAATCAGCGCGCTGCACTCGGGCTTATTAGAAATCAGGCTGCCTGAAAAGGGGATGAGAGAGAGGGACGCATTTGATAACTATCGCATAGCCGGTCCCTGTGTGTGTGTGTCTCTGCTATTTTTCGCGAAAAGCTCGACGACAATGCAGCGCACAGCTGCACGAAAAAAAAAGTAGCGGCGGCGGCGGCGGCGGCGCTCCACATATCTCGTCGTCGCGGCAATTCGCTAAACAAATGCTCTCTCCGGTCTTTGCTTTCGAGGTTTCCGATACGCGACGGCGGGCGGGCGGCGCGTAATGAGCCGCGCGCCGCGACGCGTACGCTCGGGCCCATTGTCTCCCTCGCGTTCGCCGCGCGCACACGCGCGACTCTCGCCTCGGCGTCGTCCCGATTCGCTTCTGCAATTGCGCTAAATCGCCAAGAGTGTAGCGCGCGAGCGGCTGCGCGTCTGTCGCCGATGATGCCTCAAAGGGCGCGTCAAAAGGCGCGGAATAAAGAGCCCCGCGGAGACAGCGTCCGTCCCGTCGGCAGCCCCGGGCTCTGCATCGCTGACAGCCTCTTCGGCGGAGCCGTGCATTAGCTCGCAGCCCGTCCGCGGCGAAGCTCTTGCCGGCCTTTGTGCAGCCCCTTTTTATGCACTTATCGCCCCCGACCCCCCCGCCCCCCGCCTTGTGCCCATCCCGGGCTGCAATATTAAAATCCTTCCTTTTCAGCCGCAATGGAATTGATTGGCGAGGAGCGATACGGCAGAGCAGCCATCTTCCATTCGAACGGGGCTGCCTACCGACGCATATATACGCCAGCCGGGAGGAGGAGAATCCCGAAACAATGAACCGAGAGGGAGCCTATGCAATTGCGGCGCGGATACACAGAGCGAGAGAGAGACAGGCAGAGAAAAACCAGCCGCTGCTCCCGTTCTTTTGTGTCATCGCCGGAATTATTATTTACCTCGTTGCCGACGACGACGACGACGACGACGACTGCGACGGCGAGGCTTTGTCGAAAATTAGCCGCGATGCTAATGGACGAGATACTCGCGGATCTCCGCCTCCGCCTCCTTCTCCCTCTCTCTATCTCTCTCTCTCTCTCTCTCTCTCTGGCGGCTGTGCGCTGCCTTTTGCGCCCTTTGCCAGCGCTCACCGCCGTCTGTCCCCGTGCGCTCGCTCGGGCATCCGATGCGATTTTTTCACTTTTTACTCTCTCTCTTCTAGCGCCGCCACCGCGCCCGATCGGACGACGTGGCCGAGACGTCGCGCGGACAATGGCGCCCGCACGGCCGGACGGGCACGGGGGCCGTTTCTTGCGACCCGTCGATTGTTCGCCCACGTCGAGGATGGGGAGCCGAAAAAAATTGCCGCTTAGGCGCGGCCGAAATTCATCAGCGCGCCGCGAGTCTGCGCCGAACAATGCCCGCATTGTCCGGCTCATCATCGCTGCACGCGCGCGTACGACTCGCGGCTGCTCCGTTTCGCTCGGCGTCCTCGCAAAAACCCGCACGCCGGCCAAAGCCGATTCGCCCCGCGGCCGGGTGTAACGTCGTTGGTCGCCGAACGACGCCTGATTAGGCGGCGCATCACTGCGAGCGGCCATGCGGTCGGCCTCCGCGAGCGAAACAATGGCGCATTGTGCGCGAGATACCGACTCTCTCGCTCGCTCGACTGTGTCTCTGTGCGCGCGCGGATCATCATCAGCGTGATCGAAAAACTTGCCTCTCTTATCTCCCCTCCCGCCGCCCGCGAAAGCACGAGAAACAATTTCCGATAATGCATGCTCGACGCTGCCACGCATCACAAGTGGAATCAATAAAGAGCGCGCGCAAAAAAAAAAAGAAAAAAAAGAGGGAAAAAAATCGGCCGCGTGGAGCATGGCCAAGTCGCTCTTCGTTTTCGCTGGCCGCAAACGAAATCGCGAGTTTTATATCTGTCGGGCGATAAAAGAGAGAGAGAGAGCAAGGCGCGATCGACAATCGGATGTGACCCGCTGCCGTCGCGTCAAAGAGGGCACTTGTCGGCAGGTCTCGCGAGGGATAGCAAAATCAAACGCGCGCTCTCTTCGGGGACCGAACCTCAACTCCCGCGACGTCTCCTTTTCACTCTCTCTCTCTCTCTCTCTCGCTCTTGCTTTTTCTTCCCTCTCATCTCTTTCCAGCCGAATTCGCGCGATATCGGCCGATATCGCGCGCGCGTGCGGTCACTTCAACGAGCGCTGCGAAAATTTTTTTTTTTCCTCCGCGTTCGGCGTAACTTCAATTCGAAAAATGTACTCCACGCCGCGTAGCATAATATTTCGAGTTTCATGCGCTAACGTAGAGTTATCGCGGCGCATTGGAAACAAATTCATCTGAAAAGGAAATTTTAAATGGATATGAAAAAGTACCTTTCGCGCTGAATGGGATTACGACATGACAAAAGTGCAGAAAGATATATATATATATATATATATATATATATATATATATATATATATATATATATATATATATAGCAAAGAGAGAAAGAGCGAGAGAGAAAGAGCAGAGGAAAAAAAAAGAACACGGAGAGAAAAGCCTCGTCACGGCTATATTCTTTAAGGTCTTCATGCAATTTTTTCGGAAAAGATATCTCATCACGTAATGCAGTTCAGCCGCCGACTTTCTCCTTTTCCGCGCCTGCCTCGCTCGCGCAAAGAGCACGAGAATGAGAGAGAGAGAGAGAGAGAAAGAAAAAAGCAGAAGGGGTATTTTAACTCTCGCCGCCAAATTTTTTAATCTCCTTCCCGCTGCAAAAACTGTTTTTTTTGCGGCTACGTGCGCACGCACAATGGCTAATGCGCGTAGCCTTCCGATCCCGCGGAAAAAGAAATGCATTCTCGGCGTATCGCGTCTGCCCTCGCACAATGCGTTCGCCGCCACGCAGCCATTCGTCGGCAAAAAAAAAAAAAAAAAGAAGAAAAAAAGAAAAAAAGAAAAAAAGAAAAGACCGAAAAAGGAATTAATTGACGCGGAAACGCGGGCGGCGTAGGTGTGCGCGCGTGCCGCTGGCACAATCGAGTCAAGACGCAAAGAGCTGCAAAGTGAACTAACTCGTAACGTAATCTCTTAATGGGGCCAGCGAGCCGGCTCGCTCGCGCGCACGCGTGCGACCCCCTTTTTTTGCCGAGCCAACCCCTCGCTCGCCTCTGCCATATTAATACGGGAGCCCCGCGGTCGGCGCGCGCCCCGGCGCGTTTTAATCTGCTTTTGATTAATGCCTGCCCTCTTTGGCCATCCCGCGATCTCGATCAACAGATTGCCCCTGCGCGCCGAGTGATTAATCCGGAAGACAATGACGATCGCTCCGTTTCCGATGCTTTCTTTTCTCTTTCTCTTTATTCGTACAAAAGCTTACAGGATCGGCTGGCCCCTGCGGGCCGTGACAATTACCAAAAATAAAGAGAGATCGAGCGGCGTTTCACTTGAGGTACTTCTCGATCACGTTCTCGACGAACCATGCGTCGGTAAACTGCAGATGGTTGCCCTCCACTGATAAGAAGTGCAGCTTGTTATCCTCGTCCATCTCTCTCAGACCCAGTCGATCCTGCGGCAAAAAGCAGACTCGATGCAGAAGGGTGGCGAAGCCTCGACGACGAGCTCGCCTTACCTCCTTGTAAATGGCCGACTCCCGCAGGCTCTCGGTCTCCACGGCCTGCCCGGGCTTGTAGAAGCCGAACCACTCGGACTCCCTCGGCTCGACCATCGTGTCGTTCTCGAATTTCACCAGCACCAGCTTCTCCAGGCGCTTCAGATTCCGCTTGTAAGTCTGCGGCCCGGGCGGCGACACCAAAGGTCGCGAGATTCATTATTTCTTTCGTTTTTTCCGCTTTCGCTTTTATCTAATCACCGCGGCGATAAGCGTGTTTACCTCGTTGATACGTAGCTCGTTGTTGATATCGGCCAAGAAGATGCTCCTCCTCTTGTAATCGTCCTCCTTCATTGGATCGTGCCAGTATTCCGCTTGGACGAGCTTGTCTTGGATAAACCTGCAATTTCGAAAATTAGCGGCAAGCTCTCGGTCGACTCGCCTTCCCCCTTCGCCCCGCGCGTACTTGAAGTAGGCCGCGTAGTGCAGCACTTGGCGCAGATGGTTGCACAGATAGTGCTCGAGCGAGGCGCAGTTGGGCAGCCCGTAAACGCCTTGATGTTGCGCGCCCAGCGTTATCAGCTTCAGCATCGGCGGCTCCGGGCATCGCTGGGCCACCGCTCTCCTGCAGTTTGCAAAACGAAACGCGGTGAGATCGAGCCGACAAGCGTGCGCTCCTCGCGAAAAGGAAAGTCGGCCGTACAAAAATTGCCCTCCTTGAGAGAATCCAATGGCGTTGTATCCGTGCCTCATAGTCTCGTCCTGGGCCAGCTCCTCGCACACCTGACGCACTTGCTCGTTAACGTTTCTGAAGTAGCTGTTCTCCACGTCCTGCGCTGCCAACAAACACTCCTGTAATCGTCGCGTGCGAATTTTCGCTCCGAGCGAGCGCCGCGGCGATGACGAACCTGCGCAAGACTATCGCCAATTTTCACGGACTTGACGCGAACGCCCGGGATCCGCTCCTCCAGGATCGCTTTGATCTGGCCGAGGCTGAAGGGGAAGCAGCAGCTGTCGCCTGCGTTGCATTACAATTGTGTTTACCAACCGCGCGCTCGCGTTCGAATGGCCATAGCGCATTTCGCGCGGCGTTTCGAATGCTCGCGAATGCCCGTTTGCGTATACAATCTTTTTTTCACTTCAGCGGAGCGTTTCATTTTAACCTGCAGTGACTCACCCATCCCGTGCCAAAGTACCACCGGAGTGGCAGTCGACGAGCTATCCGGTTTGCCAGTGATTTTCGCCTGACAGCGACTGGCGATCAGCATAAGATAGATTAGCTGCAGCAGCCGATGGAACCTCGACATTTTTATATCGAGTTTACGTTCGCGCGACATCAACAAAGTTACGGCAATGACTAGACTACGCTGTTACGTTTATAGCGTGTGTAAACACTTGTTAGCCGAGACTGTTTTCGCGAGCGAAGAGACGCCTGCGGTGTAGCTGACAACTATATGTACGAAGCTTCCAGTGGCCGTCAGTCGGCAAGGTAGAATGTGGTTGGCAAGATGAAATGATAAGACAGTCGGTTTGTTATTACAATATAAATATAAGATACTCAATTCGTTTTATTAGCAAAAATAAAAATACAGCACGTCGAGTTGTCTGTCCTCTCGTAGAAACAGAGAGCGAGACGCAGAGTCGATAGTTGGACGGAGCGTGTTTCCGCGATTTACCTAGAAACTACACGACACGCGAACGAAGCGTGGGATCTGTCCGCCTCGTCCGCGTTGTTCGCTCCCCCCCTCCCCGCCCCACTAAGACACAATTGTACTGCGCGGAAGATTAGCCCGCGGAGAAACGATCAACAATGTCGCGCGCGCGTTCGGCGCTCGATTGCCGGACGCGACGCGACGCGGGACTGCGCTCCGTCGCGTCGTCTTTCGCTCGGAAGCGCGCTCTTGACAATGACAATGGGCACGGGACAATTTGCGCGTGTTACGCTCGCGTCGCCGGTCGCGCACGCCCGCGCTATCCAGCCGAGCGCCGTGGTATGCGCGACGGAGCGCCTGCATCGAACAAAGCCGGTCCGACGCCTCGCGGTTCCGGCTGTCGGCCGGTCAGCGCCGAGCCGAGTCTACCGTCGTCGCGTCGCCGCGAAAGCTATTCGGCACTCGTGTCCCTTTCCCCTCGCCTTGTTCAATCTAAATCTTCGTCGTCGATCGGCCAAGTTCGAAATTTCAAAGTCGACTCTCTGGACTAGCATTGAAACGGCGAACAATCGCTATAAAAAGTATTTACATGGTCTATCCTTTCTTTTTTTCGAGGCGTCGCCTTGTCAGCTCGGCGAGGGAAAGAGGCGGAGAAACGAATATAAAGTCAATTCAGTCTTTGCACAAGGATCGCTCCTCGATCGAACTTTGCATCAGTTAAGTACTAAAGTGGGAGGGAGAGAGAGAGAGCGAGAGAGAAAGAGAGAGCGACAGTGGAAAGCTGGATAGGTCGCAGGCCAGGTATCACCAAGGCGTGGGGGCCGTGTGGTGGTGTATCGATTGCTTCTGCAGCCTGAGATTGTTGAGGAAGCGATCCTTCTTCGAACGCGTGAAGTGTCCACGGCCGAGAGTCAGCCGGAAGTCCTGCTCCTGCTCGGCGGTCATCGCCAGCTTGGACGGCTGTCTGCCGATCTCCTCGTTGCTGGCGGTGGCACTCACCCGCAGCTCCGTCTCCGAGTCCGACTCTGAAACGCAGTCAGGCCTTTGTATTTTTACCGCGCGCCTCGCGTCATTTGCCATCGCTAATTGCTCCTCTTATCGCCGCCTTCGCCGGCGGCGGCGGCGTCAAATTGCGCAAGCCATCGTCGTCGATGCTAATCGAGCGTGTTATATCATCAGATTAGCCAAAGCCAATCGGCCGCTCGCAGACGAAGACTGGCGCTCAAGGACGCCGTCGACTGCGCGAGGAGCCGCGGGTTCGCGGGTTCGCGGGTTCGCGTCTCACCGGAGTCGGAGTTGGAGTCGGAGGAGCAGCCGGACGACGAGGTGCCGTGCCAGTGCGCGGCGAGGGGGCTGGGGGTGGAGGTGACGATCACGGCGTTCTTCGTTTTGGTGCGAATGACGAGTGCCCCGTCGAAGCTCGACGGCCTCGTCTTGAAGCGGATCTGGCGCGCCCGCCGGCTGCGGTTCTGCTGGTGGAGCGAGTGGATGCTGCACTCCGACGACCTGCAAGCAACGCCGAGCGTGTCAGCCGACAACAGCAGGGAGACAACAACAGACCATCGAGCGAGCGACTCACCTGGCGCTGTACCGCGGCAGCGAGTTGGACTTGACAGCGAGGATCCGGCACTCGACGGTGCCGGGCGTCAGCGACGGCTCCTGCGCGGACAGCTCCAGTTTGGTGGCGAGCGTCGACTGCAGCTGCTGCTGCTGCTGCGCCGCAGCCGACTCGGCCGCCGGCAACAGCTCCGCCGAGGCGCCGCTCGACGTGGGCACGTCCTCGATGCGACTGCGAAAGAAGGCGCGCCGTGAGACACTTGGCGGCGAGCACATGGGAGCGGGACGCAGTGTCGCGGCGAGCGTAGCCGAGTGCGCGCGCACCGCGCGGGGTCGAGCGCGCGGCGAAAGGCTCGCTCGGTGCACGCGCACCGAGCGCCCAGCGATGCAGCGCGCCGGCCAGCCCGCCCTGCAGCCCGCCGCCGCATCGCTCGATGCAGGCTGATCGGGCGTCGGCGCCGCGCGCGCGATCGATGTCGCCCCGGCGCCGCGGCAGGTCGATCGCGCGAGCTCGATCCCGCGAGCGGCCGAGCGAGCGAAAGAAGAGCCGAGGAAGGAAAGGGGGGAAAAAAAAAAACAAAAGGAGAGTGCGTCTCCGCGCGCGCCGAGAGTGAAAGTGGCACGGCGCGGCGGCGAGTGCGCGTGCACCCGGCCGCGAGCGGCGTTCCCGCGGGGCGTTTTCCCCGAGAGTCTGCCGCGAGGTCCGCGGGGCCTCGCGCGCCCGTGTCGATGGATGGCTGAGCCGCGGCGCGAAAGACCAGCTCCGACGACGACGGCGCTGTCGCGAGCGACGACTCCGACGTACTTGTTGCTCGGCAATCGACAGCGCTAATTGCTCGCGAGCGAGTCGAAACAACAGCCGAGGATCGCCGTGGCGGTACGCGGCTTTCGGCCAGTCCTTCTCGCTCCTTTTGCGCGACCTTATTGCAGCGCGCGCGCGCGACGAGTTCAGGAGACTCTCTCACCTTCGGACACGCGACTCGTACGCGCGTTTTTCTCCCCCCACGATCGCTGTTTCGCTTTTCGCGAGATTGAATTGTCAGCATATTTTCGATGTTGTCGATCGAGCGAACGGCGAGCGAGCGCGCGGGAGGATTGCTGAGCGCTGGATTCTCGGATATTTTTTTCCTTTTTGCGATGAGATATCCGAGTCGTATGATTATTTGATCGCTCGGTCGCGAATTGAATCCTGCTGACCTCGCGGATTCTCGGAATGCCAGCGACGCGGCTTTCTCCCGGTAGACTAGCGTTGGCTCGACTCGAGCGGACGAGAAGCGTGAAAAAGTGGCGATCATCAGTACCTATACTTGGGATCGAAGAGCTTCTGGCAGATGTAGGCGATCCTGACTGCCGTGGGGGCGAGCGCCGAGTAGACGATGCCCATGTCTGCGCACACGCGAGCACTGAACAGAAAGGCACTGGATGCAGAAAGACGCAGTCCCACCGAATTCGCGAAGCGCGGCTTGATTCTGCCGCTGTGCGCTCGCTACTGCCGTCCGTCGCCGTCACCGCCGCAGTAGTTGTGTAGGCTTGGCAGTTCTCTCTCTCTCTCTCTCTCTCTCTCTCTCTCTCTCTCTCTCTTTCTATCGCGTACTCGCGGCCACAGCCCCCACCACTCGGACCACGTGTAACCACGGCTCGGTGCACGCGCACTCAGCGCTCTCGCATACCTGTATACGGTCGACCAAGCAACACACTACCTGATGCTCTTTTTTTTCTCTCTGTTTTTTTCGCCGAATAAATATATATTCGAGGCTCGCTCGCCCGCTGATCGCCGTGACGTCGATGTCAAAAACATCAATAGTGGTTTCTCGCAGGAGTCGCTCGCCGATCAGCTGCGCCCTATACAGCCGCGAAGATGCAAAGCGACGAGCGTCGAGCGGGGAAAAAATAGCTGTCCACGCGCTAGCGCTTTACATAAGCTGCTCCTCGTTATTCATACGCGCGTCTCGAAACAAAGGCAAGCGCGCTCGCGATGCGCAACGCGATGCGGAAAATGGAACGCGGGCGCGCGCGCGAGTGGAAAAAAAAAAGGAGAGCGCAAAGTGTCTCGCGGCTCCGCGCTCGCGAAACTCGACGATCGCGAAGCGATCAAGCTGGACGCGGCGAGCGCTCCGGAAGGGCGGCCAAGGAGAGAAAAAAAACAAACAAACAAGGCACGCCGAGGCGCGCGGATATAAATAATCGCGGAGTTTCGCCAGCGCGCCGAGAGTCGTGGGGGCGGTCCGCGCGCCAAGTCGCGGAGGGGGATCCAGCGTGCAGCGGGTGTATTTTCGCGCGTGGGCCAGCGCCGCCGATCGGACCGACGGGGCACGCGCGCGATCGCTCCGTTGGGAAATCGCTCGGCACGGCGAGCGGCCCGCGCGCGCTATTTTCGGCGATGCGTCGCCGTCGCGGCGATGCAGGAAGCGATTGTCGCTCATCGATCGCGGCTTATCCTTATCCGGCCGTTTCCGAGGCTGGATCTCTCTTCCCGATCATCGTTATTATTAGCCTCGTGAGTCGCCGCGTCACGCGAATGATAAGCGGCCCGAAGCCGTCGAATCATCGTGCAACTGCGCGCGAGGTTTCTTCGTCTCGCGCGGAACCCTCGAACCAGGCTGGACTCGCGGCGGCTGAGCATTGGGCGAGATTCCGCCGACGCGCTCGCGAGTCGGAGCCGTCGCAGCCGACTCGGCGTGGCGTGCTTGGGCACAGTTCGCGAGGGCGCTCGTCGATCGCACGGACACGGTCGAGTGAAAGCTTGGCGCCACGCCCGCGCGGCGAAAGCTCATGTGGCGACGAACGCCGATCCGATCACCGTCACCGGGCGAGTCGATAACGCAGTCGCGTTCGGCCCGCAGAACCGCTGCCTTATCTTGAGTCGGTAAGGCGGTCGCCGTTGGGCTGATGCTTTCCCGGCGAACCGCGCGGCGGCGCTTCGCGCGCCACAACAGCTCGAGCTTGCGCGCGATACGCCAAGCCGAGCGTGGAGCGGTGCTTCACGCCGAGGCGACTGATTGTTGTGCCGAGCGTTTGATGACAATTGGTCGAGATAAACATCTAATGTGCGTATCTTCTAGCTTGTCGATATTCCAAAGTTAAGGAAGTCATCGAATTACGCAGATTGATGACTTGATGGCAAACAACTTACCGAGACGCGCAAGTGTTGATCTTTCTTGTTTGAGATTTTGCGATTAAAGAACAAAAAAAACACGACTCTCAGTGTTTGACGTGTAATATATATCGTACACACAGCAGCATTAAATATTAGCAGTGCCAATGAAAATATCCTACTGCATTTCGTCGTGATTGGTAGGGAAATGAAAGGGAATCGATGAGAATGTATTTCAATAAAAATAGACATTACGTTTATTCATAAAAATAGCCTTAGGAACTAAGATACTTCGGAGACAGAAGTACGCGGCAATAAGATCCTAGAGAACGCGCACGTGACACGAAGGTACAAAGAGCAGAGGCGTCTTCGGCGCCCAACGATCAACAATTCGGTTCGAGCGGCGAGACCTATATCTCACGAGGCGAGCGTCTCGCCGGGGCGCCTTGTCCCCTGAACTGGCGTTCGGAATACTCAGAAGGTTTCTTTGTTTTTCATTAGAGAGAGAGAGAGCGACGGTGAGCGGGAAGGGGAGGGGGTCGCTAGCAGTAGAGGCCGTTGCCCTGTCTCTCGATGACGTGCTCGCGGACGAACTGGATGGCCCTGTCGTTGAGGCCCAGGCCGGCCACCTCGCGGTCGTACTCGTCCACGGCGACCACGCCGGCCAGGTAGCCGTTGAGCTTGGCCGCCAACGTCGAGGTGCGCAGCTGCTCGCTGCTCTTCACCCCGATCGCCTCCAGCAGCCAGGGGTGGGCCTGCAGCCGGTACTTCTGGTGGTAGCTGAAATCAGCGGCGCGCGCTAGGTTACTACACGGCGATCGCCCGTCGCGCGCGTTACCACTGGCTGCGACTGGAGAGTCCGGCCGCGCGCCGCGCTCTGCTCCGGCCTCATCCGACAGAGCGCGTCCGCCGCGCGACATCCGGGAGCGAGCGCTCGCCGAATAATCCCGCGGCCGGCGGGCCGATGGTAACGCGAGCGGCGCGCATCCACTTTATTGTTATTGGCTCAGATGCGCGGCGACGGCGGTGGCGGCGGCTGATCAAACACGCGCTCGATCAGCCGTGAGCCGCGTGATCCGAAGCGACGGCCTTTGTGCGTTTTCGGCACGAGTCGCTGTTTTCTTGTTTTTTTTTTGTCTTTTTTCTCTTTTTTTCCCTCTTTTTTTTTTTTTTCATTCTGCGCCGCGACGCCGATACTCACTCCTCGGCCGGGTAGAACCGCTGGAACTGGTGGATCTCGGTGACGAAGCGCTCGTTCTTCTCGCGCTGCAGCCGCTCGCGCGACCTCTCGGCGACGAGCCTCTGCTCCTCGTCGTGGTACAGGATCAGCGACATGTACTGCAACATCGGAGGTAAGGGGTCGATTACGCGCGAGCTCCGCACTACGGTCGGCGCGCGCGCGCGCGCGCTCCCGACGTTTGCGTCGCCGCTCGACGGAATGGCGCGCGCTTGCGAACGGCCGAACTCGCGCCTCGCTTATCGGGTCGCGCGACTCCTTTCCTTTCGCTCGTCGCTTTGTTCTCGCCCGATAAGCCGATTCGCGCGAGGAAAATTTACTCTCTCGCGCGTATCGCGATCCGATAATCCGACGCTGCCGACGAACGGCACGTGAGTCGTATGCTCGAACGAACGTCGCGGGAGTGTTCACCTGTCTCTTGATGAGGCTCGTCAGTCCGTACTCGTGATTGTTCCAGAACAGATCCAGCAGCTGCGAGTAGGAGATCTTGGCGGGGTTGTACTCGATGTCGATGACCTCCGTGTGATCGCCCCTGCACAGCGAAACGGCACTTGCGTCAATATCGCGAAACGGGCTCTGGCAGAGCGCCGCGCAACGGGCAATTTCTGAGAAAGGAAAGCCGAGGAAGAGTCGACGGCAGTACGTACAGGTTCTTGTAGGCGGGATTCTCCTTGGTGCCGCCGGCGTAGCCCACGCTGGTGCGGAACACGCCGGGGGTGGCACCGAACAGCGAGTCGCCCGCCCAGAAGCAGCCCATGCCGAAGGTGGCGCGCCTGCTCTTCACCTCCTCGAGTTGGCTCGGCATCGTGACGGCGGTGCGTGGGGCCGCTCTGCGACGACGGACGGCGGACGGTGCGGCGAGAGAGTGGCAAGTGTGCGAGGCGCTCGTCGGTGCCCGAAGATCCGCGCCGCGGTGAGCCTCTGCTCCGAGCGAACTGGCGCGAGTTACTGATCCAGCGCTATCGGCATACTCCACTTTTTAAAGCGGCCGCCTCCCGCGGACCTCCCCACCCGACCGCCGCCGTCGCCGCCGCGTCGCTCGAGTTCGTTAGCTCGCGGAGTCCCCCCCCCCCCCCCCCCCCCTCGGTCGCGCTTGCAATTTCGCCTCCGATCGCGTGCCGCGGTGGCCGCCTTCGAGCCGCGGCCCTTCCACGTCGGGGATGGAGGCCCGATCGCGGTCGGTCGATCGGCGACGAGCGCCGCGACGCACTGGATCCCGTTGCTCGCGGGCACGCGCGCGCTTCCTCTTTCCCTCTCGCTCGGCTCCTTTCCCTCGGCCTCTCGCCCAAGTTGCCGAGCGGCCAGCTCTCGCGTGGTCGAGATAGCGGTGGACTCGCGACGATCGATCGGGCCGCGCTGCCGTCGACCTCTCCGTTCGCCGCGCGGCTCCGGCGGACGACCCTCGCAAGCTCGACGCGACGGGCGCAAGCAGCGCGCCTGCCGCGGGCACCCCGATCGGGCGTTCTTTCGGCGCGGGATTTCCGAGCGCGCCGTCGGCACTTTATCGGCCTTGCTCGTATTTCGTCGACGAGGGGGAAGGGAGGCGGGGGGGGGGGGGGGCTCTTTCACATTTTCCGACTTAATTTACCAGCGTTATTTAGAGCTGATATCGTTTGCATTCTATTCGTGGCCTTTGGCTGTCGTTTGTTGTTGCGCCGAACGACTAATTTACTCAAGTGCCAAGTGCGCATCGCGAATACGACGTTTGGGAGGAGCCAGCAGAAGCGTCGCGGCGTGGACTTGACGATTCCGGGGCGCTCGCTGGCATTGCCCGACGATCTCGAGGGAAACAAACGGAAAAGCGGCGAGCAACTTTTGATCGCGATATTGGGAATCAGGAAAATTTTCGGAGCACGGGCCAGAAGGAATTTTTCAAAAATAACGAAAACTGCGCCCGCAATCAACCCCGAAATTCTAATGATTATAAAGCCGAGAATAGTAGAGGCTGGCGCGCAGCAGCTCGGGCCGTATCGGCGCGTCGGTGTGCCACTACTCCGGCGCGTGTGTGCTCCCGGCGGCGGCAGGCCTCGGCGCACGCGATCCGTCGCGCCGCTGAGCGCGGCCCCGCGCCGCCTCGCCGCCCCCGTCGGATTATTGAATGAAAGTCGCGGAGCCGGCGGCTGACAGCTCGCCGACGAGCGTCCGCGGGCCCGTGGGGCCGCGCGCCGGCGAAGGGCTCGGCGGAACGACGAAATTCGGCGGAGCTACGGGGCCGCGAAGTCGCGCCGGCGGGGGGGGGGGGGGCAGGGAGGGACGAGCGAGCGCCGGCAGGCGGGCTGCGCCTCCACGCCGCTCTTTGGCCCGAAGCTGCATGCCGCGCTCGCGCCCTTGAATTCTCATTGGTGTGTAGCACGCGCGGCCAACGAGGAAAGTCGTCGGTTGCTCCGGCAGCCGACGATTATTCACGCGCGGCTTGCAAAACGCGCGGCGGCGGGCGTCCAACTCGAGTTTCCAAAAGGAGCGAGAATTGAGAAATAAACGACGAATGGACAAAGAGTCGCGGGGCGTCGTCGAGCCTCTCGCGGCCGGCCGCTGCGCTGACTCGGCTACCTCGCTCGCCCGCCGGGGGTATCGGCGAAGGGCAGCCTGGAAGCCGCGGGCCGAAGGGCCGGAAGCGCGACTCGGCGGGACGATTCCGGGATATTCGGGGAGGGGTAAATTCGGGGAGTCCGGGGCGCGGGGGCGCTTTCGAAAATAGGCGTAATCCAGGGCGCCACAGGGCTCGGCGTTCCCGGAGTATTTAAAGGCCTCGCGAGAGCCGTGCTGCCGCGCGTCGTTTATCTGCCGTCCACATAGTTGGCGGTGCGTCTAGCCAGCTGTGCGGCAATTACGCGTGCCGAGCGCAAACAGCGCGGGCGCTCGTGCTGCGCACATGCGATCTTTTCCTCCGACGATCGATCGATACGATTATCGTTATCTCTCTGTGCCTCTCGCTCGTTCTCGCCAAACGTACATGCCCATCCGCGTGAATTAATCGCGCGCAAGCCAACGTTGACTCATCAAAATACATTAAATCATCGCGTTGCCCCCGACGAGTGTGTGTACCTCTTATCGATTTATCGACTAGAAAGCCTTGAGTGGTAGCCGCACGCTGGGTACAGCGACATCTCGCAACACCTCGGTCCCGAGCGGACTCGTTAACAACAACGACCAGCCGACGTTGGCGATCTTTCTCGTCTTTCGCTCGTGTCCCGGCAACCGGTGTCGCGAATCGGCGCCGGTACGCGGGACGTCCCGCAGGCCCGTCCGCCATTGCCGCTCGCGCGGGCTCGCGAGGGCTCGCGAGCACGTGGCCGCGGCGGATAAGGCTTATCTCGCGTGTGTGCAATCGGCGGAGCGACGGACCGGCCGCTCGACGCGCTTCCTCGCCCCCTCGGCAGCCAGCCGCGCTTTCCCTTTTCCCGCGTGCCTCGCGATTGCGCAACCGCCTGGCATTGACGCTCGAGTAACTCGCGCGTAAGCACTATTTATACTCGGCGAGCGGCCAGGACTGCGAATCGATCGCCCGCGCGGGATAGCGCGCGAGCAAAAGGGGGATCTCGCCGAAAGAAAGAAAGAAAAAAGGAAGAAACGAGCGCGCGCCGCTTACTCGCGAGGCGCTGCGACGCCGCGCGGCGTTATTTTCGGAAGAGCGCCTTGAGCAGCGCGAGAGCGAGCGCCGCTTCTAGGTCAATGGCGCCGCGCACTCGCAGCGCCGGTGACGCAACTCGCCTTCATCCTTCGGCTCCGCGAACGCGACGGCTCGCGCTGGGAGAGAGAGAAAATAATCAAAGGCAGCCGAGTGTGCGTTCAATACAAATGCCGTTTATTTCGATAGATACAGTAACTACAAAGTAAGGCTGTTGACAAGCGCACTTCGATGATTCCGGTGACGAACAACGGAACGAGCTTGTCGCCAAAGTTTCATCGCTCGTCGTTCATCAAACGTGGCCAAGTACAATTATCGTTCTTTTCATGCAAAACACACGGTGCGTTGCGTCTGTCGCCTCATGCTCTCCCTCTCTCTCTCTCTCTCTCTCTCATTCTCTCTCGATCGCGAGTCACTTCGCGATCCAAAATGGCAAGCTTCCATGGCATTCCGTCGTTGGGAATTGCGCAGCGCCACGACGAACAGACAAGACGCCGACGAAATCCTTTCTTCTTCCCATTCATACCAGGTGCGCAAACAATCAACGACTCGCAACGTCGCTCCTTACATATATTATATTATATATATTACTCGGCTGTTACGTTCGTCAAGCTCGCTTAAGCATAACTCACACTTTCATGAGAGAAATAAATAATAAAAACGCGACGAACAGTCGCGTAAGAAAGTCATATTTATACAGAATACATTTGTACAAAATCTTATAGATGCCTGCTGTCCGTCTCAATTTGTTCGTTACGCGCGTTCATAGTGCTTCTTGTTTCAAATTCGTTGTCGTGATTACTTCGCCTTTGTACGTTAAAATATATTTACATGTATGTGTGTGTGGAAAAACATTTTATTGTAGCTTCTGTGGCTTTCTCTAGATGTTTAATTGCACAAAAATCGCGTCACGAAAAATATCTAATTGTTGTAAAAAACACTCGTTATCACAACTCCAAAGACCACTGTTCACAACGCAAAGACATATCAACATTTTTTTTGATAAATGAAAAAACTTATTTTCTGTACCTAAATATAGCATACATAAATTATCTAAATTTTATAGATTACAATGTTGTATTTAAAAAAAAAAACAATATAAATTTTTCATCTCCGACGCCAAGTGCAGCGATGCACATTGCAAATTGTTATTCCTTAGAAGCAATATTATAATAAAATATAAATAAATGATACTTATCAGATAGCCACTTAATCTTATTGTTCAATAATCAACTAAATTATACAAAGTTGGCGTTTAAATAATAAAAAAATCTCAATATATTTTATATTTTTTACAACGATATTTTCTTTAATACTCAACTTAAAGGTTTTTTCTCTTCTTTTTCTTAATTTTTTTTCTTATATTAAAGAGGATTTCTCCTAGTCTCTACTATTATATATATAGCTTCTTCTTTCGCTAATCCGTGCAATATAAAGTACTTCTGATATTTATAAATATTTAACAAAAATATATAATAAGACATTATGTACAATAGACAGAGAAATATACGTAAAAAATTAGGATACACCGTTATAGTTTCTAATTCAACTTCTAATCGGACGGTGTGTTCAATAAAAGTATGTGTACATGAGTTTGCATATAAAGCTCGTGCCATTAAATAAGTGTTGTTTTTCTCTCTAAGCTTCTCTTTGTTTCTAGATCATCTTTTTTCATTCTCTAGCTGAATGCAAGGGAAGAAAAAGATTCCATCTGTCATCTACTTGATTTTAGTTTTTGTTCTGGTACGTTGCTAATTGACGTGTGTAAATACATAAGCTCGTTTATAGCGCGTTAGTCTTTTCGTTCTCAATAATTGGCTCGACTTCTGTTACGTAGGATTTGAATCAAAGTCAATGTATGATCTTTTGACAAACGCGTCGACGAGTTCCTTCGAAGTTCTTTGTCGTTGTAAAAGTCGGTCACTTATCGATTTTAAATAACAGTTTAACTTTTTTAAAAAAATTATATTTATTTTTTTTTTTCTTATAAAACTGTACAATGTTTTATGAACTTTGTAACAAGAATCAATCTAACACGTGCACGGACGAATTAGTGAGAAAAATGGAGAAATAGAAAAATATGACATTCGAATGGAAGTGGGAACTCGTCAATAGTGTCAATTCTAATGACTAGCTTAACATATTATGCGTACATGCATTATATTGTTACATTGATTATTCAAAAACTTGTTAGTATTATGAATTTAGCATACGAAAACAACTTTTGTATTGAAAGTGTATCGGCTTCTCCGAGATTGAAAAAAGACAACCTGCTTCTTGATTTATCTTATATCTAAATTTAACTTTCGTCATAAACTGATACAAAAGTCGCGATTTGTACATAATTTTGTGATTTCTTACGCAACAACATTGAGATTGAAACTATTTTTATCTGGATACAATCAATGACAGATTGTACAGCGATTACCTTAAAGTTTCTTTCATGCTCTCATTTTCAAAGTCTTATGAATTTTATTCACTATGTCTATAGAGAAACTGAGCACGATTGACCATACACGAATATTTTACACAGTAGGTTATCGCTGGTAAAACATAAAGCAAAATATTGTTACAGAAGTGTGATGTGAACAAATTGTGTGAATACTTATAAAAAATCTCATTGTCTATTTTTCAATTGATAACGAATAATTTATACAATTTCCGTGACGCATTGATTATAGCAAACGTATAAAAGATCTTTTAATGAATAATCCAAGAGACAAAGTAGGCTAATCATGTCGTATTATTGAATTAAAAGTAACGCAGTACATTCAGCCAATTCACAATTGATTCACATCAGTATGTCTTTAGAAACTTAACGAATTATCATCAACTGATGCACATTCGTACAATTAGGAGCGTCGAAAATTGATGACGAAATCAAGGTCTGCATTTAAAAGGTTAGATTTTCGAAATCAGTTGTAATTCATCTCCAAAGCTAATTAAATAAATAAATCATTCAAGTAAACTATCAACTACATAGTTTTAAAGATGAATTGTAACCACTTCGACAAAGTAATCAGAGTCGGTATAAGTAAGGTTCATATAATCTAGCACCAGTATATTTTGATTCACTTGGAATACCACATAATACCATTTAAACTTCTCGCGATCATCATAATTGTATGTAATTTTTTCAAGATTGAAGTATTTACGAATCAGAATTTCATTTTAATGCTTCCAAAATATTAACAATAGAACAGTGTTTAATTCAATTGATAATTAATTTTTCTTAATAATGATTTTAAATGTTACTTATTTTAAAAAATCATTTACAATCATGATGTTAAGGTATAATTATTACTACACACTCTTAACGCGTTAGTGCTACATTTTGTACAAAGTCGAAAAATTATTATATACATTGCATTCCCATGACAAGAACTGTCAACTCGATAACCATATTAAAAATACGCTTTTTACAATATTCTTCTAAACATTCATATAATAGACACTCATGAACAAAATGAAACAGCTCTTATCACGGAAACATGTTGTAACAGAAATTAAAGTTGCCAACCAAACCTTATTAGAATCCTAGGTAGAAAATAGAGAAAAAAAAAAAGAAAAAATAATAATCCGACGTTCGTTAAAAGTATTAGAGATTAACACGAATCTGCTGATTCACCCAAAATGTTTACAAGGTGTCTTAGAAAGACGAGTCTTCTGGCTAGCAACTCTAGTACACACAATGACAAGGAGAAAAGTCGAAAAGTGCCCAGCTTCTCAAGCTCATTAATTCAAAGGAAGCATTAGTGTACTGCTCGAGGTACGACCGCTACCTTACTGTATTGTTCTTCGGTCGAACTGCTCTGCGCGGCAAATCGACTGGCTGGCACTGGCTTTTGCTGTTCAGGTAACGTCACATAACCCGACGTCGTTTTCGTCAGTTGCTGTGGCTGCGCGTACTCCGACGGAGATTTTGCCGAGTCGTTTGGCGGCTGCCAGCAAACCGTGAACGTTGACGCTGGTAAGCTGGACGTACTCGACAGCGTGTCATCATTCATTTCAAGATCCAGTGATGGATACAAACTATATTTAAAAAAGATCATCAGTTTACCCTCGCACTTTTAATTTCATCGAGTCGTATAAATCAAAGAACTTACCAAGTCTGTTCGTTATCAGTTTCATCAGCAGAAGAGGATGTCTCGAATTCCGGATGCAACATGGGCATCGCCAATTGAGAAACATCGTTGTTCTTGGTATCGAGCAGCAAGCCAACTGCCGTGTAGCCCGCGTTCGACTTTGTTTCCATCAGCTTGGTTGTTGAAGCACTTGGCAGAATATTAGCTGTAGGCTTGCTTGCGACGAGTTCGGGAATAGCTCCGACCGTCACGTAGGGTTTCGTGTCGGACATCTGATTAGGACTAAGTTTACTGGCGAGATCCTCGGCAAGGGTAGTCTGAACGAAAAAGTTAGGCGTTGGCTGTGCTTTCTGCCTCGCGTCAAATGGAGACTTCTTCGACTCGAGCATTGCTGCTTGAACATACGGCCTCGAAAGCTTCTCCGGTTCTAGATGCTTATTCGTTGTGTCGAACTTTAAATCGTCGAAGACTTGTAAAGAGTCCAAGGCGCGTTTGGTGAGTTGATCTTTCGGTGTTTGCTTGAGCAAATCAATGCTCACGTAAGGGTTTTTTTTACTTTCTAGCTCAGTCTTTGTCAGAGTGTTGCACGTTTTTTCCTCAGACTTGCAACGCAGAGATGACTTCGAGGGTAAACCAACTACACTGTAGCTACCTACGACTGAAGTTTTGCTAGGAACTGGACTCGAGTTGCACGACATCTCCTCGGATGAAGGCATGCTTATATAACCTACAACCATCAAAATTCATTACGATACAGCTCGTGCTAACTCTATCTCTAAATTTCACAATTTTTTACATACCCGTCGACGACCAGGTTTGCGGTGAAGCATTGTATCCTAAATTATCGCTTAGATTAGGCGTAGACCTAGCTAGAGAAAGCGAATCTGCGACTTGGGTTGATGGCATAACGAGGTCACTGGAACCTTTAGCCACTTTCACGTATGGATCCCATCTGGTAGTCGTATCGGAACTGAACTTTGATCCAGCTACGTTTCGTTGACGTAGACTCGACGATTCCCAAGCAGGCGAGGAAGTTGAATTTGTTGTGGCATCAATTATCAGCTTATCGTTTGAGGTAGTTGGGTCGACGTCAACGGCACCACTGTCATTTGACACTTGCGATTCGGAAGTGAGTGAAGAGGTCACGGAATCTTGACCCGTTGAGCACCCACTTGAGTCCGCTGATGGCTGTCGTATGTGTTGGTCACCTCCCTTTTGCAGAAGTTTCTGCTGTAAAATTATTTAAATCATCCATTTTATTTGTTTCCTTTGAAAACTATATTATTTGAATACAGATCGATAAACTTACCATATTTGGAGCTAAACCTGGTGGAAGCTTAACTTCGACGTCTTGCATAGCTTTGCATTTGACCCATACCCTGAAGAGAACATGTAATTATTTATTTTAAACTCGAAATGAAATAAATAATAATACGTAATTTGTATGCTGAACTTATCTCACCTTTTGGATGAATAAGCAACGCAAAAGACAAATGCAATACCGCATATGCTGCCGATAACCCAAATAACAACCCAAACACGGTAAGAGGGGCCTGAAAATAATAGAAATAATTATTATGAATTTCATTGATAAATATTCATACAAACGCAACGTGAATACAAAGAGCAATAAGTCTCACCGTTGCTGAAGCAGTTTCCTTCGCCAGCGTCAGACCAATTACCATACAGATGTTCGCCGTGCGGCGCAATGTTGACAGCTCTGACTTGAAACTTGTAGAGCTTCTCTCTGCCGACAGTTTTGCAATCGGGTATTCCAATCGAAGCCTCTGCAAAAGCAAATATTCAAATTAGTTTCACTCTCTCTTTTTTCACTCACCCCCTCTCCCTCCCTCCCTCCCTCTCTCTCTCTCTCTCTCTCTCTCTCTCTCTCTCTCTCTCTCTCTCTCTCTCTCTCTCTCTCTCTCTCTCTCTCTCTCTCTCTCTCTCTCTCTCTCTCTCTCTCTCTCTCTCTCTCTCTCTCTCTCTCTCTCTCTCTCTCTCTCTCTCTCTCTCACTTACACTGTTTCTTTCTGAAACACGCAGGCACGTCTTTAGAAAGTACTGACCTTGAGTGGTAGTATTGAGAATTTCGCCGTCGTTGCTCTTGACTTGATAGTAGTTGATAGGCCCAGCGGTACGATGCGGTTTTGGCCAGAGTACTTTGACCTGACTGGAGTTGACGAACCTAACCAGCGGGGGTTGAATCTTGTCGGGCACACCAATATCCGTGAAAACATAAACAGGCGAAGACTTTTCACTGCATCCGACGGTACAAGCGGACACTCTGATGCTGTAATTGTGTGCGGCCACGAGTTGGTCGAGCCCGACCTCGGGCACTTCTTCGACTTTCTTGATCAAGTCATTGTAGTACACCAAATAGTAGCGAAGTACGCCGTTCATAGCTATAGGCGGCTTCCATTTGAGATGTACAGTGCTGTTGGTTATTTGACTGACAACGACATCGCTCGGAGGTTTACTTGGCGGAGATTCGAGCGTTGTATTGTAGAGTGGATCGCTTTGTTGGCCTTCGCCATTCTATTTTGATAAAATATTTTATCATGTCAACACTGATAATACAGAATATTAAAAAAGAAAACTCACCTTGGTAACGACTGATACAGCGATCATGTAGGTGGTGTAAGGTTTCAGACCCTGTACCTCTCCCCTAATGGTATTCAAATCCGCTTTGATCGTGCTATTTTGCATGGGTTCCTTACATTTGGAATTGTAAGGGGATACGATTGGACAGTAGTAAATCCTGAAGCCATCGACGATTCCGATACGATCGGAGCAGTCGAGCTTCCAGCCAACTTCGATGGTCGTCGAGCCGATTCGGTTGATCCATACGGTTTTCATTTTGCCAACCACCTTGTTATGTATGACCGTACAAGATGCCCACATCATGCCACTACTGGCGTACTTGGTATTGGCCGAAATAGCGAACTGATAAACTCTCTTGGGGTCGGGTACGGTAATGTTGTGTACTCGAGAGTGCTTCGGTACATGAATCCACTCGAGATAGCCCTACGAAGAACGTTGTTTATTTTAGTGGCTGATATATTATTCACGGAAGTGAACGCGCTTGATGATTGTGAAGTATTACTACTTACTTGACATTGATAAGGCCGATCACGGTCGTTCTCACACCAGAAGATCGTGTAGTTCGTTATCTCTTTGTCACCGCCGATCGGCGCTTTCCAAGATAACTCGTACAAGCCGTCTTCAAAAGCGATCTTTGTGAACGCTATCGGCTCCTTGGGCACTGTATATGAGAACAAGAACGCGGTTCATCAATTTCACTAGTCACTTGATGTGAGGCGCATGCTTGTGGATGTGTTTTTATTATTCAGTAGTCGCAAAACGTGACGTTATCTCAATCTGATAAATTGCCCGATATTAGGATTAAGTGATAACTTCTCGCAAACACCATGCGATAACATTCAAAGTTTAAATAGCTCGAAACAAACAGCAGAGCGTTTGGCACCGATTTAACGCGAAGACGAATCTCACGTGGGTGTGTGTGTATTTATGGCCATACCAGGCGCGATTCGCTGACGAACACTTACGCGAATTTCGACTAGGCACGTAAATCCTGGCGGGAGAGTCGTGCTGGCCGACGTCGTTGACGGTGACAATGTCGAAGTGGTAACTCTTCTCGTGGGCGAGTCCGCGGAATCTGGCGTAGGTGCGCGTGGTCTCGTTGGGCGCGAGTATGACGCTCTGTCCGTTCTCGACCACTCGCGTGACGTGATATCGGAAGTTGTTGCCGTTCTCGAGCCAGGCCGGTATGGTCTGCCAGTAGAGGTAGATGTCGCGGTTCTGGTTGCTCTCGGTGATCTCGAAGCTGCCCACGTCAGTGCGCGGAGGTCTGCCTGGTACTGTGGCAACGGAGTTCGGGTTATTTAGCGCGCGGTCGCTTAGGACGAGAGAGGGTCTTACCTTGCGCGGGCGTACGGAAAGTCACGTCGCTGTAGTTGCTCCACTTGGTCTCGCCGACGGCCACGGCGCTCTTGACCCACACGCGGATGTCGTAGATAGTGTTGGCGTATTTGAGGCTGGTTAAGTTGTAGTACCTGTTGCTAACGTGGCAGTCATCGGTGATGTTGATTATCTGCAAAGTATCGGGCGATTCGTCAATTGCAAGCCGTAGCCAGCGCCGGCGGCTTGGCGCTCGAGGCGACAATCGAGAGCTGGCCGTGCGAGCGAGCGACCCAATTTCGCGCGCGTCAATTTCCCTTATCTGGCCTTGCTGGCGGCTCTGCTCTTCCACCGAGCGCTCCGCTCGCTAAAACGCGCGTCTACGCAGAAGCCGCTCACTGCAATTGCTTCGCCGGAATCCAGAGCCGCCGCCGTCGCCGCCGCCGCGCCGTGGCGGCTTAATGGGATAATTAAACGGCAATCTTTTTCTCCTCGCGTCTCGCGAACGAGTTAATCTAATATTATCCCGCTTCGCGGGAAGAAGCGGAGAAGAAGGCATTCTTACCTGCCACTCGTCTTGGCTATCCCATTGGTTCTGGTATGCCACTCGGTGATGCATTCCCGGCGGGAAGGTCTGCATCGGGAAGGCTACGTCCCAGTGGAGCAGCACGCTGTCCAGCGTCTTGTTTACCACCGTGAAGTTGGTCGGCTTCGCCGGGATAACTGCAACACACACACACAAGCACACACGCGCAATGGTATAGACGTTGAGTTATCACGCGACAGCCGACTAGTATTGCACACATCGAGCCGAGGCAGTCGGTTTGACAGCGGCCTCGTAATTAATTGCTCGTTAGCGGGCTTCGGTTTTGACGCCGGCGCTGTTTGCAAAGCGAGGCGCTTACTTTTAATTGATAACGCGCGGGAGAGGAAAAACTGCTTTAAAAATGAGCTCTGGTATTTGATCGAAAGAGCAATGTTTGCAGAATCGTCGTTTCGTCGAATATTTACGCTCGCGTGGGAATCCGCAGTATCGATTCGTTTCGCAAACACGCGTTCGGAAGAGAAAATACAGCATAAGTTGGGAGGGGTTAGACGGAAGCTTCGGCGACGTTACGTAAGACAGGGCGAGCAAGCAGAGTCGCGGAGGGATAGAATGTCGGCGCGTACGGGGCCGAGGGAAGGATTAGGCGGGCCGTACCATGGGCGTAGTGGTGGAACTTGAAGGTGCCCGACCAGTTGCCCAGCACGTTGTAGCCGGTGAGGAAGAAGGTGTAGTACTCGTACGGCTGCCGGTAGATGGGGTCGGTGGACGGACCCCAGAAGCAAGAGTTGCGCGGCCTGGCCAGCTTCTTCTTCTTGTCGTCGTCCTTGTGCTCGTCCTTGTCCTTGTCGGTGGGGCAGGGGTAGAGCTTGCGGTTGCCCGCCCGCCCCGGCAGCTTGAACGTGATGGTGTAGTCCGTGTCCACGTAGTTGTGTGGCGGCTCCCACCTGCATGTCATGTTCTGCCAGTTGTTCGACCAGCAGTCGAACACTCGCGGCTCCTGCGGCTTGACTGCAATTCGTTGCCCATTAGGCGCTTACTCGGAAAGTCAAATTGCGCGCGGGATTTCCGCGAAAGCCGGTGGTCGCGTGCGCCTCGTTAGCCGCGACGCCCAATTGATGCTGCGCGAGTCCCCCCGACACCGCTGTCCTTCGATCGATTCGCCGAGTCGACGGCGCGCTCGATCGCCGTCCGCCTCTCCGACGACAGCGTCGCCGCCTCGGTCTCTGCGCGCCGGGCAGAGAGTTGGGCGACGCGCGTTATTCCCGAGCGACAATCAGCGAGAAACGTGCCCGCGGGCACTTGGCTCGTGACGAATGATCGCTTCGAGCGATCGATCGAGTCACCGCGACCGAGCTGCTTCCTCACTGTCGGGCAGATAAGGCAGGCGCTTCGCCGTCGCTTCGACGCGCGTCTTCGAAATAAACAAGCCGGCCGCGTCGGCGTAGCCGGGTTTTCGCGGCGCAGTTCGACTCGCAAATCGAAGTGCCGGCTCTATTCCCGGTAGGCGCAACGCGGAACGTTCGCGGAAGCGGACGCTCGATAAGCGATCTGCTGACTGATCGCGGCCAGGCGACTGAAAAAATAACAAAGTGGAAAAGAAAGAAAGAAATTGCTTGTCGTCGCGACGGCGACGGCGGCGATCGCGACCACGACGACGACGACGACGACGACAACGACGACGACGACGACAAAGAGGCGCGCAAATGAAAAGGAGCTTCCCGCGAATCGACAACGTCGGCGCGCCGCGCGCATTCGCGGATGCGGCGAAATATGAGGTGACCGCGGGCATCGCACTCACATCCGACGACGACCTTGTTGAGGCAGACGGCCTCGTGGTCCTTGTCGTGCAGGCTGCGGTCGAGCTTGAGCTTGCAGTAGTACATGGCGTTCTCGGGCGCCGGCCGTGCGATGTACAGCTGCACGGCCGTGGCGTTGATCACGCTCACGTACTCGGGCTCGATCTCGCGCGGCCCCTTGAAGAACACCAGGCTGGACGAGTTCACCCCCGGGTACGTGTCGGCCGCCGTCTCGCTCAGAATGCACTGAATGTGCAGCGGGTTCCCGTGCTCCAGCACAATGTCGCCGGCCGGCCAGGTTCCTGCAACACAGCGCAAAGCCTCCCTCGGTTAGTTCGCGTCTGCCAACGAGAGTTTCCCCCCCGAGATTGCCGTCCCCCTCCGCGCGCCCGAGGACGTCTGCTCGCGCGCCGCGTTTATCTCGCCGCGCGCAGCTATCGCAGCCTTATCGTAGCTTCGCTGTTGTTTTTTTTCTCTTTTTTCACGTTTTCTTTTCCGCGCGCGCTCGTCGATTTGTCGCTGCCGGCCCGAGCGAGCGGCCACTTCGATTTGCTCGCCGTCGGAGAAACGGAAAAATCGAATTAGCTTTTATTCATGAGGCGCGTTATTATGCAAATGCGTTCCGCGGAAAGTGATCGAGAGGAGACTCATTTTCCGGGAACGCGCCGCGGGTTTCATGCGCGACATTGTTGAAGTTGAAGAAGAGAAAAAAAAAAGAGAGACGAAGTTTTTGAAAAGCGCGCGCTCGTAATTCGACGGCTATCGACGCGAAAATAAAGAGTGAAAGAGAAGAGTTACGCAAAGACGAAGGAGAAGGCAGCTCTATCTCTTTCTCTCTCTCCAGCGGGATGCATTATTTAATAGCCGCGGCTTCCGCGAAGGCCAATAGGCTGCGCATAGGTGTAGCGCGATAGGAAAGCGACGTGGCGCGTCGAGCGCGCAGTCCCAGTGCCGAATTCCAGCGTCGCGGCATGTTTTATTTATTTATAAGCCTTTTCCCGGAGAGTCGTGTGCTTCTTCTTCTTCTTTTTCATTTTTTTCTTTCCTCCTCCTTTTCTCCCCGGCTCTCGGCGGTTTCGCGCGCGATGTATATCGCGAGCCGATCGAAGCCAGATGGCGATCGCGAGAGGAGATGCACGGCGCGCTCTTGTGTTCGTTGTTTCTCTTTAATTTTATGTTTTTTTTTCTTTTTCACTCCGCACGACGACGACGACGACGACAAGAGGGAGAGCTGCTCTGCGGCGAGCGACCCTCGTTTTCTTTAACGACGCGCGCAGCTAACTTTATGGCCCCGCGCTTTATCCCCCCCCCCCCCCCAACCCAATCGCTCCATTCCTTCTTTTTACTTAAAATATTCCTTTCCGAGATTCCGCGGCGATACCTTCGCGGAATCCATCCGTTTATCGACCTCCCTCTTCCCCCCGCCTGCCCGCGTTCACGGCGATTTCCCGAACGATCGGCCGTGCGTTTTCCGTCGTTTGCGTTTACTGCTCGACTCCTCCGCGCATTTGACACGTAGCACGCGAACGCTGGCTCGCGCGATAGCCCATTAAAGTTTGCGGTAACGATCGGAGCTTTATTATTGGATTTCCGGCGGCCGGCTTGGCCGACGTGCGGCGCTCGCTCCGGGCAACCGACTTACGTCCAGGGGTCTGGATGCCACGGGCACACTGAGCGGCGGCGGCGTCGACGAGGACGATGAGCAGCAGCAGCAACAGCAGCAGCAGCATTGGCGGCGGGGTACCGCCGGCCAGCGGAGGCAGCCTTCTCCGCCGCCTCGACTCCATGTCGTCCAACAGCTCAGCGCACGTCCGGCGTTGCATCGCCACTGCGATCGCGCGGCTTCTTCGTCTCCTTTTTCCCGTCACTGCAACACATACACGCGCGCGCGCGCGCGTTAATCACACGTCCAGTGTGCGGCAGCGGCCCTTCCGCGGCCACTCGCTCGGGAAAGCGTCCTTTTGTTTTCCTCTGCCGATTGCCCCCCCCCCCCCTCCCGCCGGCTTTCTCTCTCTCGGCCGGTTTTATTAAATCGGCCTCACCACGCGCTTTTTTGCTCGCGCTGATTGACCGACGCGAGTGGAACGCGCGTCTCTCTCTCTCTCTTTCTGCTCGACCGTCGCTCGAATGTCTATCGCGCGCGCACGCGAGAAAATCGATGGGGACTGCTCGGCTTCGTGCACGCTCTCTCTCTCGTGCTTGTCGCGCAGCTAAACAATGAGGATTATTGTGCATTCGAGCGAGGCGCGACTTGCCGGGGACGCACAGACGAGGCCTTGTGTCCGTGGCGTCGTCGCGCGCGAGAATTTCCCTGGCGCGAGCGATACGCCGAGCGATGATAATCCCGAGGAAAAGAAAGAGGGAGCCGAGGCTGCTGCACGAGGAGGGACGGTCAGCCGCGGGTGATCTCTGTCTTTCTCTCTTTCGCTCTCTCCACGAGTGAATTCGAAAAACTCGTTGCGGGTCTAATGACTGCGGAGCGGCGGGCAAGGAGAGAGGGAAAAAACACGAGAGAGAGAGAGAGAGAGAAAGAGAGAAAAGGCTGGCGCGCGCGCGCTCGCAGCTGCGTCCATAAATCCGAGCCCGAATGTGAATCGAATGGGCCCGCGGTCGCAGGTTGCCTCGTCGGGCCGCAAACCAGTTTTCCCGGGGAAGCGGGGCGGCCCCGCGCGCGCCGAGTGGGCGTCACGTGCCGCGCGCTCGGGCCCGCTCGGCGGAATAACAACGGCCTCATTAGACGCTCGCGGCGGCGGCGGCGGCGGCGGCGGCGGCGGCGGCGGCGGCGACGGTTCGGATCGGCAAGTGCGCGCGCGAGAGCGACCGTCGTCGTCGTCGCCGATACGCGCCCGCCGTCGTGTACTCGGGTGATCGCCTCCTCCTCTTCCCCCCGTCGCGGAAAATTTTCATCCGCGCGCTCGGGCGGCGGCCGACGCGAGAGAAAGGAGAGACGCTCTCCGCGCGGCGCGGTAGCGTTTTAGGTGGCGATTCCGGGAAGGCGGCGCTGCCGCGAGCGCCGAGAGAGATAGACAAGGACGGGGCTAGCCGCTGGCCCCACTTCACGGAACCTATACCTAGCCAGGGGTCTTCTTGGAATCTCCCTCTCGCTCCATTTCGCTCTCGCTCTCTCTCTCTCGCTTTTCGCAGCAACCCCCCCCCCCCCCCGGCGCGGAATTTAAATACCACGGCGCGCCAGGACTTTCGTATGAGCGCGTACGGACGGCACGGCCCTTAATTGCCGTTGGAAAGCCTTTTCGGCGTAGATAAATACCAAGCTGACGAGGGCCGCTCGTGGGCCCCGACCTTCCCCCTCCCCCCTTTCTTGCCTTATCCCGACTTTTTATCTCTTGCTTTTCTCGTCTTTCCTTTCTCTCTCTCTCTCTCTTTCTCGGCGCGACACGACACCGCGGCGCTCGGCCCGACAGTTTTATCTCCGAGACCTCTCGAACCCCTGGAATTCCGTACACGCATAGTCCATTTACTCGCCACTTTTCCCCGGATCGTTTTTGTTTTTTCTTTTACCGTCGACCAAAACGAACGACATCTTCGGCCACGATAAGCGCTCGGGAAGAGCCACGAAAACAAAGCGGCGGTCCTAGGCACGTAACGCCGGAGAGAGCGAGTCGCGCCGGCGGCGTACACGATCAACCGTTACGAGGACAAAAACGCTCGCTCGTTGCGTTCTCGAATCTCCGCGATGCAAATGAACGAGAGAGAGAGAGAGAGAGAGAGAGAGAGAGAGAGAGAGAGAGAGAGAGAGAGAGAGAGGGAGACGTGCGTGGCTCGCTAAATAGATACGGCGAGCGCGCAGGCGCGGAAAGGGCAGCGGCCCTGGGAAAAACCGGACGCTCGCGAGCGTCCGAGCCCGAGAGAAAGAAGATGCATCGCGCTGCTGCCGCAGCCGCCGCGGGGAACGTACGGCCGAATTGCGCGCGATCGATCGCTAATCAACCGGCGGCGACGTAGGCGAGACGCTAATCGACTCGCGCGATTTCGGGCCCGGCTCTCTCGCGCGCGTGAGAGCGCATAAATCAATCGGCGTGCGTGCGCGCCAGATCGCACCTGCCTCCTCCGCCGTGCCACGCACAAAGCCCTGCTACCGTGCATTCACGCGGATCCTGCTTCTCTCTCTCTGTCGATGCATTGTCGCCCGCGCGTCGTTCCTCCCCTAAACGAGACAAATTTTCTACCCCGGATCCCACGTGCCGAACAAAGCCTAGTGGGCGTCCGGGGCGAGAGATGGAAAACGCGTGCTTGGCGCGGCTCCCACGACGAGAGGTGGGGTCCGCCCGCGTCTCCGTGCTGACGAAGGAAAGCTACTGCGTTATCGGCGACGCTCGTTTAGGCGCCCGCTGCGACGATCGCTTCGCCGAATTGCGGACTCGCTCCTCGATGACTCGCCCGGAAAAGCCAACAGGAATTTTCGGACGTGACGCCCCGGTAAACTTGGCAGATTATCAAGCTGCGGAGACGGGCATTGGATACCCGAAAATAGCGAGGCCGATCCAGCGCCGCTCGCTCTCGATCTTCGTCCGTGGCGCTCGCGCTCAGCTTTATTTTTCTCTCGCGCGATGCCATCTCCCAACTGGTATCCCGACCGAGCGCGACACCGTTATTACGAGGTCCGCTCCTATCTCGCGCGCGCATCAAGCATTCAATAATCCGTTAATACAATCTCCGTCGAAAACTCTCCTTCCTTACCTGCCGCTCTCGGGGCGTTTGCTAAGCGCGAGATTACTCGCGGAAGCGAACACGCGTAACAAGATGTACGTGGTCTCGTCCCAATGATTACAAAGGGTCAACAACTGTACCGAGTAGGGCACGCGCGAGCGAGCGAACGAGAGTGCGAGTGTGCATACTTACTTACTCGCTGTTTTTCGCCTTATCGATTAGTCACGTCGGTCTACCACTCGCCGCCGCTGCTGCTGCTGCCGACCCGTTCTGCTTCTTTATGTTTTCGCTGATTGCGGATGGAAGCCCCCGATATAACTCATTGTCTTCGGTGGGACGACACGCTAATAAATAACGAAAACAAGCATCGGCAGCAACAGCGCCCGCGAGAGAGCCAGCGAGCGGACAAGGAGCAGAGCTCTCGGCATTCCAGCGGCGCTCGCGCGGACGGACAAAAAACGTGCCGTGTTGCTCTTCGGCCGCGGAGACAAGAGAGACGGACGGATAGGGCGCAGCGGGCATGTAAATCGTCGGCTAGTCGACGCGTAAAAAACAAACTCACCCTGGATAACTGCGACGGCGAATCCATCCGCCTAGACATGTCTGTTGTTCGGAGTAAGAATGCGCCTACGCACTCACGCACACACCACACACATGCGCGCCAAAGACCAAGAGAGAGGAGGAAAACAAGCGATGGCTCCTCTCACTCACGCGTAACACACAGACACTATGCCGAGATATAATGCTGAAACAAGTGGTGCAACTTTAACCTGCGACGAGCAGGGCCGCAACGGAAAGCTGCACGTTATCTTTGCCGTCGCCGCGACGACGGTGTTCGAGGTTAGATACACTTGTGCACACGACGCAACAGCACACAGCAGCGATGTCGCTCGCTCGCACTCCTGGACTATACTGTTTTCGGAGAAACGCTCGCTCGCTCTCTGTTCCAGGCCTCGAGCCAACACACGCACACCACACACGCGCGCGCGCGCTCCACTGCTTTGCTTTCTTGGTACAAGAAAGAGAGAGAGAGAGAGAGAGAGAGAAAGAGAGAAAGAACGCGCGCGAGAGAGCTGCGCGAGCGTCTGCGATCAATCCCCACTACTGCCAACCAAGCGACTCAACTTGTTTATCTTCTCTATTCAATTCCACCCAGATTTTCACGTCTACATTTGAGAATCCAATACAACGTTGATCGAACTTCTTCAAGAGCTTGTCGAAAGTTTCGAAAACGCGATTCTCGATGCTTAGCAATCCTGCGAGTATTTTTTCAGCCTGGATTTGGCCGAGTGGCCGCACATACTTGACGTCACACAACACACACACTAGACCGCAGCAAAGCAGCACGAGAGGTGGCGGCAGCAGCAGCAGCACCAGCAGCAGTAAGCGAGCGACCGTTCTTCCGAGAAAACCGAATGACGGACAGCTTGTGTATATGCACTCACGAACACATGCACAAAGAAGCGTACGTGAGACTCAAGAGAGAAAGAGAGCGAGCGAGCGAGAGATGAGATGTTTTGTGTGGATGCGAGCGGCTCACCTACACATAAGCGAAGCTCGCTCTGCCATAAATGTCTTTTATAGTTTTATGGTTGGTAATAAAAACAGCTCTTTTTATTTGTGCACCAAGCGAAAGAAAAATGGGGAGAGGATGTATAGGGATCAGAGCAAGGTAGATGCGCCGTTTTATCAACCGTGTGCATTCTTTTACTCCTCACCAAAATTTAAACCTAGTTTTTTTTATTTTTTTGTAGATTTTTTTGTAGATCACGACCAATGTTATCTTCAAATCACACATTATGGTGATCTATGAGAAATCAAAAAATAACAGCAATAAAAATGACTCGGCTGTACACAAGATAATTAATATTTTAATCCTATTGCAACGACATATTTTAAATCAATAAGAACAAATGTGTTAACGTATATACATATATATTTTATTAATTATTTGCATTATAGCGCCTCCGTTAGAAATGACGAATTTATGTTAAAGATGTCGCTACACGGCAGCACAACTCGAAATTTGGCGCGTAATATACCACTTGCCAGCTACCAGCCAGCTATCGCTTACCGGCTACAAAGTAAATAGTTTATCTACGAAAGTCTGTAAATTGTCTTGACTTGAAAAACAAATCGCATAATTAAACAAGTTATTTACCAATATCGATAGTAGTAACATTCAAAAGCAATAGTATAACAACATGTGGAACAATTTTGACAGTTCGACAAATGAAGGCGGTTTTATGGATACCACCATCAGCGAGGGAGCTGGAGGTGATGACAAGGGAAACCTCAAACGAGGGCAGAATTGTGTTCCTGTAATGATTGCACATGTTCGCAAACACGGCGAGGAATTGAACATTTGGGGAAACCCTGTGAAAATCATTACTTTAGTTGTCATTGTCAATAAGATTGAATCTACCAGTACCAAAATTAGCTTTGAATTTCAGGATGAAACAGGTCAGTACATTATTAATTGCCATTGCACAAGTGATGCAACAATTGACTTCTATAGATATGAGACCTGATCTATCATAATATTGATTTTACAGGTACCTTAAAAGGGTTGAAATGGTTGGAGGGTGATAACGTTGAATATGATTGTCCTGTTAAACCTAGAAGCTATTGCAGAGTTCATGGTTTAATACGTGACCAAGCTGGGGAGCCCTATGTCCTTGTTATTCATATTCAGCCTATGCAACATTTGAATGAACTGTTAGTACATCTTGCTGAAGTGACACTGATAACACTCCAAGGCGAAAGCAGTCAAAATACGCCAGTACAGAATTCAGTCGCAATTGACAATGGAAACTCTGGTTTAAATCCCCATCAGCAAATGGTATTGGATATTATTCAAAATGGTGATCCAGAGTATGGAGCTGAAAGAAATGCCATCAAGAAACAAGTACCTCCAATCGTTGCACCAAAAGTCGATGAAATCTTGGATTTCTTATCTTCTGAGGGACATATTTACACAACAAAAACGGATGATTTTTTTAAAGCTATTTGAGTTCTGTTATTAAATTATTCTATTTGTATTAAATATTTTAATTTATATCTATGTTAGAATAAGTTGAAAAATGTAAAAAGATCTTTTTCTGACATTTTATTAACACTGTCAGTTGAAATCTTAATAGTTGTCTATTGAAAATTGAAATTTGTACATTTTCTAAAAAAACTAATATACATTTTTTTAATGAATTTGTATTTCTGTTATTATTATATTTTACCTAGTACATGTTTCTGTAAAATAAAGATTCGTAATTAACGGTTTTCTTTATTAATTTTGTCAGTAAGTATAGGTAATATATTAAATAGTTATAAGAATTGCAAGTTTTTTGAAAACTCTACAGGTCACGTGGTTATTTGAAAATTAGGAGGTTAGGGTCACATGTTGATGTTGGATGCTACGCGGGAATATAAGATGTGAGATTACCATTGCTAATAAAATATGGGGTGATAAGTGTATGATTATTTTTTATAAATGAAACAATTAATGTAAATAGACGTCGGTTGTAAGCTTTAACGAGTAGTTATAAGCCCTTTTTATTTGAACATGGACGAAGAAAGTAAGTAGTTTTTTAGATTCATTCAGTAAATTAAATCTATTTTAGAAATATTTGTTTAAAAGTGAGGAATTTTTCTGTACCCAAGGTTTACTTAGAAAACGAAGTAAAGCTCAGAGAGATGCAAACTTTAAAGTTTTGAAAAATGTTCAGAAACAGCTTGGTGATTTGTACTATGACAGAAAACATTATGATGATGCTCTTGAAGCATATCAAGGTCAGCTGCAAGCATCTATAGATTTAGGCGATAATTTGAGTATTGCCAATGCTCACAGGATGATTGGGGAAGTACTGGCATATCAGGGTAATTTCAAAGAAGCTCTTAGTCACATTAATTTATATTTGAAAAAAGCACAAGATCTTGAAGATTTAGTCGAAGAACAAAGAGCTTATGCCACACTTGGTAGAACATATTTAATGGATGCTGAAAATTATGTGAAAGAGTCAGAGAAGGAAAAGAAAGAAGAAGTATTAAGACAGGCAAGAAAAGCATTATCAAAAAGTATTAGATTATGTGATAAGTAAGTATAATATATGCATTTGAGATATTATTCAAATAGTAATTTATCTTATTACAACCAATATTTATTTTCAGATTAGAACATAAGATAGATAAGAATGAATTAATGATGATGAGGGCAAGGTTGTTGCTCAATCTAGGTCTAGTATATGAAAATCAAAAGAACATAGATAATTCTCTGCAACTTATCAAACAGGCAAAAGCAATGTGTAAAGAGCATAAATTATATGAAGATTTACACAGAACAAATTTAGCACTTGCCAGTCACTATGAGAAGCAAGGCAATTTAGAATTAGCAATCAAGTATGTGGATGATGCTGCCAAAATTGATGATAATTTTTTGAAAGCTGATGCAAAGTACTTTAAAGCTGAGTTACTTTTAAAGATAGGTGAATGGATGGAAGCTCGTAAACTTTTATATTCTCTGTATAAAACAAAATTGGCAAAATCAGTTGTCCCACAAGTTATAGCACTGTTGAAAAAAGGTAAATTTCAGTTAACTAATGTTACTGTAGAATGAAATGAATTTGTATGGGTATTGATTATATACTACTTTGCAGTGGTATTGCTATGCAGGACTGAAGACAAACTGCTATTAGAAGATGATTTATCGAGGAAATTGCAGCTCTATGAAACAATGGGCGATGTAGCAGTGTCAGTGAAAGCCTTGGATATAGCTGTAGACAACTACAGGCACATGTTAGAGTGTGCCGAGAAGACCGACAGCTCACGACTAGCAGCAGCACTAACGAGCTTAGCTCAAACTCTGAAAGATGCTGGCAAGTTTAAGGAAGCAATCCCATATGCACTGAGGGAACTTGAACTATACAAGGACCCTAAAGATGCGTACAATTCTGCTCTCTTTATTGCTCGCCTGCTCATCGACGCCAAGTCAGCCGATAGCGAGATCCGTGGAATGTTCGAACGGGCTATGACGCTAGCCATAAAAACTGGAGATTTTAGTCTCGAGCGACTGGTAGTCAGAGATTATGTGGAATATCTGGAAACGATGGACGATGTGGATTTGCAAAAAATTACATCGTTGAACGAAAGGCTGGATAGCTTGCCAGAGAGTCAACCCGTCGAGGAGGATGACGTGGCGGAAGAAGAGTCTCCCGATATGGGAGTAGACATCGATCTTGACGAACTGTCGGACCTCGAGGAGGAACTGGAACCTGCTCGGCCCAAATTCAATCCCAGGAATATCGCCAAGACGTTAAGGTACAAGCTAAAGAAAAACGAGAAGGGAGAAACTCCTCTACACGTTGCGTGTATCAAAGGTAACGAAGAGCTTTTTAAAAACTAACAGCAAGATATTTTTTATTACAAATTATGGCAATTCCCAACAGGCAACGTGCAAAACGTTGAAAAGCTATTGGAAGAAAACCATCCAACCGACGTGTACGACAATTGTGGTTGGACACCCTTGCATGAGGCATCGAATCACGGTCACATTGATATAGTTCGGCTGCTCGTCAAAGCAGGCGCAAATGTCAACAACCCTGGTGGTCCACTTTGCGAAGGTGTTACGCCCCTCCACGATGCAGCTGCTAATGGACACATCGATGTGGTGCATATACTGCTGGACAGTGGTGCGAACCCAGATCTTCTCACCGGTCAAGGTGATCGAGCACTCGATTGCCTCGAACAGTGGAGGAATAATGTCGATGTTCTCTCTGCTAATGAACTCAAAGACTACGCTTACATAAGAAAGCGTTTGAAGGAGCTCACTACCGTCAGGTGTCAAAATAAGGCACGCAATAAAAGAGGTAGCGGCAAGCTCCAGGCGCTCGTTGCCGAAGGCGAGGAGGAAACCATCGATGAGAGACTCCGTGAGTTGAATACTTCAAACGATTACTTGCTTCGACAAACGGTAGCTTCTTGTAAAATTCACCCCTTTTTTTGTTTCATCAGTCAATATTGAGAAATACGTTACCGCCTCGAGACCTGAAAAAATTTCAGCAGGAGAGGACTACAAACGGACCATCGCCAACTTGCAACATCCAGGACGAATTCATCTGCTTGAGAAACCAGCTGTACAGCCGAAGATCACGGCGCCGTTAATAGATAGCGAGGAAATGCTAATCGATGACGAATGGCTAGATGACGATCTAGGCATCTTCACGAGAGGTAAAGAAAAGGCTCCCTTCGGCGATAATGGTCTTCCTCCGGTCCAACCTGTTAGCACGAAACGTAAAAGTAAAAACGACTCTTTCGACGCTGATAAGTATAGCAGTAAGAGACCTAAAGTAAGCTCCAATAAGGTGAGAGTCATTTTTTTTCAGTGATCTAATTACCCACGACTCGCATACCGTGAAATATTATTATTGAACTCAATCATAGAGATCGGTGAATGATAGTTCACAGAATAATTCAAAATCAATTTCAGAATGAACAAGTACTAGCATCCGTCCACATCAACGAGGATAGCAACGACAGCGTAAATAATTTAGACATGGTTGACCCCACCGGTCAGGTAGAAAAATGGCCAAAAAGCAAGAAACCTCGACAAACAAATTTACTCAAACAAGGTTTCGTCAAAGTAAACAATTCTATAGCGCCTCTACGTCCGCCAGCCCCGAAGTCTCCCGAGGTTAATTATATTCAGAGTAGTCTGGAAATGAGACATTCGCTGGAGGGAAGCGATCAAATTGTCTATTTAGAAATTCAAGTTGACAGAGAATCGTTTGACCTGAAGCTTCATACTGAAGATATGAGGTTTTTATCTTTTAATTCGTTCATACCAAATCAATTTTGTGAAGAAATCATTAAAAATTTGACATTGGCAAATTGAATATATAGCCAAACGTTGGAATGCATTGAGATGCTGATCAGCGATAAATTTGAATCGAAAGCTGGTTTCAAGCCTAGCCTCAAATTTAAGAATCTAGATGATGAAGCGTTGAACTCGGGCACTATTCTGGATACCATCAAAAGGTATGGCAATAAATTGAAGTTGCATGGAGAAATCACTCATATTAATTTGCCTCCTATCGCTGAAAGATACAAGAAAGTCTGCCTAAACTTTAACATTGGTAAGCATTAATTAGTTTCTTCCACGATTTGATTCCATATAATAAGAATACAAACGAACATTATACAGATCCTTCAGAAGCCATGCTGAAGTCACTGAGAATCTGTGATAATACTTTAGCTTTCCGTTTGAATGCTAAAGAATTTTTAGACGACGAACTCGAGCCCTTGGTTAAGTGTTTGCATTACCAAAAGAATTTGCAAATTTTAAGCATGTCAAAACATTCATTTTATTACTCGGCTGATCTTTTGAACTACGCCATAGCTCAATTGTCCAGTCTCTGCGAACTACATCTCCAGTGCTGCGATATAAGTTTCAACTGTCTTTCATTGATTGAAAAGCTACCGGCAACACTTCGAGTTCTAGATCTCAATTACAATCCGTTAGGAAGTAAAAGTTTGACAAGACTTTATCAACTGATCAAGCCACTAGATAGATTACAGACACTCAAATTAAGATCTTGCGACTTGACAGATTTTCCGGATCGCTACTCCAGTAATTCTCTAGTGAATTTAGACATTTCCTGGAATCCTATAGGAGGACAAGGCATAGTAAATTTGTTACAGAGGCAATTAATTAGTTTAAACATATCAAATACGCAAAAAGTCTCCATAGATCCTGAATCAAGTGTTATTAATAGAATATTTATCAACAAAAGTTTGGTGAGTGTATCAAAAATGACACCTTTAATAATTTTGTTATGATAAAATATATTATTAAAAGGTCGATCGTTTCAGGGCTTCACTTTAGAATACTTAGAGCACTTGGACTTGAGTGGAATAGGAGCGACGGATCTAATCGTTGATATGATCATAACGCAAACACCTAGTCTACTAAGTATAAATTTAAGCAACAACATTCGCGTCACAGAAGTTTCCTTACAAAATCTATTAGCCAGGAAACCAACAATGACGAGCATTGATCTCAGCGGTTGCAGTTTTATAGATACTGTACCTAAAGCGTCTTTGAAGATTTTGAATCCTCGAGTTTGCACTGTGCTTGCGCACATGAGTCTAGAAGTGATTGATGCTTGGCAGTCACTGTGGGAAGGTAAAGGGTATACTAAAAAACTTCCAAATAGTTTAGTTTTATTCAAACCTGTATAATATTTATTCGTTTACTTTATAGTCTTTTTGAAGGGAATGTTATTTTTTTAATATTTTATTTATAATCCTGTATTATTTTAAGCGTATGTATATGTACAAGTGGGACAATCAACAGATAATGTCAGATACGAACGAAAATATATTTATTAACCTTTAATTTCGATGATGCTATTTTAAATTATTCTTGTAAATTCTGTTTTTGATTAATTAACTATTCAGAACAAATGGAAATTCTCAGATTTTCTGGAACATTTATTTTTATGAATATTTTTTTAAACAAGCATTATTTTAATTAGAACAATAATAATGTCATTTATTTTAAATTCCAGCTATACAATTTATTACCAATTTTACAGTTTACTTTACTAATGTGTGAAAATCGTTGTTCTGGACAGTTGATTAAAAACTCATAGAAGCTCTTTTTGATGATAGGAAGAAAAGTTTCTAAAGTTTCAATTTGGTTCCCCAAAAACCAGCAAAAACTTAAATGATGTGATGCATCCTAAAAACAAAATTGATGCTCTACTTACTTTTAAGATGTTTTTAAATGCATTTACAATTCAAAATTTTTTTAATTATCAATTAAAAATTAAAAGCTTAAGTAATTAAGTTAGCAATAAAAAATGTATTTCTTAAGCATTTTACCTCATAGAAAGTTGGTAACCGATATGCTATTAGTTGTTTGTCTAGTATCTGGCTCAAGACTTTTAAAGAATTGTTTGCACTATCAACAGTGACTCCCATAAAAGTCCTGCTTTTATCCTCATTGCAGTATACTTTTATGTCACTCAATTCCATAATAAAACTTTGATGAGTTGTGGCAACATTTTTAACAGCCTCAACAAAAGAATCAATCCAATGATACTTTAATATCAAAGTACGAGTAAGACTCACATGAAGTTCTTCAAAAAAATTACCTTTTCCAATAGTTTGCAGTATTACGTTTTCTAACCAGTGTATCAGGTCTTCATTGGGCATATCTAAGAGAAATGCGTTTATAAGATAGCATTGATAAAAGATATAAAAGCTTTTCAAAACAGAAATATAATATAAACCAACTCACAATCTATGTAAACAAGTGTGGCCCAGTTTCCTCGTTCATGTTTGAATGATCTAATTCTACCTTCATGTTTAGAAGGATCATCAATAACTTCTTCATTATGTACTACCCCTTTCCAAGATATGATAGACTCTGGTAGCGGTAGCTTTAAGCTGTAAATAATTACAAATGAATAGCAGCCTATTATTGTCAAAAAAATAATGACAATAATAAAGAATTTTAGTTTCTGTAAATAGTAATTACATAATTAAATAGGTTTATTATAAAAAGATCATTCATAATATTTAGTTAGTAATGTATTAAATATCTACTCGAGAGTACTTCGTTAAGAAATTATTAAAAACCTTTCTTACACTTTATTATTTTTCATATTCGTTCGTAAATCTTTTCCCTCATTACATTTCTGATCGTCTTCATCGCTATCTGATGAATATTGTTGTATTAAATTCAATGCTGACATTATAACGTCTTTTTATAAATAAGGCTAATATGAAGTCAAAACGAACCATTTCGTCTTTCAATTTTGAAAAGACCTATAACCTCAAATTAATCAGCACCCCACCGACCGTATGTCAAAGCGCTTTATGATGATACCTGACGTCATGAATTTAATTGACTTCGAATTACACCAAGATCGTAATGAATACAATGGTGTATAAAAGTAGCAATTAATAAAACTAAATTTCGTGATTAATTACTTTTATAGTAAAACTATTCAAAGAAAATTTTTATTTTAGACTCTACTATTATTGAATAACTATATTCAGAAATAAGTAAAAATTATTTTAAATTATCATACATTTATTACTTAATTTATAACTTGCATAATTATTAATAAAATGATGTAAAATGAATATGCACATAATAGACTTGTTTACAAAAATCAAGTACTGAAGATGATAGTTTACATCAATTTCGTTTATTTATACAGTAAATATATATTAATGTATTTATTTTACAAGTTGAAGAAATCTGAGAATCAAACATTGCGTTGTGTAGTTGCAACGATGGATCAATTATACTAATTCAACTTTTGAGACCCTATGTATACAAGTCAGAGCCTCTAGATGTTGCCTGGGAATCTGTTTTCAGAAATCTGTTCATCCCATTTTTCTACCCAGGCTTGTGGGCAGAGGGACATATAGCACTTTTTGAAGTATTGACAAGCTTCAAAGTTTTCACCTTTCACTTTACTGCAGCGATGGAAATCAACATAGCTCTGATAACAGTACCTGTAATCAATAAACAATTAAGTAATTGAATAAATTTCCAAAGATCACTTATAACAGTTTCAATTAAAGTATTTTGACAAAAAGGAATAGAAAAGAGGAAAAGATAGCTGTACAGTATTTACTTTTCAAAGTTAATCTTTTGTTACTACATCAATCAAAAATAGTTAAATATTTTCATGCAAGCACAAGAGAAAAAGAAATTCATTTGTCTAGTTTTTTAGTTCATTCGAATGTAATTAATAATTTTTAAATCACAATTTCAAAACAATTTAAATTAAATTGAAAAATCTATAAATTTTGTGTTTCAACACATTACTTCAATATATTACCTAGTCTGGTTCTGGTTTGGGAACCTAGGATCGTATGGAGCAGTTTGCATCTTAACACCTTCAATTTTTGCAGTAGGCATGTTGAGTGCTCAGCTATTTAACAATAAATTTGTTTTTATTGTAGTACATTATAATTCAGTCACATAACATAAGTGATTCATAAGTGTTCTCTCGCTTTCAATCAACTTGCGCCAAATTGTTAGCTTATATCTTAACTAATCCTTAACTAACAAAAAGGAAAATGATCAACTTATTTTTTATTTAGCTATTATGATATGTAATTATAGCATAATTAACAAATTCGTTAAACAGAATTTAACTTATTTTTATTTACTCTTCATTGTGATTTTAATTTGTTAAAAGCTTTGGCACTTCAATTGTTTGGTCTTATTAATTTTCATTCAAACAAATGTGCCTTAAAGCCTTTTATTTCCCAAATTATTTTTAATTATTTATTGACAAAATATATCTATGACAAAATATCTTCACTGTAATAGTATTATTATGTAAATAATCTATAAGCATATATTTGTACAGCAAAACCAAATTTAATTAAACTAATTTATTACTAAGATTAAGATAAAACTTGTCAACTTTTCATCTACTATTTGTTTGTTATTAAAGCTTTAACAAGTATTTGTGTTGAAACATAGAACTAAAATAACTTCATTAAGTTCATTGATAAAAAACGTTTATCTTTCTTTTCCACTTCCTTGTTCATTTATAACTAAACTTGTTAGAGTTAGTACAAGTTTCATAGTTTGACTATAAAAAAAACTTTACAGACAACCATAGAGCACATTACCCACTACTACAAATACTTCTTAATTAAAGGTATATAATGCCCTAAGTAATATTATAATTTTATTTATAATTTTATTTAGAATGTCAGAAAATGAATATCATACTCTAAAAAAGAAATTGAATAAATAAATATTTCTGAACAATCTCTGAAAGCTCCAATTAAGAAACATTGCATACCTTTAATTAAGCTTCTAGTAATTTAAAAAATAAAAGTTTCCAAAGTCCTATCTAAGTTTATATCAAATAATTTTGTTATCTTTGTGTGTAAAAGACAAATCAGTATTCAAGAATCGATAAAAATTCCATAAGTGCAAGTGGACATGACATTATTTGACCAGTGGCCTTGTGTTGTCTTCTTCCTGACAACAAACTTCTCTATATTTCTTGACTTCAGCCATGTAAAGTGACCAAGCATCTTTAGGCTGTTCTACTGGTGCTTCAGTTTTCTGCTTGGCTACCATCCCAGTTTTTAAGATTCTACCTCCTCGCCTCTTGCCAACCATCAGTGGAGGTGGTGCAGCTGGTTTCTCCTCAAGAACTGTGATTGCTGATGGTTGAGATTCCACTACTGTTTTCTGTTCTTGCATTTTTTTGAACATTTCCATGAAACTACCATCATTTTTGAATGCGTTTGGTTGTACATGATACTGAGGTTGTACCACTACAGGTGTGTACAGGTTACTGTAACTACTGCCAGCTCTGTTTTTGTGACTTTTTTTACTATCTCTGACAGGCTTTGGTGGCTTGTCTTTTTCACGTCTTCTCTCTTTACTGCGGCTGCGCTTTCTATCTCGCGATCTAGACCTCGATTTTGATCTGGATCCTGACATAGATCGTGATCTAGACTTTGTTCTTTCTCGTTTTGAATACTTTTTTGACCTATCCCTACCACGCTCCCTATCCCTCTCTCTATCCCTATCTCTGTCCCTCTCCCAATCTCTATCTCTTGAACGCTCTGGAGATCTGGAGCACCTATATGATCTAGATCGACTTGATGATCTGGATCTAGAGCTGCTGCGTCTTTTCCATCTTCTTTCTGGCGTTGGTGACCTTCTGCGACAATATGCATCGCTAGAGCTTAGTCTAGGAGGTGATGGTGCTGGTGGCATCTCCAGGGAATCTGCAGAATCTCTTGAGTCCTGGTCCATGATGTGGGTGGTAGTTCCGCACACGACTGGACAGACTCTCTCTCTCAGACCTATAAGGATAGAAACTGCCTTCTATGAGTTTAACAGTTCACTCCAATTTTTTTGCCGTTACTGATTTTTTTCATTATTGTTTTATGTAATGGCAATTAGGCTTTACTTTAATTTGCCTCAAGTAATCGTACAAACTCAATTTTTAATTGATTTCATTTTTTATTTGTAAATTATCAACATTTGTACAAAATTTGCGCAAGAAACAACTTGATTTTGCGAGAGAATCACTTATATTTCATTTTCTTATTAACATTATTAAATGAACAAAGTCGGTATTAACGGAACACTTTAAATTTACATTGACTGGCATTGTTCAATAGCACCAAACAACCAAACATTGTGAACTTTTATGGATTTCTCAAACAAAGAATGTTTCGCGCATTCCATAGCAATTTATGTAGTTGGTGTGCTTTAAATTATCTACATGTTTAAAAAATGTCAGTCATTGCATACAGGGCAATTTGCCAAGCAATTCCAACTGATGGAAAATTTTTAATGTGAGCAAGAGCATCTTATCGCGATAAAATGACAAGCTGAAGTGACGGATTAATAGGAATGGTTCGGAAGGAACGTTGCACCCCAACGAAACATCTATGAAGTACCACTTGAAACTTTAGAACAAACTGAATTCCGTAAAATGCAAACGCTTATATTTACCATTAAAATTCGAGATTAAGGTTAGAATAAAACGAGCAAAACGAACGGTAGAGAGAAACAAAATTTCTAGTTTTTCCTTTTTATTTGGAAAAATTACCTATCTCCCTCTCTTTCGTCTCTGCAAAGTGAAAAAATACCAAAGAGCGCGAAGCGTGACAAGAAAAATCACTGGAACACTGAAGCCGACGGGTGAATGCGAGATTTTCTCAAGATTTACCGAAATGCTTAAGCTCCCGTGTAGAAAATTATTGGGAAGAACGAAAATCAATAAAAAACAAGCTCGAAATTTGTTGAATGTTAAAGATACCTTATTCTGCTCTCCCGATGAAAACAAAATGGCTACTGCGGCCCAACAGTCAGTCAGCCGTTACGTCACTGAAAAATGGTTGTCGGCTCTCCGGAGAAGGCGACACTATCTATCGATCGTTTACTTTCTCGGTTGCTGTGCCTGTAGGTATTTAACCATTCTATTTTATCGACACTTCCAAAACTGACATTAAACCAAAGTGAATAACACTTTGATATTAAACAGAGCGATTCAATCGGGAGGTAGAAATAAATAAAAAAGTCAAAAATGGTATTAGAGATAATGTGTATTTTTTTTATTTGTTATAATTAAAATATACACTGTGTCATGGGCGAACAAGCGAATAGCAATTATAGTAACAAAATATTTTGTTTCATTAAATTTTCTTTTATTGTTTCCCATTTCTTTATATTCTTAGCGAACTCCTCCATTTAACTTCATATAATGTTTCATTTGTTTTATTTCTATCTCACGGCCCTTATTTAAAATCGTTTAAACGTTCATATTAATTAACTTCTCTATCGCGCTTTCTATCTCTCTCACCTCACATTATTCACAATTCTCTCTCGCTCGCTCGCTCGCTCTCTTTCTCTCGGTTATTCATTATATAGTTTCGCATTGAAATATGGTGTATACACAGTATACAAAATTCATTTGCGAAAGCACTATCGGTTTGGCTTTTCAACCATCCTATCGTTATGTTTTTTTTCTTTATTTCTATATATAGTTTCTTTTTTCATATCACCTCCCCCCCGTAATTGATCTTTACGCTCGCTAACGGAACGAACATTGCACGTTGAAGTTTATAAGATATATTCTTAGCTTTGTTTTCTCTTCAACTATGAATGTTCGCACGTGAAAATTTGAAAATGCAGGCCTTATCGAATTACACGATTTATTTTGCCGCAACAGAAAAGAAAGGAGTCGAGTTATCAAATTAATTTGATTGATAATGAATAACAGTTCGAACAAAATAGTTCTTATTTTATTCTTATTTCTTAATAAAGATCACATGCGAAATAAACGTGAAAAAGTGTAACAACATCGGCAGAAGACTATACCGCCTGCACTCTCAAAATTTTACAGTGAAATCATTGTACAACGATATACTCGGTAGTATCAAATTACTCTCTCTTAGTGATAAACAACATTACACAGCCTACACACGCGGATAATAGACTTCAACGGCACTTCAATGTTAAGTGGTCGGATAATTCTGCAACTGGATAATAAAAGTTAGCTCAATAATCATTTCAACGTCGATTTTCAGGCTTATTGTTCGTTTACTCAGGACTCTTATGCACAACCGCTAAACAAATATTTCACAATTTTTCGCATTGACATAACTGAATGAATTTTTCATTCAACACTTGCGGAACAATCAATTTAGATGATTTGAAACAATGACAATGCAAAAAATTTGAACATTTTCTGTATTCCTAATAATTTCCTTAGAATCCGTTATCATATATTCAGCTGATCTAAGATTGTTAACGTGAATAAAACAGTCTTCTTTAGTGCAAAGAACAGTCTTTGTCAGCGTACGTTTACAATTGCAAAACGCAAAAATTCGGAAGCAAGAAAACATCACTTCTTTCTTAGTCACATTATATGATCGTTACGCTTTTAATATTTTATTACTTCGTCGATGCAGTTGTTGAAAATCGATTAAAAAGTAGTTGTTTCAACGATAGAAAAGTAAAAATTGAATAAACAGATCGACGTCGGGTACTTATGTATATCGGACTGATGGATTCATTATGGTACTGATTGGATTCATTTTCTCAACCCATGACAATATTTTTTCACTTATGTTTCCACTGTGTACCGAGCTATTTTCATGTTTTAATTATACACATTTGTCATTTTCCAGTTTCCACTCTAATACCTAATTTTTTGTAGTAGGCAATTATAATTAATTATTCATATATTTTATTATAATTATAGAAGAAATTCTTAAATTTAAAGAAAAAAAAATATCAAGGCAAATAGGTTTTTGTCGAATCCTACGATGAAACCCAGAAGTTGCAAGTAATGTATAACTTTAAGCTGTTCATAGGCATATGTACTGGACAACAAGAAAAAGAAATCAAAGAAAAAGGGCCATAAAAACCTCTGACGAATTATACTTAAAATGAACACTCAAATTGAACTATTTAAATTGTAACAAACAAAACTGAATTGAGATATTCTGTTGTTATGCGTTTCCATTGTATTACTAAGCAAAATAAGCGATAAGGAAAATTAAATGGATGACGAGATATCTAACTGGTCCGAGATTTGTAACTGAATTCGTAATGCGTCTATTTGTGTTGTCTACATGCACTCAATGTACACAAAGTGTTTAGTAAATTATGGGAGAACGAAAGAAGAAGTGAACCTTTATCCATAGTAGAATCCTTCCAACAGTCCCCCGAGATGCTGTTTTTATTTTTGGAGTTGATCAACATAAACTTGTCGACCTTAGTGAATTTTATTCTTCGTTTCATGGAAAGGAAAAGATATGGTTAACATTGTTTTTCTTCATAAACATTGTATATCTTTTTTATATATGTAATGACCAAAACAATCACTCAATTTAAATCATGTATTAAAGTACTTGTAAATTTTTGAAAAATGCAAACGCCTTTTCGAGTATCAATTTCATTAATGAGAAAACTTATAAAAAGAAAAAAAGTGGTAATAAATAATAAAATCATAAATAAAGTTTTTGAAAATTTTATTACTTTTCGTAAATAATACAAAAGCCTCTATTCAGAAATTACTCAAGGACGTGTTTGTATTTTTCATACAAAAATCTGGAAAAATATTATTGGTTTGATGTAATAATAAATAAAAAAGAGAAAACAAAAAAAAAATTGAAAAAAGTAGGCGTCAGCAATAAAAAGAATATAAAATATACCTTGAAGTATATCATTTAATATGGCTGGTGTCTTTGAAATTGACGAGGTCCTTGAGGTCCATTCCTGGGTTTACCACCAGGCATCGCATAACCCATGTTTTCATAGCCATCATATCCCGAATAGTCATAATTGGCATACATGTCATCGTATCCACTGTATCCGTTACCATATTCAGGTATATAACCATACCCTAGAATTTCCAAAATGATATTTCCCATAAATAAAGGCTGATATAAATGTGCAAAAAGTATGATGTAATTTAACAAAAAAAGCTTCTACTTGAATAGGTCTTTGAGTGATTTGAAAATAATTCGTATATTGTGTTGTAATTAATGAACACAAAAGTATTGTCTTGTAAATTTTTGTATTTATTAATAAACATAAATCATATTTATATTAATTATAAAAATAAATACAAAAAAAATTTTGTTATGGGTAATTTTTTAAATTACAAAAAAATGTGTGTGTATAAGTATGAAAAGAAGTTAAAAAGGTATTGAATAACATGTGTAGAATCAAATATGTAAATAAATAATATTGTGAAAGTTCCCGAGCTTTTAACATGATTACAATAACATCAGGAACTTTCAGTATGATTGAAACAATTCAAGCATAAGCGTATTCTCTTAATACATCGGCAGAAATTGGTAATTATAAAAGGGTAGTTTACCGCCACCATAACCGTAGCCAGCGTACGGTGGTCCCCAGAAGCCTTGGCGTTGGTCTTGATTAACTTTGACTTTTTTGACATCAACTTCCTTGCCATTAATCGTTTGTTTGGGGGACTTAAGTAACTTGTAAACAACGTCTTTGGAGTCAAACGTTATGAAGCAATAGCTTCTGCGTTGATTTTTCGTCTTATCGAATGGAGTCTGCACTTCGACAATAGTACCATGCTGGCTAAAGTAGTTCCTAATGTCCTCATCCGTAATCTCTGGTGTCAGGCCACCAACAAAGATCTTTCCATGTTGAGCTTTCTTACTCACACGCTTAGGATCAACCTAAAATCCAAATTTCCAATTACTGGATCAATCAGACAATGGTGAAAGGAGAAGTTAAGCTTTCAACCCATGTATAGCTTTTTGGCAGAACATCTATTGAATAGCCAAACAGGGTGTATGCAACAGTAGCAATAATCATAGAGCCGTGCCCAATAAAATAGAATACAATCAGGTATGACGTGATCAGAACGAGGAGGTTATTCAATTGAAAGTGATACGAGAGCTTAGAAATTATAAAATTTAGATACCTTGCGCTTGTTGATGTAATGGTCTCCAGAAGCGAGTAGCTTGTCGATGGACTTGGGGTTTTGAAATACCATAAAGGCGAATCCCCTGGATACGCCGGTATAGGGGTCCATTTTGATGGAGACGCTCTCGATATCGCCGTACCTGCCGAAGTACTCTTTGAGCTCAGCTTCAGTGGTGTTGCGAGTGAGACCGCCGACGAACAGTTTCCGCTCGTCGTCCTTGCCGGGAATACCAGCAGTGGCCTGCTGCTTCTCCTGGCCTCCTTCCTGTTGCTGTTGCTGCTGTTGACCAGAGGCGTCGCCGCTCATCTCCACGTTCTCTTGGCCCTGAGCATTGTCCTGGTCCGCCATGCTTACACCGTTCTGTGTTTCGTTAATTTAAGCCTAAAATCACGAAAGTCAAGACTCGTTTATCCTTACGAAAAAATCAGCACACACGCCTGAGCGTGAGCAAGCGAGCGAGCGAGCGAGCGAGCGAGAGCGAGAGAGCGAGAGAGCGAGAGAGAGAGACAGCGCGCGGCGCCAAAGAGCGATCGGGGGGAGAATGAGCGTGTTTCCTCGGCCAGTAGCCGACATATTGCAGCGTAACGGAATTTGCTCGTGTGCGAAATCGAGGAAGCGAGAAGCGAGTGTACGTTAAGTTGCATTGTGGAAAACTCTTCCTGAGATTTCAAAGATGATATTGCGAACATACCTATTTGCTAGCTGATCTCTACGTCCCTCTCTCCCTCGTAAATCAGCGGGCGGCGAGCTTCTCTCGTCGTCGTCGTCGCTGCGCTGTTGGTCGACGGGGGCTTCCTCTGCCTGCGGCCTGCGTTGTCTCTGTCTCTGTCTGGTGGCGCGGCTGTGCCCGTTGCGCGCGTGAGATAGAGAAGAGAAAGAGAACTAAGCTGTGATTCTTCCCAGAGTGAGAGAGAGAGAGAGAGAAAGAGAGAGAGAGAGAATGGTATTAAGAGGAAGTTCGTCTGCGAAAAACCGACGCAAGTGTATGAAGACAAAAGGGCAGCGCACATACGTCACGTACACACCCACACACCGGCACGGATCGCCGGCTGAAATCGCGTAAGCGTTCCTCGCTTCGCCGCATCACCGCCGTTTTCGCGACCAGTTTAATGCTCGTCAATCCACGCGATATCAACGCTCGCCATTCGAAATATGACCATATCAGTGACAACACGCTTACCGCGTGGTCGACCAAAGTGCGTTCCCCACGCGCAATATTGCATTGGCCGAAACGTAGTTTGTCGTTGGCTGACTCCGATGGACCCAGGCGATCATTGGTTACACAGGCCACGACCGGATGTGCCGGCGAGATTTTTCCTATTCAGCGAAAAACGAAGCGGAATCATTGGCGTGACTGGGAAAGCTCAAGGCTGTATAAGAGTCGAAGGAGCGAGGGTGGATATGAATTCGTAGACTGAACCAAATTGAGAAAAGCATTGGGAAACAGGCGAGGCTTGATTACACACCGCGTATTCATCAATCTAAGAGGCCGAGAGGTCGATAAGAGCGAATAGTGCATTGCAGCGCCAACTTTTGAATTCGAATTTATACGTTCACAAGCTACATAGATCGCAGCAGATGAGAGCAACATACAGAAACGGAAAAATAAACTTTGAAACTGTCGCATTTCGCAACCTGTAGCCAATGAGCTTTGGTTTTGGCGTGCCACGAACGTCGGGTGGCAAAGGTGACTAAAATTTAAATTTCGTTCGCAGAATCAAACGATTTCGAATTCGAATCAGCAGCTTCACTCGAGTGTATTTCTACGGGAAGTACGTTGCGACGAGCGAAGATCGCAGTTGCGTTGAACGGGCGGAACGGCGGCATGGTTCCAATTACGTAAAGAATAGACGTTGGAATGAACTGTGGGGACGCGATTGTTGGCGAACGAGCGAAAGGCAAATAAAAGCGACGTGGATCGCAAGACAGGTGGTATATAGGCCGATCGAGCCTGGCCGCGAGGCAGCTAGCGGAGAGGGAAGGAGGGTGGCGCCGAAGAGCCCATATCGCAGTGCGAGTGCGCGCGTCGTCGTGTGGAGCGGAGCGGCGGCGGTGACGGCGGCGACGGCGGCAGCGGAGGCGGCGGGACGAAGGGGTAAAAGCGAAGCAGCGGCCGGAGCGCACAGGGGCGAAAAGCTGCGTGCCGCCAGTCGGCGCACAGTCGAGTCCGCTGCTGGCTGGCCGTGACTGTAGTGTGCGAGGTCCGCTGGTGGTCGGCAGTGTGCCCCGACGCCGTCTCCGTGGGCAAGCTCGCGAGGGCCCGAACGTGGCGCGCGCGCGCGCAAGGGCCGCAGCCGTCGCCCCGTGCCGCGCAGCGAACTCCGGCCGAGCGTCGCGGCTCGCGCGGGCCGATGAGCAATCGATCGCGCGTCGGCCGCCGAAGCCTGCTACTGCCTCTTCAAAGCGATCGCGGGCCGCTGGCTCGACACGGACGGACGGCTACAGGGTCGCGGCCGAAACAAAGCGCCCAGCCGCCTTCGGAGCGCGCTCGGTCGTCACGCTCTGTTTACTGGGTCAGCGAGCTTGATACCGCTCGCTCTCGCTGGGCGTCAATGGACAGCGCACACGGCGTTGTTTATTGATCACCGCGGCCGAGGAAGCTCGTTCGCTAGGAGTGGCCGCGAGCGTCAAGGGATGCCGATGATCGTCGCTCGCGACAGACGCACACCGCACGCCCGTACGCTCTTAGCCCCGTGTCGTGGCGCGCGCCGCTCGCAGCCATCGTCCGACGAGGCGTCGCGCTGCACGCCTGCAATGCCGCGGAGAGAGCGCCCGCGCTCGCCAGTCGAGCGACAGGCAGCGATAAAAGAATATAAATAATCAAACGCACCCGGATTTCTATTTATATATTAACGCCACGAGCGCGCTCCTCTCGCTCCGCGAGGCGACGGGGCAGACTCGAGCGGCGAGCTTGCAAGCGACCAGCCATTCTCTCCACGTTCGAACGAGCAGCGGCGACGGCGACGGCGGCGACTACGACGACGACGACGACGACGACGACGAGGACGAGGACGAGGACGACGACGAAGAGGACACGAGCGAGCGAGCAGCTGTTTCCGTGTTCAGTTCGACGGCCAAGTCGAGGAGCTGAGAGAGAAAGAAAGAGAGAGAGAGAGAGAGAGCTGCGGGGCATCGAGCTCGAGCTTGCGACGACCTAACCTCAAAGAGTGCAGCCGAGCGACGTCGCTGATCGGTGTAGGGCTGCGCTGGCGGAGCATGAGCTAGGATTGGCTTCGAATTGGTGCTACGCGCCCGAGGAAGGCCGTCCACGAGCATGGGGTGAGTTTTCGAAGTAGAGCTTCCGGCGCATCGACGCGCGGCGGGGGCAACAATCTCGTCGGCGGAGTCGGCACAATGACGGCGTCGGCGCGCGACAAAAGGCGCCCGCGTATCTCGGACGCGCGCGAAAGTTGCTAGCGGCGTTTCTGGGTTAGCGGCTGCGCTCGCATTGTGCGCCCGTCTTCGCGGATGCTGCATTAATTGAAAGGCGCGTCGCGACGCCGCGGAGCGCGCGAAGTAGGTGACGAGCGCGAAAGTCAGAGGGGGAGTCGCGGGGCGCGAAAGTAGGCCGCGCGCTTTCACGCGGCGCGGGGCAGCCTTGAATCTCTCGCCGCGGGTGGGTGAGTGTGGGGTGATGGGGGGGGGGGGGGGGGGGGGGGTTGATAACCCGCGCTCGCGCCTCGGATCGGCTGGTTCGCCAGCGCGTCCGGCCCCCGTACGCGCGCCGTTCTATCGATCGCGGCCGAGAGGCGCGCGCGATGCAACTAGTGCACGTGCATCACAGCCACTGATCAAAGGGAAGCCAATCGGGTTCGCAAGCTCCGGCGCCGCGAGCTACGGCCTGCGGATTCGGCTGGAAAGAGCCGCGAGCGCCACCCGGGCGCTATATTTAGCCGCGCGGACGCGCAGCCGAATATGCCGCCCCGTCCGGAAAGACGCGCTCTCCTCACCCACCGCGCAGACTTCCGGCTCGCCGGCGCACATATTTATAGCCGGCGCGCGCTCGAGCGATATCGTGTATTTTCGAGCGCGCCTGGGGCCCTCGGCTAATATTAGTGGCGATCGATCATTTTACAAGCGCGCCCGGCGCGGCGCCGAAGCCCCGTTCCTCGAAGAGCGACGTCGCCTCGACGCCGGCGTGCGCCGCTCTATCGATTCGGCGTCGGGACGCCGGGAGCGGCGGGCCCCGAGGAGCCGCCGCGGCGGCTCGACGGGCCCCCGCTGAGGCGCGCACTCTGCGGCGCAGGTGGGCGCGCGGCAGCGGAGCGGCTCGCCAGGCTCTCCGGCGCGGGAGCCGCAGCGGCGGGCATGCGGCGCACTAGCGCGGCCGGCCCAGCGAAGCAGCAGCGGCGGCGGCGGCGGCGGCGCCGAGCGGCAGGCGGCGTCCGATGAGCGGCGGGGATGCGGGCGCGCAGCTGGGCCCGGCCCGGCTGCAGCCGCAGCTGCTCAACGGCAGCTCGCTGCCGGCCAGCAGCGTGGGCGGCAAGACCGGCGAGGCGGCGGGGGGCTCGCCCGGGCAGGCGGCGCCCGCGGGCGGCGCGGCCGGCGGCCCGGCGCAGGCCGCGGCCGCCAAGCGGCCGGCGCGGCGCGGCGGCAAGTCCCAGCCCGACCGGCCGCAGCGCGCCCTCTTCTGCCTGACGACCAAGAACCCCTTGCGCGCCTTCTGCATCCGCATCGTCGAGTGGAAGTATCCTTTGCAATCGACCGTCCCGCGGCTCCGCGCTTTTCTCGCAAGCCTCCGTCCTTAACTCGGCCAAGACCCTTCGAGTGGCTGATCCTGCTGACCATCTTCGCCAACTGCATCGCGCTCGCCGTCTACACGCCCTACCCCTTCCAGGATTCCAACGACGTGAACGCGGTGCTGGTGAGTATGAGCCGTGGTCCGTCGGGCTCCGCGAGGGCGCCGTCCGAGCTGACCGGCGATTCCGGCTGTCTGCAGGAAAAAGTGGAGTACGTGTTTCTGGTGATCTTCACTAGCGAGTGCGTGATGAAGATCATCGCCTATGGCTTCGTGGCGCACCAGGGCGCCTACTTGCGCAACACCTGGAACTTCCTCGACTTCACCATCGTCGTCATCGGGTAATTGTCGTCGGGACGTTGTCGGGTGATTGTCGGGTCGGCCGCGCGCTCACCCGCCGCGCACTTGCCTCTTGCAGGATGATCAGCACGATACTGGCGGCCTTCATGAAGGAGGGCTTCGACGTGAAGGCCCTGCGGGCGTTCCGGGTGCTGCGGCCCCTGCGGCTCGTCTCCGGCGTGCCGAGTGAGTAGTAGATGGCAGTGGTAGTAGCTGACCGCCTCGCGGTCCCGACTAACGGCCGACGTCGCAGGTCTGCAGGTGGTGCTCAACTCCATCCTGAAGGCGATGGTGCCGCTGCTGCACATCGCCCTGCTCGTCATCTTCGTCATCATCATCTACGCCATCATCGGCCTCGAGCTCTTCTCCGGCAAGCTGCACGCCACCTGCTGGAACAACATCACCGGTGAGCAGGGAGCGCGCGAGGCCGAACGCACGCGAGCCCGGACTCACTCGAGCTCCCTCGACACTTGCAGGCGACATCATGGACGACCCGCACCCCTGCGGCGACAGCGGCTACAGGTGCGACAAGCTCGGCTCCGAGTGGATCTGCGACACGAAGCGCTACTGGGAGGGCCCCAACTGGGGCATCACCAACTTCGACAACTTCGGCCTGTCGATGCTCACCGTCTTCCAGTGCGTGACCCTCGAGGGCTGGACCGACGTGCTCTACTCCATCGAGGACTCGATGGGCAGCACCTGGCAGTGGATGTACTTCGTGTCGCTGGTCATCCTGGGCGCGTTCTTCGTGATGAACCTGATCCTCGGTGTGCTGTCGGGGTAAGTGGGAGTAGGGGGGTCGCGGCGCCGAGCCGAGCCGCGGACGCGCGCTCTCTCTCTCTCTCACGGCGCTCTGTCGGCAGTGAGTTCTCCAAGGAGCGAGAGAAGGCCAAGGCCCGCGGCGACTTCCACAAGCTGCGCGAGAAGCAGCAGATCGAGGACGACCTGCGCGGCTACCTCGACTGGATCACCCAGGCCGAGGACATTGAGCCCGAGGCGGAGGAGCAGCAGATCAAGGACGGCAAAGGTGAGTTGGCGGGCCGGCTCGGGTCTGACGCTGTCTGACACTGGGGCTCGGCCCCTGCGCGCAGCCAAGCAGCACAGCGAGATGGAGAGCACCGACCGGCTGGAGGGCGAGGAGAGCGTGCAGCAGGAGTCGGCCTGGAGCCGCAAGAAGCGCGACTTGGAGCGCGCCAACCGGCGCATGCGGCGGGCCTGCCGCAAGGCCGTCAAGTCGCAGGTCTTCTATTGGCTCATCATAGTCCTCGTCTTTCTCAACACCGGCGTGCTCGCCACCGAGCACTACCACCAGCCCGACTGGCTGGACCTCTTTCAGGAGTACACCAACATGTTCTTCATCGTGCTCTTCTCCATGGAGATGATACTCAAGATGTACAGCCTGGGCTTTCAGGTACCTAGCCCGCTGCCCCCCGCGGCGTCCACCCGACAACGCGACTCGCTTCTCACCTCGTCCTCCTTCCAGGGCTACTTCGTCTCGCTGTTCAACCGCTTCGACTGCTTCGTCGTGGTCGGCTCCATCAGCGAGATGATACTGACCAACACCCACGTGATGCCGCCGCTCGGCGTCTCGGTGCTGCGCTGCGTGCGGCTGCTGCGAGTCTTCAAAGTGACCAAGTCGGTATACCGCGCGCGTGGCCGCGTCGCGCCGCCTTGCTAACTGTCGCGCGCCCGCAGGTACTGGCGCTCCTTGTCGAACCTCGTGGCCTCGCTGCTCAACTCCATACAGTCGATCGCCTCGCTGCTGCTCCTCCTGTTCCTCTTCATCGTGATCTTCGCCCTGCTCGGCATGCAGGTACGTCCAAGCGCCGCCCCGTCGCGCCCCGTCGTGTCTCATTTACGCTCCGCTTGCGCGTAGGTCTTCGGCGGCCGATTCAACTTCAGCGCCGAGGACGACAAGCCCAGGGCCAACTTCGACAGCTTCTGGCAGAGCCTGCTCACGGTCTTTCAGGTCCGCCCGCGGCCCGGCCGGCCTTCGGCCCGCCGCGCTCCCGCTGAAAATCTCATTGTTGCCTCCTTTGCAGATACTCACGGGCGAAGATTGGAACGCCGTCATGTACACGGGCATCCGCGCCTTCGGCGGCGTGGCCAGCTACGGCGTCCTCGCCTGCATATACTACATCATTCTGTTCATCTGCGGTAACTGTATCCTTTGAAAGGCAAACGCGGGCCTTCGGTGCGCGGAAGCGAATCTCGTTCCTTGACTCCGACACGCCGCGCGCAGACATCCTGCTGAACGTGTTCTTGGCCATCGCCGTCGACAATCTGGCCGACGCCGAGTCGCTCACCGCCATAGAGAAGGAGGCGGAGGAGGAGGTAAGCGCTCTCGATAACTACCGCGCTGACATCGCGCTGACGATAAAACTCGCGCGACTTGACTCGCACGCAGGCCGAGAAGAACAAGTCGAGGAGCGGCTCGCCCCACGACGAGATGAGCGGCTCGGCCCACGACGACGGCGAGCTGACGGGCGGCGAGGACGAGGAAGGCGGCACCGACCTCGAGCAGGACCCCAACGAGACGCTCGAGGACTACGAGGCCGACGGGTGAGTCTCGCTCTCGCTCTCGTTCTCTCCCTCTCGCTCTCTCGCTCTCTCGCTCTCTGACAGCGCGGTCGTCGCGTCGCGTTGCAGCTCGGAGAAGGCCGAGGGCAAGGTGAGGATCGACCTGGAGTCCGAGGAGGAGGACATGGAGGCGGAGGACGAGGACGATCGCACGGAGATACAAGGTAATCGAGCGCCGAGGCGGGAGGGGTAGCGCGTTACTGAAAGCGACGTCTGCGCGGACAGAGGACGACATCGACAACGAGGTGACGGCCAGGCCGCGCCGGATGTCCGAGTTTAACATGGGCACGAAGATCGTGCCCATCCCGCCGGGCACCTCGTTCTTCGTGTTCTCGCAGACCAACCGATTCCGCGTCTTCTGCCACTGGGTGGCCAACCACAGCCTCTTCGGCAACATCATCCTCGTGTGCATCATGATATCGTCGGCGATGCTGGCCGCCGAGGACCCCCTCGTGTCGGAGTCGCCGCGGAACAGGGTTGGTTGACTGCTCGGCCTACGCCGCCGCGAGCACCCGCCCGAGTCACGCTCTCTGCTTGCAGATCCTGTCGTACTTCGATTACTTCTTCACCAGCGTGTTCACCATCGAGATCTGCCTGAAGACGATATCCTACGGCTTCATACTCCACGACGGCGCCTTCTGCCGGTCGTCCTTCAATCTGCTCGACCTGCTGGTCGTCATCGTGTCCATCGTGTCCACGCAGCTCAGGTACGAATAGTCCGCGATACGATACGATTCGAGCGGCCCGCGACGGAGAGCCTCACGCCTGCCGCCCAATTGCAGCTCCGGCGCGGTCTCCGTGGTGAAGGTGCTGCGAGTGCTGCGAGTGCTGAGGCCCCTTCGAGCGATCAATCGTGCCAAAGGACTGAAGGTACGCCAGGCTGTTGTCGTCCGCTCGCGCACTCTCCGCGCGATCGCTGAGCTTCGTTTCCGCCGTGGTCCGCGTCGACACCCGAGACCATTGCTGGCCCGCGTGCCGCGGCTCCTGCACTTTGCGGAGTCCAGCCTCGAAGCGCAAGGGGGGTTGCCTTTAGGTACAAGCGCTCGCGGTATCGCCGTCGATCGATGAGGGGGCAAGAGTAGTCCGACGGCTCGTAAACAGACAGACTATTTCACGATTCAATGTTAATGCGTCCTTAGCACGTAGTACAGTGCGTCATCGTAGCCGTAAAGACTATCGGAAACATTGTCCTCGTCACCAGCCTTCTGCAGTTTGTGTTCGCCGTCGTTGGCGTACAGCTCTTCAAGGTAGGACCGAGAGCCCTCAAAACCCTTTTGTTTTGTCCGATCGAGCAGTTTACTCCTAAATTCGTTCAACCTCTTTGTTTTTTTTTTCGTTTACCTGTTGTTGTTTTTTTTTTTTTTTTTTTTTTTTAATATTCTTTTCTTCTCTCAACGATTACGTTCCTTCAAAATGTCAACACTTTTTTTTCCGCGCCCAACTGTTTAATTGCTTGTTCAACCTGCTGAACAACTCGCAGTCTCCCAAAGTTAATTTATTTTAATTTTTTTTTAATATCCGCTTTTTTGTTTGTGTCTGCCGAGTTCTGTTCATTTATAACCTGATTGGTGCACCTGTTGGGTTTACCCTTGTCTATATATACATAGTTACTTTACAGTGAACATTGTTTCTGTTCTCGTCTTATGCCTTTTATTTGCTGATTTCCAATGGCAATTAACTGTAACACTTTTAAATAGTTCGTTCAAAATAACTACTCGGGATACCAAGAGTTTTTCCGAATGAATTGTTGACAAGAGCTGTGATACAAGCCTGCATCGTTCATTTTTTAAGTATTCCTTTGTCACGTGGCTTCTCACCGTTTCTTAAATAGATTTCCCACTCACGTACAACGTCAGTCTCCGAGTAAACTCAGTGCCGGAGTGTAAAATTAAATAGAAAAAAAAAAAGAAATTACAGAGAAATGAAATTCGGTGAAACTTGACCTGAAATGGTAGTGAACAAAGTGACATTTAGAGATTTGCATGCTTTGCGGTGGTGTGCTGATTAACAAAATTATCATTTGATTAACACAGTCAGAGGTGTTGAGTAAACAGCATATGTAATAGAAAAGTGCGCAACGAAATTCAAAGACGAAGGGGGTTGGATCGACCGAGAGGCGCGCGGGGCTAGAGAGAAAGACCGCATACCTTATCTCCCTTGGAAAAACCGATCTTGATGTTTCCCCGCAGCGACAACTGCATACTGCATATAGTTTCCAGATATTTCAGTGTCCCCCCACCCCGGCGTCGACGTGGAGAGAATGGAAGAGGTTAATCTCGCCAAGACGATCTGCATTGCGATCGCTTCCTTTCCATTCTCTCCCGGTCAGTCGTTTCCGTTTCTGTAAATACACTTGGTTATCAAATAATTGCAGAGAGCCATGGCAATAGTCTACGTGTGTCGATGTGTTGTTTAGATCAAAGAATTACATTGTGTATTTTAGCAGACTTTGTGTCCTAGAATTTTTGTATACATCTTTGTATATCCATAAGCGTGTGTATGTTAGAAGCAGATACTTGGCATAGATAGAGAGCTGCCGAAACTCGTAATATACTCACAATTAGCTATGACACGTATCAATAATCAATTGGACTTGAAGTCAGGCGAAAGTAACGATCCGATCGCACCGGGCGAGCGCATTCGTAAATCCCAACTGGTGCAACTGACGTTGAAACTGATTTTTCATTTCGGATATTGTTTTTGAGGAGAACGAAGTTAGGAGACGAGTAGGCTGTATAGGCTCGCGCGACCGCCAATTGCAAATCAGATCGCGATCCTGGCGCGAACGATATCTCGGCGAACGACGACGGTCAACTTATCGATCTCGAATAAAGCAAATCGAAAGTAGCGGCTGCAAATATCACAGCAAAGTTTTCTGCCGCGATGTGTCAATTTATCTAGTCAGAGTCATCCAGTTATAGTCGGAGTACAATCTTTTCCAGACATTGATATGGCCGAGGAAAAGATTGTGCTCTCTGCCACATGTTTCAGTGATGGACCTTGGTAGCTTTGAGGATTCATGATTATCGTCGTGTTGTCAAATATGTCGGTGTCTCAGCGACGCCGCGGTCTATCACTGTCTCATTCAATCTAAACTGCACGCTCATAATATTAATGAACCAAAACCATATATTTGTACACAATGAAATGTCCTAAACTAATATCGTTCTCTCTGATTTTTTTTTATCAATCCTGTGTGCTCGCTCGTCTCCACCTCCACCTGTGTGTCCGCAATTGCAAAAAAACCGAACGAAACGTGCTCGTGTGTTTTGCTCCTGGCTGCAAAAAAACAAAAAAAACAACAAAAAAAAACAAAAAAAACCAAACAATAAAATAATCGCCTAAAATCCACCAAACCAAACAAACAATAGTACGTAGTCAAGTGTGTGATTGTCGCCATTAAAACGATCGGCAACATTATGTTGGTCACCTATCTCCTACAGTTCATGTTTGCCGTTATCGGCGTCCAGCTCTTCAAGGTAAACATCCTACTCTGCCTAGATGAACATTTTTGTCTGTCTCTCATTTCCCTATCGTAGCATATACATAATTTTGATGTGACGTAGCCTGTAGTCGCTTATGTAAACGAGCTTTTCTCACGTAGCGCTGCAATTTTCAAGCCACTAGCATGACCTCTCCGAAAGTAAGATTGCTCGGTCCGGGAGTATCATCGAGTTCCGTGTGGTTCCGTGTTCGGCTGCACGTTAACGCCAGTAACAGAATAACGCTTGCGCGCCACTTCCGAATGCTCGAGACTTGATGGCTGTTCGCGTAGTCGCATGCTTGACGTTTGTGTCTGTTGCACGTAAACCAGTAACATTAACCAGAGTGAAAGTAACGTCTTCGGGATGCGGATGGCCTGGACAGTTTTCGTAATAGGCCTTTCAAAAGCAAAATCTCGCCTGCATGGAGAATCTCACTTGGCAGATCTGTTCGTTTGAGAATCGCAGCTGCAGTGCAAGTTCCTGTGCACCGAAAGTACAGCTTCGGACTTGAATCGAGCAAAAGTGGCACGCTTATCGCTGTGCACGCGTACATATAGGATAGTCGTTAGGGGGTAGAAGGTTGTGCATTTCGTTGGAATCGTAGCATCAACTTGCCGACGGCATTATTCAAGCACGTCCTTGCCCTTATTTTGTCATGGCACCTTGTCGATTGAGAACACGCCCTAACGCATTAGAGAATGTAATAGACGAGCCAGTAGCAAAGAGCTAAAGGGAGACAAGAGTAGCCACGTCAAATGTCGTAAGGGGGAATAAGAATATTGTTTTCACGTCGCCTCGTTTCGAGGGCAAAGAGGCATTGTCGACGGGAATGCACGCACACGGGAGTGAAGTTGCGAGCAGTGTCTTTGATTTTTCGTTGCCTTGAGACTATTATATCATTGCAATTATCGTATTTCCTTTTTCTTTTCTCTTTTTTTTTGATTCTTGAATTTCGTTCACACTTTTTTGCGCCGCTGCGATCCAAAGCCACAGCACACGCTGAAAGACTCTCCTCTTTGATTCTCCTCCATTGTTGCTTTGGTTGCACTGGCTTTCGTCGTAACGTTTTGAAAGGCTTTTTCCTGTGCCGATGCCGTGTGTGTTTGCCTCGATGTGTGTCCTTGCTTGCGTCGGCCGCGCGAGCCGAGCGATATTCGGCGCCGAATAACGCCAGTGTTCGATGCTGCGCAGGGCAAGTTCTTCTCTTGCAACGATCAGTCGAAGATGACGCTGGAGGATTGCCAGTGAGTAGCCAGTTTTGCGTATCGCGCGCGAGTCGACTCGCCTGCAGCGTAGGCTAACCGGCGTGCGACCTGTTTTAAAGGGGCACCTTCATCAAGTACGAGGACGGCAACATCAACAAGCCGGTGACGGACGAGCGCAAGTGGTCGCGCAACACGTTCCACTTCGACGACGTGGGCAAGGCGATGCTGACGCTGTTCACGGTGTCGACCTTCGAGGGCTGGCCCGGGTAGGTATGGGTCATGGGGGGGGGGGGGGGGGGGCGCGCGGGGCGTGCGCTGACGTGACGTGTGCGGCCGTCCGCCAGGTTGCTGTACGTGTCGATCGACTCTAACGCGGAGGACAAGGGCCCGATCTACAACTTCCGGCCGATAGTGGCCGCGTACTACATCATCTACATCATCATCATCGCCTTCTTCATGGTGAACATCTTCGTGGGCTTCGTGATCGTGACCTTCCAGAACGAGGGCGAGCAGGAGTACAAGAACTGCGAGCTCGACAAGAACCAGGCAAGTGGCGTGGTCGAGGAGTGTGTGTGTGTGTGTGGGGGGGGGGGTCGCCTGGCGCCGGGGCTGACGTGGGCGTCGCGTTGCAGCGCAACTGCATCGAGTTCGCGCTGAAGGCCAAGCCGGTGCGGCGCTACATCCCCAAGCACCGCATCCAGTACAAGGTCTGGTGGTTCGTGACGTCGCAGCCGTTCGAGTACACCATCTTCATCCTGATCATGATCAACACGGTGACGCTGGCGATGAAGTTCTACCAGCAGCCGAAGCCCTACACCGACCTGCTCGACGGCCTGAACATGGTCTTCACGGCGGTGTTCGCGCTCGAGTTCATCTTCAAGCTGGCGGCCTTCCGCTTCAAGAATTACTTCGGCGACGCCTGGAACGTGTTCGACTTCATTATCGTGCTGGGCAGCTTCATCGATATCGTGTGCTCGGAGGTCACGGTGGTGAGCGTAAGTAGGCGCGCGCGGCCGGCCGACGGCGACGCCGCGCTCGGGCTGACGCGCTCTGGCCCGTTGCAGTCGGGGCCGAGCCTGGGCATCTCCATCAACTTCTTCCGGCTGTTCCGCGTGATGCGGCTGGTGAAGCTGCTCAGCAAGGGCGAGGGCATCCGCACGCTGCTCTGGACGTTCATCAAGTCGTTCCAGGCGCTGCCCTACGTCGCCCTCCTCATCGTCATGCTGTTCTTCATCTACGCGGTGATCGGCATGCAGATGTTCGGCAAGGTGATCATCGAGGACGGCACGCCGATCCACCGCAACAACCACTTCCAGAACTTCCCGCAGGCGGTGCTGGTGCTGTTTCGCTCGGCGACCGGCGAGGCCTGGCAGGAGATCATGATGGCCGTCAGCGACAATCCCGAGAAGGTCAAGTGCGAGCGCGTCGTCAACAGCACCGAGGGCGAGAGCTGCGGCTCCGACCTGGCCTTCCCCTACTTCATCTCGTTTTACGTGCTCTGCTCGTTCCTCGTGGGTATTGCGCGCGCGCGCGCGCGCAATCGCCTCCGAGCCGAGCGGCCGCTGACCCACGCCGCCTGCGTTGCAGATCATCAACCTGTTCGTCGCGGTCATCATGGACAACTTCGACTACCTGACGCGCGACTGGTCGATCCTGGGGCCGCACCACCTCGACGAGTTCATCCGGCTGTGGTCCGAGTACGACCCGGACGCCAAGGGCCGCATCAAGCACCTGGACGTGGTCACGCTGCTGCGCAAGATCTCGCCGCCGTTGGGCTTCGGCAAGCTCTGCCCGCATCGGGTCGCCTGTAAGCGCCTCGTCTCCATGAACATGCCGCTCAACAGCGACGGCACGGTGCTGTTCAACGCCACCCTGTTCGCCGTGGTGCGCACCTCGCTCAAGATCAAGACCGAGGGCAACATCGACGACGCCAACGCGGAGCTGCGCGCGGTCATCAAGAAGATCTGGAAGCGCACCAGCCCCAAGCTGCTGGACCAGGTGGTGCCGCCGCCGGGCGTCGACGACGAGGTCACCGTGGGCAAGTTCTATGCCACCTTCCTCATCCAGGACTACTTCCGGCGCTTCAAGAAGCGCAAGGAGCTGGAGATGCGCGACGGCGACAAGGACTGCCACAACGCGGTCACGCTGCAGGCCGGCCTCCGCACGTTGCACGAGGCCGGGCCCGAGCTCAAGCGCGCCATCTCCGGCAACCTCGAGGAGCTCATGGACGACAACCTCGAGCCCGTCCACCGGGTGAGCGAGCCCCGAGGACCCCCCCCCCCCTCCCCGCGCGACCCACCCGCTAACCGCAGGCCGCTTCTCTTTGCAGAGGAACCACTCGCTCTTCGGCAGCATGTGGTCCAGCGTGCGCAGGCACGGCCAGCAGAGCTTCAACCGCGCCAAGTCGCTCAAGCTCAACTCCTCGGCCGGCAAGGTAGGCCCGCCTCCGCCTCCGCTTCGCCGCACGCTCTCCCCTCGACGTGCTTCGCCACCGCTCGCTGCGCCGACCGGCCGTTCCACCTCGCGATCCCTCTAACCCGAGCGTTGCACTGTTCAAGGCCTCGCCGACCAATTCCATAGATTTCCTGCCATATTCTTCGTTGCAGAGGGGAGGACCCGACGCCCCCCATCAGATCAACGCCAGGGCGCACCAGGTCGTGCCGAACGTCGCTGGGTAACGATCCGAGTCGCCTGCCCGCGACGCAGCCTCCGTCCGCTCACGCGTGCGCTTGCTTTCAGGGGCTTCACCGAGAACGCCATGGGCCCGCTGGGCATCGAGCCCCGCCTGCTGGGCGCCGACCACGAGAGCATCCCGCTCAGGCCGCTCGCCATCTTCGGCGGCCAGCAGCTCCTCAACTTCCGCGCGCCCCAGAAGCTGCTCGAGTAAGTCCTCTCACGCACGCGTACCTGCCGGTCTCGCGCGTGCGCGGTCTTCTCTCGCCCGGGAACTTGGTCCGGTAGGGCCTGGCGTTGTCGCTATTTGCCGGCCAGTCGCCAACGTCGCGTCAGGATTGTAAGCGAGCATCGACATCAAGAGCGATTTTCAAACTTTTCTTTTCTCTTTCTTTTCCTTTTCTCCTCATATCGATCGTTGCGTTGTACAATATAGTCGTTGAGAGTACGTTTTTTCTAGATATACTTGAGACTTTTTTATCTATCTATCTATCTATCTTTTCTCTTTGTGTCTCGTGGTGTGTAGTGCATGGGCGATTTATATAAGCATCGATTTATAACTATATACATATGTACAAAGAGTCTACTATGAATATTATACATATATATAGATACACACTATTTTTTTTTTCTTTTTTTTGTTTCGACGAGCCCGAGTATGCGATTGCTTATGCGTTTCTTTTCACGAGTTTTCTTCCACTTTTGCAGTTTTGTGTAAAGGGCAACTTTCACACTTTGAGGCTTTCTCTCTCTCAACGGCTGAAAAGTATAAACGTGGACCGGCGATTGGCACGTTGTTACATTGACAGTGTATATTCTTTCATTTTTTCTCATTTTTCCCGACTAAGCCTATTATTACCGGCACGCTCGTTCGATGTTTTGCTCCTCTCTAGATTGAACAGAAAAAAAAAGGAAAGCAAACAGTATTTTTTTTTTTCTTTTTTATCATCCAAATCAAGTAGTCGACGTATATATTTATGCCATTTTTTTTTTCGTTTTTTTTTTGTATATCAATGTTGACAATCAACCGAATACCAGTGTACAGTAATTTCGATGTGAATCACTTCTCTGGCTGTTTTCCATAGCGTGAAATGGATGTGTATACCTATACGTACCTGTCACTTGAGAGTAGATCGAGGCTCGTGTATTTGATCATTCTGATTATTCTTGTATATAATGACTATTAGCAAAGTATTAATGTTTCCTCACGATCCGAATATGAATAAGTGCACGGAATTTGCCGTCAACGAGCGATCGCGAGTTGAAGTAAGTTCCGTCAAAGTGAGCGACGTCCAAGACGAACGGCATGCTCGCGCAAATCGACACGATCGTCATTGTAAATAAGAAGCATCGTAACAAGAGCATCTCGCGAGAGAGAGCCGTGCGCAGTCTTGACGTCTATCGCTTGAACGTTAACTGTGTGTTGGAGCTTGTTGCTGATTGTCGTACGTTTCAGTGGACCTGGTAGCGGTAATTATCTGCATCCACATAGGGATTACGGTAAGAGCCGACCTTACAACACCTATAGAATTACTATTCGCTGGCCCATCCTGTCCATCTTGCTACCGACCATCACTCTACGTGTCCACCGCTTTGTCTATTGCCACCTCCTTGTGTCTTGCTGTGCCGAGAGGTCGGCCGGCGCCGGCCGCGTCGCCCGGCGAGGCGCGGCCAACGCCGGCCGACGCGGGCGGTCCGGGCACCAGCGCGCGCGCGCGCATGCTGCACGGGGACGCGTCGCGGGCTCGGGAGCTTGCCGGGACGGGCGCCGAGGAGCACCGGGCGGGTCGCCGGGTGACGGCGCGGCAGCCGGCCTACGGAGGGAATGTAGCCTGTGCTGTGACTTGTTTGCAAACCACCGACGGGGCGGCCGACGCAGCAGCAGTCTTCAGGACGGAGTCGAGCGGCAGCTGACGGGCGGCGCGGGCGCGCCCGGCCCGGCGCTGAGCGGCGCCGGGGCGCGGCGCGCCGCCCGCCCCGAGGGCAGCTCCTCGCAGGCCACCAGCACCTCGGTCTCCAGCCGCGCCTCCTCCCCGGACGGGCCCGCCGCGGGCGACGCGCGCCGCGCGGACGAGCACGGCGACGAGGACGAGGACGGCGACGGCGACGGCGACGGCGACGACGACGACGACGACGGCGACGACGAGGACAGCCAGGACGGCGCGGACGAGGAGAGCTCGCTGGAGAGCTCGTCGGCCTCGGGCGCGCGCAACGACGACAGCGGCGGCTGGGTGCGCGCGGCGCCGCGGCCCGCCTCGGCCGCGCCGCGCGCCCACTACCAGGGCCGCCGGCGCGCCGCGCCCGCGCGCTCCCTCGCCAGCGGCCTGAGGCTCGCCCAGACGCAGGCCATCGCCGTGGCCGGCTTCCTCGCCGACGTGGACGCGGCCGAGCTGCGGCTCTGCGACGGCTGCCTCTCCCACCGGGCCTCCTACCACGGCAGAGGTGACCCAGCGCTCCCGTCCGCCTCCCGCCCTGCCCCCCGCCTCCCCGCCGCGCGACGCCCCGCCCCGCCCCCGCTTGCCGCCCCGCTCGGCGCCGCGCGCGTGCCAGGGGCGCCTACCGACCCTCTCACTGTGGCAGTGTCCTGGGGCCGCGAGAGCAACGGCGGCGCGGGCGCGGAGCGCCTGTCCCACAGCCTGCCGGGCAGCCCGGCCGAGCGCAAGTCCAACTTCGAGGTGGTCGGCAGCGCGGAGAGCCTCGTCGGCCGGGTGAGTGCCTGCGCCGTGGCCGGGCGGAGCGCGCGCTGACCGCCGTCTGCGTTGGCAGGTGCTGGTGGAGCAGGGCCTGGGCAAGTACGCCGACCCCGAGTTCGTGCGCAACACGTCGCGCGAGATGCGCGAGGCGCTGGACATGACGCGCGAGGAGATGGACCGCGCGGCCCACCAGCTGCTGCTGCAGGAGCGCCGCGGCCAGCCGCTCAGCTACCAGCTGCAGCAGGAGGCCGCCTGCCTCGGCCTGGCGCCGCCGACGCCGCCGCAGCAGCAGCAGCAGCAGCAGCAGCCGCCCACGGCCGGCGGCCTCGATTACCAGCCGCTGCCGGACGCCCACCACCAGAGCCAGCAGCAGCCGCACTACCGCCAGCTGCAGCCGCCGTCCTAGCGACGCCGGCCTGCCTTCTGCACGCGGCGCCGGCGCCGGCGGCGGCGGCCGCCTCGTCGGCGGCCCGCGCCGGACCACCGACGAGCCCCCGGCCTCGGCTCGAGGGACAACAAGTGCCTAAGTATCTAATGTAGCATTCGACTGGACCAGCGAACAATTTTATCGAGGGCGTTCGGTCGCCGCCGTCTCGGGCGCGGGCGAGGCTAGCCGACGGCGAACACACGCCGCTGGGAGGAGGAAAGGCCAGCGGTCCAAATTGTCCCGCGACGCACAGGCGCGTAGACGCATCGTTCTCTCTCCGCGGCCTCCTCGCAGGGGGCGCACTCGCGTTGCCGTACGCACGGGGACGCTCGGTCAATCCACAAGTAAGTGCCCTTATCCATAGTTCGTTGCGCATTTTCTCACTCCGACCGCACCGTTTCGTTTGTCACACGGGACTGCACGTAGGATTACACTTACGATTATACTTTGTACGATCCGGCGTTTTTTACATTTGATAAATTTTTCTATGTACGATCAGAACTGGCACGCAACTGGCACGACGTTTCCTCCTCCCAGACGACTCAAGCGCTAACATGTTACTCGTTCCCGCTGTGCTGGAAAATTCAAATATTTACGGGATATTATAATTATCGGCGGGCCAATGTTTAAAGAGTATATAGCTATGTTATACGTGACACTAGAACACCCGAGGAATCCAAACGTTACGAGCACGTCGGTCGCACGACGATTTTTCTCGTTCCGACGAGCGAAGGAAGCGCCAGCCACGGGCGCTCTCGTTTCTCTCTCGACGATACATTTTCAGTGCCAAAAATCCCGAGCAAGACAGCATACTCGAGACCAGCGACCTTTGCGGTTCGACCATTGACGTACGAGCATTTCCGACGAGCCAGTCCCTGCAATGAAACGTGGTACAAAAAGCTTCGCGTTCGCCTCACATTTATACTTTCTTCCTGGAGCAACTCGATCGGGCGGTCGCCGTCGCAACGACCGTCCTGTCGTCCGCGGCGAGCGCGCAACGTAGGAGACAGTTGGCGCGCGTCGATGCGCTGGATGTGATCGGCTTGGCGCGCTACAAGGCTGCAAGCCCGAACGTTCAGATAGGTGTGTAGTTAGGTAACCGTTCGCTCAATCTAGCTGTTAAGAGCCTCGCCGAGGTAATTTTATGGGTTATTTTTCTTGTTTTTTACGAATCTACTCCGTCGCGCGACTCCGCACTCAACATCTCTGACCGAAACGACCGCGCGATTCTCACACTATATAAACTCCAATAACTATACGCACACCGGAAGCATTTCCAAATAAATGGCCTTTGAATGCCGAGTGTACGGTCATTTATTTGCGGGAAGTTCTTCGGAAAAAGAAAAAAAGACAAAAAAGACAAAAAAATAAAACTCTGTGACGCACAAGCCAGCGGGTGATATCCGTGTCAAAGTTGTGGTCGCGTACTGAAATTCGTAGTAGTCGAACGGTGATTCAACGCTCACGCGGAATATTTTTTCAACAGCAAATCGGATAAATTTTTGATAGCCGAGCTTCGGGTACAGCCGCGACGGTACGCGTCGCGGAGAGCACGCGACCACGTGTACACGGGATATTGCGCGCGGGAAATAATAGTCTAACGAAAATTTAAAAAAGCATTCTCATTAAAAATAACATTAACAATATAATCAAATGAATATATAACAAGTAACTGTGGCACATAACTTCGAACAAACCATAAGAACATATTTTTCATAAGGTTCGTTACAATACACTTCACTCGAGTTGGTGTATTGAACCGTCGATCGCAGAAATAACCATTGAGAGTATGGCGAGACTCTGACCACTTTTCAATTGTGTACTTACACTATGTAGTTTGTAAATATAAAGATTATTAGCACCGTTGATGAATATTTACGAACAATATTAGTTATATTTGTCTGGAAATAAAAGGCTTTCTCACTTTCAATATGCTTCTAAAAAATAAAAAATAAAAAAAAAAGGAACGACCCTGCGCACATGCGTATCGAAGTCATCTTTGTTTCTTTTCGTGTAAAAATTGAATTAAAAAGAAGCGAGTGCGATTATGTATATCCTTTGCGAAATAACAAAAAAAAAAAAAAGAATAAACAAAATTGTCAGAAAGTAAGCATAAGCTAGCGTGCGAGCAATTTTAACACAAAAGAAAATAAAAAAAACTAAGAAAAATTGTTGTTGATGTTACTGTCGAAAATGTGTCAAATTTAAATATACGGATTTGAGATATTGAAATTAAGTTGGCGTGTTTTTCAATCTATCCCTTCCAAAACCAATTGATTCGACTTGATATCGTAGCTGGAAAACCCGAAGGTTATCTTGGTTTTGCTTGCAGACAGTGAGAGCAGCTGAAGAGATTTGAGGCAAGACTTGTGAGCTGGCTGTATTCGATTGTTACGAACTTATACACGTGGAGAATTATTCAAAACTAATGTGAAAATGCTTGCGGCAAGAACATGAAATGCCGATTATTGAATAAGATGTACTGTCTGTTTTGATAGCATTTTTGCATTCACCTATTTTGGGACACAGATAGAACCTTTGCAATCGCAAATGATAATACTGACAGTATTGTTTTGCGGATAATTATGCTACTGCTATACACAATCATTAGAAACTTTCTACATAAGAGCAATTAGACATCGAACATCGGACGCCACACGTCGAAAGTGTAAAAATTAATTATTCGACATTAATTCGTAAAATAAAAATAAATGTTGTACATGGTCTTTTCAGACTAAGCCCAAATTGGCTAAGATAATGCCAAGCAATCAATTTGTTTTTTACCTCAGTATTCATCTAACATCAGGATGTCTGATGTCCGATGACTCTTATTCCAAATCCCTTATTCAATCGCGCTCGAGGTAAAGATTCCTTTTGGATGCTATCCATAAACCAATCTGTCACAATCATCTGACACTGCACCTATCGGATCAAATGTTATATCCAAATCAGCCTCTTCTCGCGATAATGCGATAAAAATCGTTACAAGATTATTCACTGTGAAGTTTAGCTCACGAATTTACGAATTTTTTCAGGTTTTTTTTCAATAATTTCAGGTATTCGCAATAATAAACAAATGCACAGAACTTCAATAAATTGATTTCATTATTCTGAGCTATACTCAATTCATTTAGGCTGCATATATTACATTAATTACAAGTTGATTTAATAGGAAATCACAAAAATTCAACTCGGACCGTCCACATTTTAAAAAATTATTTATCCATTCTCTTAAAAGTATCTCACTTTTGTTAGTAACGAACTTATAGTTATATGAAATTGTCCTATGAGATAAAAATACGATATTTAGTTTGAATGGAGGGTGCCATCTGGAAGTTTAGAAAGACACCAAACTGCTGCTGTTATTAGACTTATTGGCTCTTGAATGAACATCGGCTTTTGGCTGTAGCAAGATACAACGAAGCAGAAACACTCATGAAAGTTAATCAATCGATTTCAACTGAGCAAAAGCCAATATTATTTTAGTACTTGGGCAGCTTTCTTGGCCTTAACTAATTCAACTAGTTCCTGTAATCAACACGCCATCACATTAGTACAATAAAACTTATCTCTTTTATACCAAACAATTAATTGTAAAAATACTAACTTTATATCGTTTCATACATTCCTTTTTTGTTCTAGAAGGTAGGCATGCTGAAATTTGGTCCCATCGATCTGGAACACTGGCAGGATAAGTCTTGAGTGCCTGTTCAAGTAACTTTTGCTCGGCTGGTGTCCAAGGTGTAGCTACTGATGACTCCTTCTTATCTTTGGCTCCAGTGTCGTTCTGCTTTTCGGTTACTAAAAAATTTGTCAGACAACGTTCAGTCATAATCTGAATCACATGCTGCCATTCGATCTAAAGTGAAGAAACTTACCTGTAGCTTTTGCCTGCGTATTTTTACCATTGGCAATAGGATTGTCAAGTCTTTCTGTGACCGCCGGCATTCTATCGTCTAGATCTTTGTGCTTTTTCTCAGCAATGAAGTTGTCAAAGGCTTTCTTATTCGCCTGCTCCTTAAGACTCGATTTACTAAAATCTGTAGATTGTAAGTCCTTCGCCTTGGCTAGAACCTCTTTCGCATCGCGTTTTACGCTATTTGTCGAATTTGTGTGCTGGTTGATAAAATTTGCTACGACTTCCCAGCGTTGATTTGTACCCGCAGGAAAGAGATTTACCGCCTTTATCAAAAGCTGCAAATCGCTCTCCGACCACGGAGCAGTATGCGCTTTCACCTATATAATGATCCACAAATTAGTTTTGTTTTAACCAATGCAATAATATATGGTATAAAAATTGATTGCTCTAACCTGTTTCTCTAAAGGATTTTTCACATCGCTGTGACCTAGAGCAGCTCTACGCTCAGCCTCGATTTTTAAATCAAGTTCGTTCATGATCCTCACGAAGGCAGTTTTGCCCTCGCTGCGCACGCTCTTCACGGATTCTTCTAGCTGCACCAACTTGAACAATTCGCAGATCTTCTCCATACTCTCCATGTGTCGGATGCTCTGTTCAGTCGTTTCGGCAAAGTAATTGTTTTCTTTACAAAGGTCTCTGAAATTTTTGCGCTCCCTACGTAGCGCCTTCTTCTGCACCTCCCGTTCTTGTTTAAGCGCTTCTGCCTTGGCCCGTCCTTCCGCTTCGCGCTTTTCCTTTTCTAAACGCTCCTTCTCAGCTGCTTCCCTAGCCAATCGCTCCTCTTCTTGCTGACGAGCTCTCGCCGCTTCCTGCTTGGCACGCTTCACCGCCTGTTTTTTATCCTTGTCTTCTTGTTGAAACCTCCTGATTCGAGGATCTATACTATAAGCCATATCTACTAGTGAGCGTATTCTCACTACTTCCTCTTTTTTTTTCTTTGCTCGGACTTGTTTATTCTTTTTCTCGATCCACTTTCTTGTGTCACGGCTAAAAATCCAAAGATTAGCTTTCTTTGCTATATAAAAAAAGTTATTGACAGATTTTATCTATAAATACAACTTACTCTTGTCCGCTTTCTTTATCTTCCTCATCTTGATATGAATATTCTCTCCAGGATTCAAATCCATACCAAAATAGATAAAACTTTTCTACTTGCTCTCTAGGAGTGTTCTCGTTACCAAGTTTAGGAACTGGCTGTTTGATGGACCAACGAGCATTGTCCTTGAAGGCCTGGCCGATGACCTCATAAAAATGCTCTTTAGCTTCTCTCTCCTCTGGCAAACTATCATTGAAATATGGATCTACACTGTCATAGCTTCTTCTTTTGACTGGATTTCCCAGAGTTTCCCACGCTTTTGTTATACACGTGAAATAATCATCATCTGCTCTAATTTCCTCTCCCATTGCTTTTCTTTTGTCCGGATGATGTTTGAGAATTTTGTGTTTATCTATTGAGAAAGTGTACATGTGAATACAAATAGCAAAAAATGCACCAAAGCTATAGTACTATTATGGTTCAAGACTTACATGCTCTCTTAATGACATCCTCGGTTGCTCTGTGTCGAAGATCTTTGATACCCAAAACGGCATAGTGATCCTGCTCTTTCCACTCTTTTGGATTAAGAGATCTTAGGTAAAGAATATCATCTTCGAATTTATAATTAGAAAAATCTTCTTCTTCGTCATTATTATTGCTGCAGTCTATAATTTCAGTATCTACTTTACCGTGATTTCCTTCCAACACAGACTTTAGCCATGCTTTATGTGACACATAAATTACTAAAGCATTTGATGATTCATTCATCCTTTCTCTGGCTGAAATTTTCAAAATAAAATGTTTGAAAAATAAATATTCACAGCTAAACACACATCAAATTATTTTTTTATTTTAATGCTTTATCATTGAAAAATTATTCATAACAATGTTACAAAGAATGTATTAGTTATAAATATGAGAAAATATATATCATATCTGAGTTGTTGGTAGAAGCTTATGATTACATGTATTGTATCCGAAGATGTCTAAATAATCTTAGCGCTACACGTGAGCGGAACTTCAAACTGAAATATTACGTCTAATCGACGTTGTGAAAAACTATATACACTATAATATACAATTGTCAGTACAATATAGTCGTGTGGCACTAAATATTAATCAGAAAATTTTATTATCAAACGCTTCACCCAGTGCAATTTTAGAAGACTAATAATACAAGATAAATTTAATTAGTTATATATTTCGGTTTCTCAGTGAGATACATATAAACATAACCTCCACGAATGGCTCAAGGGTATAGGAAATGCGAACTTACAATTTGGCGAGCGGACGTCTACACACGCGTCGGTTTTGGCCGTTTTCGCCATCCTTCAGGAGGCTACCTGATAATAATACCAAAACGTATGGGATTGTTGGGACTGGCGACAGGATTAGTTTCTTTAGATTATACTTAATTATAACTCCGCATCAGCGTCACGACGCGTGAAAACTGACTGAACCATGGAGAGAATAGATATAGTAATAGTACATATACATAAATATATTTACAGAATGAGACATAGACCCGCCAATCCCGATCCCGCTATTCGCATCTATATTAGATATTTTGTCATAGCCCGCCAGGGGGCGAGGCGCGAAATATAAGCTGTTTTGAAATTTATACCTATTGTTTGTGGAATATTAATTGTTGAAATCTCTTGTAATTAATGTGACTTTATTTATTATAGAAATTATAAAAATTTAATTATATAAATTATGTGAAATAAAATGACAATATAACAATTATTATTTATTTGGGTATTATTTGTCTGAAAGGTTATTATGGTTTCTTAGAAGTACATTTCGATGCTAGTGTCAAAATAGTTACTCTTCGATACTAATGCGAGCAAGTACGTGATTCCAGCCTCGTGTGGCCATCTCACCTTCGCTTCGCTCGGCCCCAAACGTCTGGGGGCCTATTCTGAAAAAAAATTTTGTGGTAAATCAGTTTGTCACTTCAGTTTACCACAGAATTAATCACTTTAGATGTGATAAATGCTTATGACATGTGCTAAAATTTTTTTTCGGAATAGGCCCCCTGGATATCATACTTTCTCCCACTTGTATTGAAAAATACTATTTTTTATGCGGTGTCTAATTCTAACGCAATTTCCAATTGATGAAAAAACTCTTTTGCATGTTTTTAATTTGGAAATTTCATACATATATTTATAAAAGAGCATTAAATATTCAATTTTTATCCCCACTTATCACAAATAAAGATTATTCATATTTCTTTTTACACATGTCCAACTATTAGTTTTTAAGTTCAAAGACTTTACAATACTTGATCGACTTTCCGACCAATAAAAATATTTTAATAATAATAATAATAATTAGAAGTCATATTTGCGAACGAATTTTGAATTTCCTATTGAATTAACTATATATACGATTAAATAAAAATTTTCATTTGCAAAAGAAGAGTAATTGATAGAAGCGAATCCTTTTATTGGTAGTTTTTTTGGACGAATTGGATTTTTTAGAAAGTCAAAATGAGTAACCTAGGTAACATCAAACATACCAGGTACGTACCCCGTGTAAACGTTTTTTGGAACTTTGGTAGTTAAGGCCCCGGTCCCATAGCTACGTATGAATGCGGACGGATACGGACGCGAATCGCAACTCTAGTAACATCACTAAAAATATCTAGTTCGATTATTTAGTACCAACACTACCGATAGTGAGCAAAAGTGACTGTTGTTTAAAACTGTAGCGCCGAACGTACCACATTTAATGTAACGCCTATCTAACCTTTACATTATTGTAGTCTATAAGATAGCAAATGATAGAGAATTGATAGACTTTCAACTACAATTAGTGGAATTAGGCCTTAATTTTATGGAAGTACTTGAATATATGAAAAGAAGAAGCAAATATATATATAAATGATATGTATTAATCATCCCAAAAGCTTTCTTTACATTATGCTAATGTAAAGAAAGAGTATGCACTCATCAATAAGCAATATTCATGAGAATTTGAAAAGTAAATTGTAGACCTGACATTTGAACATTAAATGTGGTACGTTCGGCGCTACAGTTTTAAACAACAGTTACTTTTGCTCACTACCGGTAGTGTTGGTACTAAATAATCGAACTAGATATTTTTAGTGATGTTTACTAGTGATGTTACTAGAGTTGCGATTCTCGTCCGTATCCGTCCGCATTCATACGTAGCTATGGGACCGGGGTCTAAAGAGGTACGAATAGGGAACGTAGCGGGAACCTACTCGTCTGCATAATAACGTCGCGAGAATGAGGTCCCTGGTACGTACCGAGGCGAAAGCCTAAAAGATGGTAGCCACCTTGCCAGGACCGAACTTTGGAAACGTTCTTGGTATACGTAGTTGTAATGTTCCCCAACAGAATCGAAAATTGCCCAATCTCCATGGCTACAGGTGCGTCGTTAGAGGACGTTGTACCTGGTATGTACAATGTACCGAGTACATACCGGAAGTGTGATATGAGAACGTGGTCCCCGCCCAAAAATAGAGGATAAGATCTTGGACATGAAATTGCGTAAGAAATTAACAACTATATAATTTAAAAAGTCATTTTGATATTTATTTTACAATAATTGGCTATATTACTTATGAATTAAATGTTCTACACTTATGCCAATAATTAAGCATAATTGCTATATACATAGTATAACGATCTATAAAAATTTCCCAGCAGCTTAGAAATTACGTAACTGAGCACTTAACGCAATGATTGCGGATTTCTTTCATGCGATGACCAGTCACATTTTTGCTTGCGAGTTACAATCAGCTATAGAAAATCAATGGACTATTATTGAATACGCCATCTGTTTATATATCTATGAACTAGTCCAAGAAATAGATTTGACTTAATTAGTTTATGAGAATACAAAATCAAAAATAAATAATAAAATTTTCGTACACAATTACGAGAATAAAGATTCAAATTAAATATTTTGTTTATAAAATTATATAAATAATGAAAATCAATCAATGAAATTAAACAAATAAATATCTTTATTCATCAATGTAAAGATGTGTATTTTATTTATATTTGTAAAATGTTTAATAAACACGAGATATTTAAAGTAACTTTAGTTTAAAATATTGGTGACCGATCACTATAAACCAAAGCCTACATGACCGACAGATGAAATATGTATCCTCTACTGAAACAATGTACGAATATAATGTCTGAATCTCGCATAAATCTTATATAAATTTGTCACGAATTTCATTTAAATTTTGTGAAAATTGTTTTTTCAATTTTTGATAAGTATTATAAAAAATATGACTATAAAAAGCAATGCATATATATTGAGTTTTTATACAAAAGTTATTATTAGTTTATTTGTACACGCATTAAAAAAATTAATATTTTAATATTCTGAGGAATAATTATTAAATATTTACATAAATATCATAACGAAACAATATTTAATCATAAATGAAATTTATATATTTAATCAACATAATATGCTATCTTTATTGATAATTCAGTATTGATCGATTAAAACTAATCGTAAATATTAGTACTTTAACATACTGATGGGTTATTCGCTAATATATCGGCCTTTATCTGATATTTTTATCAAACCGCAAAATTAAAAATATGATTTATTTTAATATTTATTACATCTTCGTGAATTTTAGCAAATTTTTTCTATTTTTATACAATTTTTCAGAAACGATTTCGGTTATATTGAACATTTAACATTGAATAATGCGTATTCTTGGCAAGTAAGTTCAGCGATAATAAATTCAATAATTATAAAAATACTCTTCTTCCTCATAGCGAAAGAATTATTTGTTTCTTATTCGAAGTGATTGTAAACATTGATCTTCAATCAATCGTTCAAATGAATTCGTATGATCACAAGAAGTAAATGAGAATAGATCCATTAGACATTTGTAGAACGAGCTATTCCGATTTACCGATTTCGTTTTACTTTTACAGATTTATCAGTAAATCTATTTTTTAATTTTAATGACCAATTATTCATGCAAAAATAAAATATATCATTAAAATATTCTCTCTACTTACATTTAATCATATCCCACTTGAGAAGAGCTGTTTCTCAGTTATCTAATACACTCATTTGAATTTTATAGATGGCTTTTATATAAAGGAGTTTTTCCAAAAGAAAAAACATGTTCTCGAGGTATTTGTAATGGTTTGAGAAGAAAGTTTAACGTTTTGATAAAAAATTCTTGTGCATTTTTGATAGAACTTGGAAATTTCCTGTCTCAATTTTGTAAAAACTAGACAACGCTTATGCCATTGTTATTGTTTTTGAATTTCGATATAAGTATTCGAAAAAAATTGTTTGCATAACTTTTGCCCTAACTAATTTTTTAACATAACAATTTGGAAAAATTTTCGCCTCGATGTATACACAATAAGTACTTAAGGTCTGAATAAACGAAAGATATAAAGTGTGTAAAAAACCGATAAACTAATGCCTCCCGTTGAACGTCGGCCATCAGGTGTTTATTATTGTGAAAATCGCAGACACACCCAGACAAACAATTTGTTTTTTAACTTGATAATCTCGATGCACGTTCGATGTCTCGGATAATTACGTAGAAAACCTTTGAAGCTGTAGAAATAACCGTATTGATTATAAAAATCATGTAGTTTTATTACACCGGAGACGAGGGGGTTCCTGATGCGAATCCCGAAAACTTAACGATTACAATTTGAATGAGGTGCAAATAAAACTATATAAACTCCCCTTCCATGTAAACAGAAGCAGATCTAGCATGTGGTAAATTCTATCGAAAATAGCACATACATTCTCGAACTAGTGATTCAATTTCTCATTTTTCAACCACATAAATTTTTTCATTATTCAACATCTCTCCTTTTGACAGGCTTCAAACTAAATCTATTACTTTCCCTTTAAATTAAAATTATTCAGTCTACTAGGACAGACATTTCTTTGCTTGCCGCTCGAACGCCACCGTACCCGTCATTAGGTTTACTATACTTAAACGACCAATCTAATGTCCATGCATTTTGGTAAACTCCCCACTCTCCGTTAGTTCAACGTCAGTCATCAGAGTTAGTGAGCCAGCCAACCAATAGTACTGAGCGCCTCTATATTAAGTTGTACGAATGAACTCAGGCTGCAGACACCTGGTGATAGCACAGCAAAGCTCCAGCTTTGCACTCCTAAAAGAAAGAATACAGGCTGCGTGATCAGTCCGTCCGTGTCTATCTTGCACGTCGGTGCTCCCAAGACGTTAGAGAAGGAAAAAAAACAAATCACGGAATACACAGCAGAGTACGATGACTTTGGTATTTGGAAATGGCGACCTCAAGGTGTAATCGTCAAGTTCCTTAGCTTTGCACCGAACGACACGAGCAGGAACATCATCATCATCACGGCAAAGTTACGTTGCCAAATCTCTGCTGACAATTGCATACTCAATTCTTGAAGCATTCCTTCGTATCCGCGGAGAGTCGCTGCTGCTTCTGACAATTATTATTTTGTGTTTAAAGCAGCAGCGAGTGCATCGTTAATTGTATCGTTTGGGACGTGAATCGTCCACGTATACGCTGTAAGAGGTATCGTTCGCTTGGAGACGCAACTAGCACAGTTACTACATTTTAACGTTTCCTGGGGAAACGACAAGGATTGTGGCTATAATTATGCTACAGCTGATATCTGTTTTCCTAAGATTAGTTAAATGTTGAAGCTTCGGTTGTCCCTCGAAAGCGGAACAAAACATTGTTTCGAAGAGGATTTTGCGCGCTGGTCCCGCGAATAATAAGCTAATTTTCTAGTGATTGTGATACTCATGAGTTTGAAGTGGTTATTGTGTGCTCTCAGCAAGCCATCACCAGCTCATTTACTCATTTTACACGTGCCTTCGAGGATGCCACAGCTCTGACGTTCCGTTTGCTTATTTGATGGTTGCCGTCACGACAATTGCTGATACATTTTAGTAAGTAATCACTGAACACTTGCAAACTTACAATCCTTTGTTAGATGGGTTGAACAAACTAACCCATCTCATTAAAACTTATTTGCAGACATCATTTATAGTCCTAACCAATTGATGGAATAATAGGTTACTTTTGTCCAGAAAGTATTGGTAGGAAATATGTCCCAGCTTAATTTGAGCACAGGCAAAAGCCGTCGAGGTGTACCGAGTGCCTCAACATCATCAGTAGCATCAATGAACAGCTCTACAGATTTGGCAAGTTTGTTTGAATGTCCTGTTTGCTTCGACTATGTTTTGCCACCCATTCTGCAGTGTCAGAGTGGTCATTTGGTTTGCAGTAATTGTAGACCTAAGCTCACATGCTGCCCAACTTGTAGAGGACCATTAGGTTTGCACATGGCAAAATAACATTTACCAGAGTTCTCAAAATCGATTCTGATTCTATTTGTTTCTCATTATAGGAAATATACGTAACCTAGCAATGGAGAAAGTTGCTAGCAACGTTATGTTCCCATGCAAATACTCGACCAGTGGTTGTGCTGTTACATTGGTGCATACAGAAAAGCCCGATCATGAAGATGCTTGCGAATTCCGTCCTTATAGTTGTCCTTGTCCAGGTGCCTCATGTAAATGGCAAGGATCTTTAGAATTGGTGATGAACCATCTGGTTTGCAGTCATAAGAGTATTACTACCCTTCAAGGTACGTCTTTTTTTCAATCATAATAATTGCTTTGTTTTTTTATATATATTCTACATTGATTATTTTCTTACAACATTATATTTATATTGATTATTTCATCATACACAAATAGGTGAAGACATAGTTTTTCTGGCAACAGATATTAATTTACCAGGGGCCGTAGACTGGGTTATGATGCAGTCTTGTTTTGGACATCATTTTATGCTTGTATTGGAGAAGCAAGAGAAGTATGATGGGCATCAGCAGTTTTTTGCAATTGTGCAGCTGATTGGATCAAGAAAACAGGCTGAAAATTTTGCATACAGGTGAGAATTTTCCTTTTTTTATGTATGGTTTAACAAATGTTTTGCACATTTTGCGCAGGCTGGAACTCAATGGCCATAGGCGAAGGTTAACGTGGGAGGCGATGCCACGCTCCATTCACGAAGGAGTGTCCTCAGCCATCCTCAACTCTGACTGTCTTGTCTTTGATACTTCCATCGCCCAATTGTTTGCCGATAACGGCAATCTCGGCATCAATGTCACCATATCGATGGCATGAGGCAAAGCTACCTCTTCTAGCTTCTGAACTCATCTCGACACCGTTAATCTAAACAAACGACATTCGGTGTGAGTTTTCTCAGAAACACGAACAATAAATATTGATTACACTTGATTTAAGTGTATGACTATGTAAATCTGTATGTGTGTCTGTTAATATGCGTGTGTGTATGTGTGTGTGTGTGTGTGCGTAAGTGAAGTGCATAAACATATAAAGATATATATATATATAGAGAAAAAAGAGTATATATATATATAATATTATATTAGCTTTGCTTCGCGAATATTTCTTACGTCTACGTTAAGTTTTCTGATGTGACTGCTTTTCACAATTTCAACGAAGTTTCATAGTATGACAATGATGGTTTTTTTATTTTGTTAAAGACAAAAACTAAAATGTATTTCATTCATTCATTTATCCAAAAAATATAATCGTAAAGGAATGCGTTCTGTAACACATATTAACACTGCGTTGTTTAAGAATTTTAACTTATATAACAAATTGTGTTTGTTTATATTTGTAATAAACACTTCTTTTTCAATTCATTGTTCCGCTTCCTAAAGGATACATAATTAACTAACTTTTTTTACTTAATAGCTCAAAATTTTTTCTATAAAAAAGATGAAATTTCATCTAATATAAATCAAATAATCATTTTTGTATAATAAATAATTTGTTAAATGAATTTTGATGGATAAAATGAAAACAAAGTTTACATGTGATTATATAACTATCTTAGTCGCATCAAATCTTGAAAATTTTCCGTCATAAATATGTTTATTTTATACCATCCCATTGGTTTGAAAAAAATGTCTACATGTGTTCAATTTTTAACAACATTCATTGTAAATTAAGAAAGTATCGTGATCAATGGGATGTCTCGACTGAATTGTAAATTATTGCATCGTAAAATTAATTATAGTTGTATAAATAAAACTAAATAAGCTATCGATATTGCTATTAACAACAAGATGACGACATTAATGATAATACAAATGTTAAGAGCCACATTATAAAGTACTGATGCGACATTTTTCACAAGCGAAAATTTAATATTTAAGTTTCTTCTTTCGATGATTTACACGCTTTTTGCTGCGCCGGATACAGTTTACAGATAAAATTATGAAGTTTACACTTTGCAATTTATTACAGAATTTATGTATTTCAGTTTACCAGAATATTGTAGGGTATATTTACGTTATAATCTAAAAATCATAGAAACAGTTAAAAGTAAATGATGTTGCTTTGAATTTGCATAAATCTAAATGACAATTATACATTCTAAACAAGAGTTTCTGTGACAGTGCTTATAGCAAAATGAATAGAAAAATCAAATGAAAATCGACTCAATCTTAAAGTAACCAAAAAGTCTTCAAATTTGAACTTGTGAAAAGTATACTGCATCATAAAATCTCTAAAGAAAAAGTATAAGAACAATTTATTTCATCGGACATTAGTAACAACTTCAAGTTAGAAATATGACTTTTGCAAACGATTTTAACCATTTGACAATGTTCGGCTCAGTAAGGAGACTAAGTCCAACTCAATCATATTTGATATTCATAATGTACAGCTCACCAATTTGTAAATAATTTTGCAAGTTATGCAATTCTTTTTAGACTTGACGGAAAGTAACATACGTATCCATTGACGAACGAACTTAAAGTAAAGATAATGTAATTTTCAATTGAGCGAAGACTGCTCTACCGTCTCTTTTACTTTTCGTCTATCGAAAGCCACTGCATATTCGACTGTACATAAAACGTATCTTGTAAAATAAAACACTTTTTCATGAAATCTATCTCGAGGTATAGAGAATAAAAATTTTCTTTATTGATATGAAGTGTGATCATTTTATATTTTCAAATTATAGATTCAAAGTAGATTTATCTATAATTAGTATAAGTTTATGTTGTTACTGTAACTATAATTAACGTAATTTTAAATATTATTAGATATCTCTTATATTTTCATCATTTTAATGCGCTGTTGAATATAATTTGTAAAAATAAAACAGTAAGTACCCGTAGAATTAATCGAAAAGAGTGGAAGACACTATAAGTTGTAATTTTTTCATTGCAAAGCTTTTATTTTAAATAACGTACTAAAGTTCAAATGTACACAGTATTGTGGGGACAAAATAAACCTATCTTGCCGGCATTCAGCGGCAGTGCCGTATAGGAGCACACCCCCAAAGTGGTGACCTCGACGATTGGCGAAGATAGCTGCTGCTGCTGGGCTTGGGCTTGGAACTCAACGTTCCGCCTTGTTATATATGATGTACATATTGCAATTATAAGCATTATGGTTTACTACAATATGTAACTGTATAGGGCGCTGCCACTGATTGCCGGCAAGGTAGGTTTGTTCCAGGTTTGTTCTATCCCCATAGTTTCCTTGCACAAAGCGCGGGTTATATTATTGCGCGGGCGCGGATGGTAAAAAATAGAGAAGCGCCATCTTGGCATGTGAGTTGTACTCGCGGCACGTTGCCGGCGGCAGTCGCTGTCGTTAGTCAGTTTGTGTTGACCACGCGGTTGTGCAACTTGTTGCGGATTTCCTCGTGTTCTTTTTTTTGTTAATACAAACTTTGCGGTCTCACCATGAGTAACTATCATAAACCTGAAGCCAAGGCGATTGCCAAACTGGAGGAATTGGCCAATCTGTTAAGGATACACTCGATCAATGCCACCGCTGCCAGCAAGTCTGGGTAAGGACAGTCAACGAATGTTTTCGAATTGTCGCTCAGAAAAGGCGAGTTTTTGAAAAAGAGCGCGACATAGTTCTGTATTGGAATAAATCGGGTTTCCATTCAAATACTCACATGGATGTTACTTGCACTGAGCGAAGCATTATAAATAATTGATATGCCTACGAGAGAGAACTGCCGTATACGTAGGTGCTGAATCATTGGCGCCGTTCACGAATGCAGTCCTTGCGCTGCATTTTCCAGCATGGCCGATTAGAGTTACACGTGTAATTACTCGCGAGCACTATGTTTCAGCGAGGGTTCATATAGCAGCGCTTCTGCAATGTACCGTGATAAAACGAACGACCGTGACACCTTGGGCACGTGTCGCGTTAGGTGTTCAAAGGCCGATTAACATTCGAATCCAAACCGTCCTCCCTCGCTCGTAAGTTCAAAGTGCAAACCTCGGGCTGTTTTCCGTGAGCGCGTGTAAAGCGACTATACTTATGTTCTATAAATACCTGCCAATGGATTTTCAGGCTAAAGCGCGCCATCACCGCCGCTTTTTTCACTGTATTATATATCTTTTTCGCTTCGCGTTCGTACTTTACGTAACTCTATCGCGCGAGTCTGTATCATATCGCGTGATGCTTGGCTGCCATCGAGCGGCGAGCGATGTGCCTCCTGTCTCATATATGATAGCTTCGAGTTTTGGATGAACTTAGATCTGTAACTATTTTTGTGAAGCTACTCCGTGAAACTTGGTTGAAGATCGAATCACGAGTATTTTTGTAAAGTGATTATAACAGTGACCAGCTGAATGTTAAAAGTATCCACTTTCAAATAAGTTGAATCCGCGGTACAAGACTAAATCGATCTTAAACGTGGCGGTGGGGATAAATAGTTGCGCGCGCGCGCACACATATTCGCAGAACCGTGCCAATCGCGTACTTAGCCGGGTGAAGCCGGCCGGCCGGCAGTTGTACGACGAGTGCCGACGAGTAATCAGCAAAGCTAGCTGTCGTCGCTCCCGGCACGTGTCGCTCTTATTGCCGAACAAACTCCTTTTCGTCCCTCTCAACCAAGCAAAATGGTGAACGTGCAACTCCTGAAGGACCAAGCTAACAAATTAAGGATCCATAGCCTCCGAGCCACTGAGGCGTCCAAGAGCGGGTGAGAACCCTTGGCAGCCGGGCGAGCCTTGATTTTTTTTGGCTGACCGATAGGCGTTTTCGCGACTTTTCACACTTTTTGCTTTACCGAATAGGAATCGTCTCTTCGCAACGTTCGCATTTGAGAACCTGCATTTTATCGTCTTGACAATCCTTAAATTACAATTCAATGACTTGCTTGCTGAACGATTGGTCAGATGGAACACTTTCGTTAACGAGAAGTTGATAATTGCACACCGGCACTGTGTAACTACAGCATTCAACAGTGATTTCATGTATATACTTGAAACCACCTGTGTGAGCATAATTGCAATCGCACGAAACGGAGAGCAAACTTCTTACGAAGCTTTTCTACGTATATAGGTGGGCGTGGACATTTTAGTTGGTGCGATGGGTGCTCCAATACTGGTTGTTGATCAATAAACACGTGCGCCCCGCGAGCCAAGGTCAACTTGTAACGTGTTACATGCTTGCAACAAGTAATCGGAGCTACTCGTAATGGATTTTCGCTCCGACGATTGAATTCGCCAAAATCAGCTAACCTATAGTACGAAGGTACGGACACGATGAGGAGATTGAAAAAAAACGATGAGTTGTCGGCAAACAACATGCAATTGCGTAACGACGCTAAGCGTTAGTTAAACTGACAAGCGCCGCGTGAGAGTTGGCTGATAATTGGAAATGATAATGCGTGCCCCCGTAACTAACAGACGCGACGACGGGCTTATCGCCAGTTTGACGTTGGTTGAATTTTTTGGAATCCAGCTTTTTTCCGCAGCGACTGGCGCTGGGTGGCGAGGACAAGGCCGCGCCAATAAAAATACTAAACGCCATCTCTGCCTGGCAACGCGAAAGTCAGCGAAATTATGAATTTGCAGGCATCCGACGTCGTGCTCGTCCATGGCCGAGATCATGTCCGTACTGTTCTTTCACACGATGCGCTACAAGATCTCGGCGCCCCGCGACCCCAGCAGTGACAGGTTCATCCTCAGCAAGGGCCACGCGGCTCCGATCCTCTACGCAGGTAGGCATATTTCACTCGTTGGTCTCGACCGAGCGAGCGCCCGGTATAAACGTTTGGCCGACCGCAGCTTGGGCCGAGGCAGGCTTGTTCCCGACCAAGGATCTCTTGAATCTACGCCAGCTCTCGAGTGATCTGGAGGGCCACCCGACGCCGCGGCTGAATTTCGTCGACGTCGCCACCGGCTCCCTTGGCCAGGGCTTGTCCGTTGCCGCTGGTATGGCTTACGTCGGTAAATACTTCGACAAGGCCAGCTACAGGTGTGCTATTCTTATTCCAACGTTCCAGTGTCTCGGTTGGCTCTCTCGATTTCACTCGTTGCTCGTTTTGCAGGGCTTATTGCCTGATCGGCGACGGTGAAGCTGCCGAGGGTTCCATCTGGGAAGCCTTGCACTTCGCGTCCTACTATAAGCTCGACAATTTGTGCGCGATCTTCGACATCAATCGGCTGGGCCAGAGCGAGCCAACTTCTCTCCAACACAACATGGAAGTCTACCGCAAGAGGCTCGAGGCGTTCGGTTTCAATGCCATAGTCGTCGACGGCCACGACGTCGAGGAGCTCGTTAAGGTCTGTATTATTCGTAGCTGTTCAATTGAGATTTTTCGCAACCATGTCTGTTACGCACGCCGATCATTTTTTCAGGCTTTCCACGAGGCCGAACAAACCAAAAATCGTCCCACTGCTATTCTTGCCAAAACTTTCAAAGGCAAGAATTTCGTCAACATCGAGGATCTCGATAACTGGCACGGTAAGGCTATTATCGGTAGCCAGGGCCAGGAGATCATCAAGGTGACGATCATTTTAGATTGCCAAACTGATTATTCATGACGATAACTCATGATTTTTAATTGTAAGCAAATACTGTTTCACAGAATATTCAGGCAATGTTGAAAACCCCAGCTCCCTTTGACCGTAAAATCGCGGCTCCCGTGGAAGATGCGCCCAAGATCTCAATCACCAATATCAAACTTGACACTCCACCCAGTTACAAAATTGGAGAGCAGGTTGCCACTCGTTTTGCTTATGGAACTGCCCTTGCCAAGGTATACGTCTTTTTTTTGTTGCTCAATCTTGCATTTGGTACGTATAATTAGAATAACTCGGTTTCTCATAGTTAGCAAAAAATCACCCCCGAGTGATTGGATTGGATGGCGACACGAAGAATTCAACCTTTGCTGACAAAATCAAAGCCGTCGACCCTAACAGATTTGTCGAGGGTTACATTGCCGAACAGAACATTGTTGGCGTTGCCATTGGAGCTGCTTGTAGAGATCGCACGGTCGCTTTCGTTTCAGCTTTCGCCGCGTTCTTCAGTCGTGCTTATGATCAAGTACAGCTCAACAATATATATTTTTTTTTTGCAAGAACTTACTTTAAATTCATGGTTCACTGTTTTACGCGTGTAAATTTCAGATCCGAATGGGCGCAATCTCGCAGACCAACGTGAACTTTGTCGGCTCGCATTGTGGTGTGTCGATCGGCGAAGACGGCCCGTCGCAGATGGCTCTCGAGGATTTAGCTATGTTCCGCGCGATTCCCGGCTCAACTGTGTTCTATCCATCGGACGCAGTATCGACCGAACGCGCCGCCGAGTTGGCAGCCAACACCAAAGGTATCTGCTTCATTCGTACCTCCAGACCCAACACTCCCGTCATCTATAAGAACGACGAGCCGTTGGCCATTGGCAAAGCCAAAGTGGTACGCTCGTCTAACAGCGACCAAGCCCTGCTCATTGGTGCCGGCGTTACGCTACACGAATCCGTCAAAGCAGCCGATATCCTAGCCAAAAGCGGCATCAACGTGCGTGTCATCGATCCCTTCACCATCAAACCCATCGATCAGAACACTATCATTGAGAACGCTGTGCAAGTCGGCGGTAAGATCATTACTGTTGAGGACCACTACCCAGAGGGTGGACTTGGCGAAGCTGTACTCTCCGCTGTCGCAGAGCATCCCAACATTGTTGTCAGGAAACTTGCTGTCAAGGAGGTACCGAGGTCTGGTAAACCTGAGGAGCTCCTCCATCACTTTGGTATCGATGCCCAGAGCATTGTCAAACAGACTGAAGACTTCATCAAACATTGAAAACTAGAATAAATGCGTACATATACCTACTTACCTTATGTTTTGAACATCTGCATATCGACAATTTACCAACTGCATTTATCAACGTAGTTGATAATCAAGATTTTTACTTTTTTATAAGTATTCTATATTAAACCAGAATGAAGTTTTCATGGTCTCTTTTTCAATCAACTGTACAAATGCAAATCTACTTAACAAAATTATCAATGTTTTGGTATTTAAAAATAAAATAATTGTTCAAGGCTATCATGACTTTTTTCTATTTCCTAATCGAGTTGAAAAGTTGAATTTTCTTTTAGTATAAACCACACTATCTAATCTTTGCTATTCATCATTGGAAAATGTTTCATTGAAAAGAGAAAAATTGTCGTTTTTCATTGAATATACAATTTTTTATATTTAATAAATTTCTGAACCGGTATTGAACTATTTTGGCGAGCCAAAGTTTGAAATAGTTAAATTATGCATCGATTAGTTATTGTTTGAAATTTGAAGTAAAAATATTTAAAAAAATATTTTAAAAATTGTAAAATTAATAATTTTGAATTTTATTTGAGTTTTAAGGTAGTTTTTATGAAATTGAAATACTTATATTTCTTATTAGACTGATTTATTGTAGAATCATATTCTTAATGGTTTGCGATTGTGATTTTGAGTAGTCTCTGAAATTCTAATGAAATTTGCTTGAATAAAAAAAAAATTATATTTGTTTTTCTTATCAAATTAAGTAACCTAACACATTTCTACCTCTGTGTGAGGCCTGATATAACTTATCAACAAATGTAGGTCAAATAAAATTATGACTCTATTGTCGGCACTTTCTTCAATTTTTTGACGCGGTGAAAAAACAACATATTTGTTTAATTTATAATTGACATAGTAAACTGCACTGCTGACTACTATAACTTGGTTGTTTTTCTATTCTCTCAGGACAGATGGAGTGAGCGGCGATAGGCTGTGTTGCGTGGGCTTGCCACAGCCAGCTCAGAGCTGTCGCTATCTCTCTTTCTCTTTCTGTTTCGCTCACTCATCCATAGTCCACACGCACTACTGGCTGCGGTGGCGCCACAAGCGAGATCGCGCCTGTGCTTATTGGCGGTGATATTCCATGTATTGTGTATGTGTGAGCGAGTGTGTTGGCTTGCTGCTGGCTCGTCGTCTACGAGCGAAAAAGTAAGATGGCCGCGGCTCAAGCGTACGTCGCTTATGCTGCTGATGTGTTAGCCTCGAGCTTTATTCTAGCAGCTGCTAGTGCTCCTCGAAATCTGTGCCGCGTTGTGTTCGCTACAACCAGCTTCGTTGCCGCCTGAGGTGAGCAAATTGATCACATTGACGCCTATCTGGCAAAGTTATTTGTCATTCATTTTCTGCTTGCTCGCTGGCTCGTTCCGTCTCTGTCGCTCTCGCTTTCTCCGTCTCTCTCTCACGCGCGCACGTACATACGGAGATACGCAGGGCAATGTAAGAGCATACCTTCTGCTACACGACCGTCGGAGACTACGCGAGTGCCTGTACATGCTAGTGCGCTTTATTTTTATTCCTCGACATCGCCTTCTCGTTGCTCTCGCTCTTTCTCTCTCTCGCCATCTCCGTGCGCGCGCGCGCGCGTGTGTGTTGTACTCTGTGAAGATTGGGGCTCTTGGGAGATTATAGCAAGTGCGCCTTTTGACGTGCGAATGCGCGCTAGTGAGGCTACGAGTCGAAGCGAGAGGCGAGAAAATGTTTGTTTCGGGAGAATAGCGCAAGCAAGTAAGGTTAAGTCGCTAGGCAGAAAGAGCTCCGCCGTCGGTGCGCCGATTGTTGCCCCGCGGCTCGAGCGCGTTCGTGTGTGTACACTGTACGTGCCTGTGGACCAGTGTGTGGCTAAGTGTGTGCATATTTACGTGCCCTACGGCTGAGTGCGCGTGTAAAAAGTCATGGCAGAGATGACTTTCGGTACCGTTGCAATTAATGGCTTTCAGAGATCGGCATGTATATGTATGAAAGGGATAAAGCTTGAAGGGAAATAATGTCGCTTTCTCTCTCTCTCTCTCTCTCTCTCTCTCTCTCGGTCTCTGTTGTGGTTAGTTATCGCCGAGTGTGTTGTTCCCTCTATCCGGGCGCGCGTGCGAGAGAAAGAGAGAGAGAGAGAGAGAGAGAGAGAGAGAGAGAGAGAGAGAGAGAGAAATTAGATGTCGGTGCCTTGGCGTAGTTGTGTACGTGCGTGCGAGAAAAAGTGGGGTTAAGTGGGGTTTTTCGTGCTGCCCGAAGATTCTTCAGGGGCGGCGGGCAGCCGTGCAGACTAGAGCGAGAGAGACAGCGAGTGAGAGAGAGAGAGAGAGAGAAGGACGTACGTGTACGAGAAAGATCGGAGAGAGATACGACGCGACCGAGGGGTCGACGAGTGTGTGCTCGAGTGCTCCCGCAAGCGAGAGAGCGAGGGTTCGTTGCTGCTACGATGCTTGTTTTTCTCCCTCTCTTTTCCCGCTTTTCAACGTTCCACATCCAGCGCCGAAATTTCTTCGACGGCCGACTACTCTAGCGCGCGCCTGTGTTTTTTTTTTTGTATTCGTCGGCCTCGCGCGTGAACGCGGCCATCGTCTATTCACATGAATTATTCAACGCCAAGAAATGCATATTCACTGGCGTAAAACGTACCGAGAAAGAATCCGAATATCCACGGAGCGAGAGCGAGAAAGAGAGAGCGAGAGCGAGCTTTCGACTGGTTAAAACCCGGCGGTGGCGGCGACGGCCGCCGGCGCGCGGAAAAACGATGTAACTACCCGACAGCCATATTAATGCCTAGGCGGCACTTACGCCGCCGACTTTGTTTTTCTCCTTACAGATTTCCATGGATGCGGCCTGATTATTGAAACACTTGGTTGCGCAGTTTTGTTTTCCTTACGTGCCGTTAGCTCGATTCAGTGCTTTTTTTTTTGTCGAGTGCGACCGACGCGCCATTGGCCACCGTATGAGCAGTGACAGAAACTTTGGTGACTGTGTGTTTTTGTCACGAGGACGAATACTCGTGCGACGGAGGACAGAGCAGCGATTTGTCTTGGTGAGTTTTCCGTCTATTTTTTTCCTCCTAACTAATGTTCGACCGTGCATACATACAGGCGTGTATACATTAATAACGATCCACCTGTTTGAGCGTGTAATAATGCAGAAATGCTAGCTGTCTTAGATTAGATAAAAACCGAGCAGCGCAAAGATTTAGATAGCGTTGAAGT